CAACTGGTGATTCAGTGATTTTACAACTAGATAGATATTGATTAATACAAAATACCATTTGTGCTTGTCCAAGAAATGCTACTCTACATATTTAATAATAAATTTCAAGAATGTCGATCCCTTACAAGGTCTAAGATACAGAGATATGCTGACTATATGTAGAACTGTACATTCCTATCTTATTGGAATATCCCAATCTCAAATACACACTGTATTTTTGTACCTTCTTTACAATAGTTTATATATAATATGGTATACACATGTTTTACCCACACACACAATAGATAATTACTACCTACATGTACACCAATCACAGGTACGGGCATACATACCTGTCCATAACCCACCCAGACCAGTCAACAACAATACTACAATTTCGTAGATAAAGACATACAACACAAATACAAATCTGATATCGGTAGGACAATTGTCTTTATGCAGATGTTGGAAACAGGAGACCGGCTGTCGATAGAGCTGTTATCTGCTTGTCCGAAACAACAATGAACCAGTTGACTGACTTTAAGGTCATAAAATCAGAATGTACATTTCTGTGACTGTTGCATTTTTGTATGAGCGTGATCACTGTCTGGAAACCATTGAAACAACCCATAGGAACTGTATCAGTTTACAAGTTCAGTAACAGACGCGCACTGTTCCAATAAAAAGGGCAACATCAATGTTCAAGTAGCACAAGAATATGACTGGAAAATTAAATCTCTTCTTTACATTCCCCATGCATACCATGCAGAAGACAGAAGATACCATCAAAGTATTCATATTTAATTCACTGCAGTTACTGTGTTTCAATAAAAGCGTTGTGTAACCACAAGTTTTATGTTTATAAAAGGTAATACCAGACTAGAAGTGTAACAATACACTGACACATAGCAATATCACCAAATGCAATATGTCTCCATGTCTTGTTTGTAAATTCAGCCAAGTCTTTTACAATAGGCTGGTACTGCAAATGAGCAATTGTACTGCATGAATATCAATAAATTTGAGTACAAGGGCCTATAACTGTATATGCATCGCAGAGGACACAAGAACTGGATGTGTAACAGTGAGCTATCTAAGAGTACCTCCTGTTTGTATACTCACATGTATACAAAGTCAGAAATATTAAAAAAAAAAATCACAGTGGACAAAGGGCCATAACACTGTATATCCACTCAGGAACAAGATTTAAGTTGATGATATTAATGCTCAAATAATCATACAAAAAATAAAAATTTGTGAACCATTCCCAGCAGCAATATAGTAAAATTATCTAAATTGTATTACATTTCACAATGCACAAAATGTGTCTTTAAAATTGGCCTCAATCTACAGGTACGATCATGCATACTTGCATACCATAATGTATCAGATTTAGTCAGATATCTAATGGAGCACACATAAGTACAGAAAAAGCATATCTCATTTCATATCTAAGTCTGTAATATTAATGTTTGTGACGGATATTCTCAAATGAAATAATTTACCAATTTTTTACTATTAACTTCCTATCTAGAATTTCATTCTAGGAAACAAATAAAATAAATGCACTATCGAGAGGTTTTATTGTCAAAGTCTTCCTAGAGAGAGAGATAATCAACTACATACCAGCATTTGAGCAGTTAGCCTAAAGAGGATGTTTTGGTGGACAGGCAGTAAGTCAAAGCAGAAACAATATTTTATTTCAGATCCTATAAATTTTCTGTAATCTTAGAATTGGGATTTATCACTGGAATCTCAGACAACCTGATACATTCAATATAACCGGTATATACCAATACGATATTGTATCAATAATCCACCATTTTTAAAGTTGACCCGATAACAAAGAATACTGGTATCATCACACCTTCGCCAACACGACAGAATTCACAATAACATTTTGATTGGTTTACAATCGGACTTGTTGACAACCATCAATAGTAAACAGTGTAGGTGTTTGCTTGTCTAATTATGTTGCCCCAACTCGGATGTCTGACAGTGTCAGTCATATACACCAGTACTAAGGGTCATTTAGACCTCTACGTGGGAAATGCCATGGTCAGTCAATTCCACATTGAAGCTGGACTTTTTAACTAATGTAATGTTGATATTATCAGCGACAAATTTCATCAAACTGCATCCTGCTATTCCAATGGTCATATTTACATACGCTTGCAATCATTAGAGTTATATAAGTATATATATATATATATATATATCATTGTTTATGACTGAATTTATAAGGCATTGTACATAAGCTGACATACCTGGATATCTATAAACAGGTACATACTAATGTACAACATACCAGGGCTAACCTATACATTACTAGGCCAGAAATCCAGTATATAATAATACAAGTTAAGTCTTGTCCTGATGATGTTTACATTGTATTATATTATAGAAATATTGACTTTATCAAATGGAATTCTCATCTTCCACTGATATATAGTAAATGGCAACCAAGTGATCTATTGTCAGCTTGGCTTTAGGCCGACTTCAAGCAGCTGGAATCGTGAATAGTTTTAGAACTAATCAACCATCATCACAAGGTCAAGTACCATGTCAAAATAACTATGATATAGAAATTCTTTATCAATCTCTGATACCCAAGCTTGGTCATATTATTTCTCATAATAATTGTTGATTTTATTTCTTATTTCATCTACCATCAAAATGTTTTTTTTTCCAAATATCATTAGGCAGTGTCTAAGCTAATATTCAAATAACTGAATACATTGACCTACTGACCCAAAAATATACGTGACTGAAATGACTTTATGATGAATATAGCATTTCTTTTATTATTGTAAAAGTTGTTTCCATAATCTTAGGTTTCCAGTCTTAAGACTTGTTGACAAATTAGTGTTTTCTATTATAATGTTACATAAACGTTTGTTACTTAATTATTTCTTAACCCACTCAAGTATTTTTTTTTTCGATAATGAGCCTGTCAATATCAAACATAGTATTTTAAGGATGGACCTGACTAACAGTGAAACATCACATCCTTGAACCAGCAATTTCAGTGTACAGGTTACAATTAATCCCATGTGTTCATATATGATGTCTAACAGGACAGAAGACAATTGCCAAATTCATGGTGGCATGACTGCATATCTTGTACAGCTAATTCTCCATGTACATCAGTGAATATTCTAAGTAAATGAGTTCTGGTGTTAGCAAAATCTACAATGATAACAACATGGAATCATCATTTATTTTATCATTTGAACTTGTTTGAAAAGACAATGAAATGCACAAATATTCATCGTTTTCAGCAACTTACTTATGAATGTGACGTCTTAATGACAAAATTTTGCACTTCTTCATACAATTCAATAAATTGAAAATATAAGGATAATTAAATGTAATTCAAAACTCAAGCACAAATAGAAATTTGACTGAACAAAATGTAGAACACTGAATATAACACAGACACTGGGCTACTGCTAATAGTCACTGATTGCTAACTGACAGTCAATGGTCAACTTTGATAATTATACAATGTATAAACTTTATTCATTATACAACAATTTGCAAAACAAGCTAAGGTTTCATTGGGCACACAACCCCACCCCTTTTTTGTCACTCATGGAATTGAACCCAAGATCTTTTTATGTGCAATACCATTGTGCCAAAATTTGAATATCCCATATTTGTCAATCTATTGACATGGTCGTAATTAATTGGACTTGGCAGGATTTATTGTATACACAATCATAAATGCCAGGATTTCCCATAATTTTGTTAGTAGTAGGCTGTGTAGTGAAAGTAGGAGACTTGCCTGCCGTGTACGTGTAGTTGTGTGCGGAACATTATTACGGAACTGGATTGGTGTAGGTGGCCAAATGATCAAAGCAGGCAATCAAATTGGCCGGCAACCGGCTCTTATGGAAAACCCTGAATGCATTTTTTTTACTCCTATATTTTCTTACTGCAACTTAATAAATATCTTGTATACATCATTTAAGGATCTATGATCCCTTTAAAAACAAAGTAAAATGTATTCCCAATCCAAGCAGAGACAGACATTTATCATAAAACAAAAACAATTGACACAGAAATTTACTAAACTATTGCAATGATAGAAATTATTTCACGAGCGTTTGGTGTGGGACTCACTTAATCATAGCTTAATTATTATGAATATTTCATTTCTCTGACAGATCCAAAACTGTAAGTATATGTTTATAGTATACTTTTCTATGTGAATATATATACATGGGGAAAAGCTGAAGGCATTCTTAGAAATCCATTCTCTTATCCCAATTAGGGATTCCTTTTTATATGTCAAAGATTATTTGTACAGAAGTATATATCTCAGCAGGGGTGTGGTGCTAATGCTGATGATTAAAGAAAGATTACTTGATAATATTTTGATCTGTAAATTTACAAATCAGTTTTCATGGATAAAAATGTATAAAACTTGGCACCTCTTGTCAATTCAAACTTTCATTAAGTTTGCTGGTCATGGCTAGAAATTTCTAATTTTAATTACTTTGTCTATTTTCTAAAACTATCATAATTTTCCATACCAGGGACGTATAATACATTATATATCCCTGTTCATACCAAGCTAATTATGAACATGTAATTTTTCATGCAAATCTGCCAGCCCTGATGTCATTCCTGCAGATGTCACTGTTAATAGTGACTTTGTTTAAAAGAAAGCCCTCAATGAGCTTGGATGTAGCTAAAATTTGTAGAAAGCATACATTTAGAAAATATTAACTGAATGAGAAATTGTAGCAAAACATACATGCAGTTTACAGTTATCAATTTTAGTTAACTGTCTTATCACCTTTACTTTATTTACATTGATTAACAAATTAAATCTCCAATGTTTTTAAGATACTCAATATATGTAAAATCTAATGTTATTCGTGCAGATGTTATATGGCATGAATGGTTGACAACAGAATATTGTCCTTTTTTGATTCATTTAAAACTAATGAGTTATTTGTGATTTTCAATTTTCCATCAATCTGTCCGCTTTCACATGATTATGGTTTACTTACGGAACTAAAGTAATCTTCCATCTTTTGCACATATGCAGATCACTCAGCCCGGCGAAACATGTACGAACACCTTACTTTCTACTAGTGAAGGGAATCTCAGGTAAACAATTTGAGTTGAGTGGGAAAACACCTCAACATCCGGGGAATTACAACCGGATTTAGAAATGTAAGCCGTGATTTGATTGGTCAATTTTAAAACTTGCAAATAAATGTTCATATGACTTCATATTTTGTGAAATAATTCTCAGCAAAACCAATATATGAATCATATATAACTAATGAAAATAGAACCTTTAGTTTCAAAGTAATAATAATTAAATACACAATGGCATGCGCAATTCTATTTCCGGATGAACTCCACTTCCGCTGAAGCGAAGATATCTGTGAAATCGGTGATTTTCACAGAAAAAATCTCGTAAATACTACACATAATATGGCAGCTTTGTTTGCTTGTACAAAATGTCACACTAGGCATCCATTTGAAGAATTATCTCAAGCCGAACAACTGTGTAAAGTAAGTTATAATGCGAAGCATCACCTGCTTGCATAGCAACATAAAGCAATGAAGTTGACTTTGTCAAATGATAGCTTCTACGAAGCTCAAAATATGAAGTAAATTTATTTGGAATTAAGTATCTCTTAGTCTCGGTTGATCATTTTCAGTGACAAGACAGTTTCATTTTAGACTTAAATACGCCTTTCTTAAATATGGATTAACTACACATTTCCTTATCAAGAGTTTCATCCCAACTAATCCAGGTGGATGTCCATATATTTGTATATTGTCATTTGTACAGTACAGATATATATCTTCTTACAAATCACAAAGTACCGTACACAAAGTATCCTGGCTAAGGAATTGCAGAGCTCTTGAGGCTCATCACTCCATCACGGATTGACAATTATGTGGATGGTGGGTGGAGAAGGGTTAATCACTTTTTGAATTCCTCCTTGAGACCCATTTATATTGGACATTTGACAATATCCTTTGTCTAGACATGCATAGAGGTGTGCAAAGATGGTCTGGTCAATTTTCTATGGATTCATTTGAGTTTCCTAGTCCCTAGAATAATTATTTCAATATTATTTGAAGCTGCTTCCCCCTAAACCCATGCTTTATCTCAACTATACATTGATAATAATGGTACCATATTTGTCCTTTTAGGGCGCCTGCTCTAGGAAGAGCACCTTAGCAATTATTTTGGTAGTGAATAAACATAACATAAATTTCTTACCTTTAGAAAATCATTTTGATATCCAGAAACATTTAAAACTGTTTTTGACAGTAATGTTACTCTTCAATAAAGTTCTGTATCACTGAATTAGATCTAGAATCTTACGTTCTATTGTTCCTCCCAAAAAGTCAACACACATCAGAATATACCAGTAGGTCTGAATAAACAATAGCCAGGACACATAATGGAAATAATCGTCCTAATCCATATCAGAGTCACTTTTTAACTCGCTTTAATGTTCGAAATTTTCGATGTCAACTGTTTTGTTGCATTCACAGTCTGTGCTATTTCCAAATCTCTGTTTTCATCTATATTACTGATATTTCAATGTTCATAATTACGTAGTCTCCTCATGTGGGTAATGAATCGCAAAAAATAATCCACCTGATTGTCGATTGCAGATACCCTTTTCTGGGCTACATGGGTAGTCTGTCTCATAGAAATTTGATGTCTCCATTTGAAAGAGTGAAACCATCTGTTAGAAGCTTTAAAAGATTGACATCCATTAAGTTTATGAAGTCATAATGCCTCAGCCGTGAGTGCTTTTCCAGTTAAACAGATTCCTTCTCTCGCCGGACTGTTAACCAAGTCATAAGTTAGTTGTCAATGTCCAAATTTCTCACTTTCCTTCCACCACCAGAACATTTACGGCACTGCTTTCCTTCGGTTCTGATTTTTTCCTCATTTTTCAGCCATCTCTGCACACATTTTCTATGAACTTTGAGATGACTAGCGGCTTTATGGTTACCGTTTTCTTTGGCAAATTCGATCACCTTAATTTTTAATTTTTGATCAAAATGGCATGCTGTAGTGTAGCCAGTCTCCAACAAGTATTGAGGCAAAATTTGACACATCACCGGTACCGGCTAGTCATGGAAATTTTTGGCAAGCATCCAGACATGAGGACTAGGTGTATGTGACAGTCTTGACAATTTGTGAAAGTGATAACATTGTTCAATTCAAGTGTATTAGAGGAAAATTAAGTGTCACCTTTGCAGTTGTAACATATTGATTGAAGTCTAAACTATGTTGTAACTTCATACTTCCTGATATTTGACAACCCTATGACTATTTACCAGATTTTTAACTCGAGAGAAAAAATATCTTGGTAAAGGCGCCCTACTGGTTATTTACCGGCGCCCGGGCACTCTTATTAGGACAAATACGGTACATACCAGATTTACTATTTAGCATCAGATATGAAAATCATCCTATATAGAAGATACTAAATTTCAAACTTCTCAAGGATCTGTAATGGATGGACTACTTTATAACTTAGTTGGTATAGGTTTAGTCGCTCACTGATTTGTAGTGCTTTACCAACAATTAGAAATTATCAGATACAAACTCTCCATTATTTACTTTAGTCCGTGAATATAAATTGATCTCAGACATTTTCAAGATCTGCTTGCATGCTAGTTATACTTCATGCTAGTTTTGAAATGCATAATAATCATGATGCACTTCTAAATTTGTTTACATGACATCTTCTGTGTGACAAAAATAAAACAAAAACTCTTTAAAAAGAATGTTCTTACCATTTACACTGAACATTGCTTTAGATTATCATCTTCATTTTAACTTTCAAAATCAATTTAACTTTGACATATGATGCACCAATTTGAAATGTTTTATTTTTGTAGGAATGTCGAAGCAATTTCCCAGTGGTGAAGTGTACTTACTGTAGAGCAGAGTTCCAACAAGAAGAGTAAGTTGGAAATGTATTTAAAAATTTTAATAACCAAAGGAAAATGTTATTATTTGCTTGAGATACTGTAATACAGAACAATTTTATACCTATTATAAAAAAGATACACCCCAAGGAAGTAATTTTTATCAAAATATTTTCAGGGTTCCCTGTTGCACTTGAAGAATTAAGATTAAAAAATAACCAAACACTATGGTTTATATATAAGAAATATCTTAGTAATGTGTAATTGAGTTAAGTCTCTACTTGTACTTTTCTCTTTGTTTTCAGCAAGAGCAATACCAACTCCATTTGTAAAAAGTGTGACCAGAATGTCAAAGTCCATGGAAAGGTTAGCCAACAGAATTATCCCATCATATGTATGGACAGTATAAATAAAATTAGGTTTTGATGGCCTTTCTTCCTTAGTAGTACACGTGATAAACAGTATATTATATTTATGTGTCCTCTCAAATCTTCATTCCAAAAGATTTTTAAGCTATTAAGAACTCTTCTTTATTAAGAAAAAGGGGAAAATGTGAAAAATTTTAATTTAATGAAATTATTGTCCTTGCTATAGTGTTATAATTCATCTGATGGTGGTATATTTATCTAAATTAATGTGCATCTATTCATCGGTCTATAATCAATTTTGGTATCACTATTTTATAAATTTCATATGTAGGTTGCTCTTGATCTCTGGTTGTGCACAGTCCAATTTGGGACTTCAGAAGAGCGACATGGCTGACAGGTGGCCATCTTGGATTTTTGACATAGTTTGTTATTGATTTTTCTTAAGAGATTTCTCAGATATGATATGGGTTTCCCATTGGTCTGAAGTTGTGTTCTTTTCTCACAGACACAATGTCAGAAAAAGAAATGAAAACACTGTTGTATGTAATTGTTTATTTATTCTTTTTTTTACAGCCTTCAGTATGTGAATATTGTAATATTCTTGCTGCTTTCATTGGAAATAAGTGTCAGAGATGTGCCAATTCAGAACGAAGATGGGGCCCACCATTAACTTGTGAACAGTGTAAACAGAAATGTGCATTTGACCGCACAGATGGAACAAGGAAAAAGGTAATTAAATATTTTGCTTCAAAATACATTAATGTCCTTCATCAATCAGAGACCAATGATAGGAATCTTTAGATTGTCAGTACTAAATACAATATAGTTGTTTAACTTTGCAGGGCTAATATTTTCACATTTGTTCTGACTTGTGTGATTGTACATACATTTAACATAGATTTCCTTTTTATTTTGATTTATGCTAAATGGTTGTTTAATTTTAAAGCTCTCCTTGATGAACCTGGATATAGCAAAATTTAATCGAAGGCTAATATTACCAACTCTTTACATTGTGCAAAGGAAAATCATGACTGTTTTAGTTCTGTAATCTGTATAGAAAAAGTACCTTTGATAAACTTGTTGCATTTGTCCTCACTAATAAACAAAAAAAATTGGTCATTGTTAGATTTTAGATGGTAACACTTGTGTGTTTCTCATGTCATTGAACCTTGAATTAATTCAGTCACACATACTAATTTATCACTCTGTATTAGACATAGATATACACAGCATGAAAATAACATAAATTTGAACACACTGACATTTACAGTGGCAGTTTTTATTGAATTTATATACATTGTACATACAAAAGATACATTGCATTGGAATTTAACTACTGTAGTATATAAAATTTCATTGTATTGAAACCTCCATTTTTATTTGAATTATTTTGCAGGTTGATGGGAAGCTGTTATGTTGGTTATGTACTCTAGCTTATAAACGAGCACTAGCGAAGGCAAAACAACGAAAAGATGAGGACAGAAAAAATCTAGGATCTCTGAGGCAAGGGAAAGAAAAATCTGATAAGGCAGAAAAATTGTTTGACAGTATTGTGGGTAAAAATAACAGCAAGCAGGAAGATAGCTCAAAACATGACAGTGGTGGAAGTACAAGTAGTCGTCATAGCAACAGCAGTCAAGGCGATAGAGTGTCCAATGGGAGTGACAAGGGCGTCTCAGAAGGACAGGAAGGTGCTGCTTCTAAGGAAACACCTCAAAAAAGTCACAAACATCATCATCACCATCACCACCATCATCATCACAAACATTCAAGGTCCAAAGATCATCGGCGGTCCCACTCAGCAAAATCAAAATCATCTCATAAGTAAGTGGAAACCAGTTATTTCAATGATCAAATTGTGGAGATTTAGTATCTCTGCTTCAAGGCAGAATCATATGAGATTGGAAATTATACAGATGATAATGTCATCTTTCAGAGACAGAAGAAAGAGGTATTCCAATATATTTAGATAAAGAAACGCTATACTCAGGTGATTGTTTAGTACCATTATATGTCAAACATGGATGAGGTTGTGTTTGATCTGACATTTTTTATGATGGGCAGAGACATACAGTGATAACCATGTTGGCATGTCCTATCAAGTTCCATTCTAATTTTTTTTTACTGAGATCTATGGAAAGCCAGCCACTGGATCAGCTGCCCATGGATGGTAATTTTTAGTGGATGGTCATTTGATGTTAAAAAACATTTTTCCATGTATATTTTAATGTTTGTCAATTTCCAGCTGCTTTCTTGAGATGCTGAGTGCACAAAAGTCATGGCGCTCCAGATCACAGAGAGCAAAAAGTCCCGAGTTGTTAACATTGAAGCTTTAATTTATGCTATCTGTTGTGTATGGTCTTTTGTTTACACTAGCGTCCTAATGCATTGCCTTCCTGTCATGTTAATTGAGATTTGAAACACTAGATAATTCAATGATGTTGTGTCAAGTCACAGCAGAATAAGGAAATTCAATCTGTTTTTAATGGGCACTTTCAAGGAAATGTTTGATATCAAATGCACAGGAGACAATGAAAAATAAAGATGGGGCCTCTGACAGGTGATTTATTGTTACAGGATTATAATGCTTTACAAAAGAACGAAATGAAAATGATGCTTAGAATAGATTAAAAAAATATCTATGTTGCTTTTTATACCCATGACATTTGTTTATTTGCCATGATCAGTAATCTAATGAAATTTGAAGAAAGCATTTAGTCTGATTTCGCTATGGAGCCCCTCACAACTATAGGCTAATGACGATGAGGCACTCAAGCATGACCCAGGACGCATGTATCATTAAGTGGATGTAAATGGGATGTATGGCTGAAGTTGATTCGAGATTCATGCACTAAATAAAAAACAAAATTGGAAATAATTATTTGATAAAGGTACAAAGGTACATACAATGATGAAGTATTCAGTGGAAAGTAGTGGGAGAATCAACCCTGACGACATTAGACTAGCTTAACATAAGTATATTTACAGGAATGGGACGTTCTGTATGTGAAACATAGTTTTTATAATATATGAAAAATAGCAGGGTTAATAGATATGAAATTCATATACATGTATATAATTCCAGCTATCTTCAAGTATAATAGCTTTATTTTATATACAGAACGTCTGATGTTTCACATTGAACATCTGATCCTGTGGTATACTTCACATGTTGATATGCCATAGGCTTATGATCAGTTGGCAAAATCAAAGAAAACTTAACCATCCATAACCACTCATGCTGCTTATTAGGTCCATATTTTTGTTAAAATTTTCATGATTCTCCATTAAGCCGACCTAGGAGACTTTCCAGCAGATTCCAATATATTGAAAAACTCTCAAAAAGGTTTGGTTATGTAACTATCATAAGTTCTACACAAGACAATATTAAGGTTGTCATCGGTCAAGATTGAAGGGTCAAAGATTACATTTGACCTTTTAAACAATGATACTTATATGCATGAGAGAGAATGCATTCATGCCTTATAGACATATTCTAGTTTTTCGGATTCTTATAATAATGATAATGATAATTTGAGGTTCTTTATCACTGCTACATCACAGTCACAAAGTGATTCACAATTACTGTCCACTATTATTTGCCTTTTTGCTACTAACCATAATTTTTCTCAGCTCCCTAGGAAGCATGCAGCCTTAGTTGCCATTCAGTGATAACTGCTTATAAATGACTTTTCTAGCACTACCCAACCACATAGGTATTTGCTGCTGAGTTGGCTGCAATAAGCAAAGTATTTTGTTCAATTGGGCGATCATGCTGGGAGTCAAATTAGTGACTCATCTATCACCAGCCCAAAATCCTGTTACTTGACCCCTGTGCCTCATTGCAGGTAACAAAAAACAAATGCTTGAAAAACTCTTATTATTAGTTTGATTGTCCCAACTTAACATAGAGGGGTGAGATGGTTATTTAATTTCTCTCTTTTTCTTCAGATCCAGTCACTCAGACACATCATCTCAAACACCTCCCACCAAGAAAGCTCGAGTGGAGATCAGCAGTGCCAATGGAATGACCCCAACAAAAAGGTAAAGAAATACTGTGTCCATTGTCATCGTGAGTTCCTTCCTTGTGAACAGTTACTTAAATAACATGAAGTGTGTTGTGAACATTAGTGTGATGAGATGGTAATATGTTGACCCAGACTAATTCTAATGTGTGTTATAACTATGTCCAATTTATTTGTAAACTGTTAATCAAGTTAGGCATAACAAATACCTTGCTTTTGCAGTTGTATAACATCTGTTACAATAATGGTTCTTTTGGCTTTTTCTTAAAAACAAGGGAAAGTTACAAGTTAATAATGAGTTAGGAGTGTGAACAAGGATGACTGCAATTGAAATGAAAGGTTAGGAAGGACAGTTGTTGCTGGAAATATGAGATCACAATATGATTCCTTATCTCTAGATACAGAAATTTAAACAGAAAAGGAGATTGATCTTGTGAGATTGTGAGGTACCTTCTCTATCAATATCACATAATGTATTAAATAGGACATCAATTTAATTTTGAGATATTTTTTTGAAAACCTTAAAATACACACATTTTAAATGATGAGTTGTAGTGTAGGTAATTAAAAGAATGGAATGTTTAGATAGTATGTCATCGAGGATGATATTAGAAAAATTTCTGTGGAGATGAGTACATTGCCTGTTCACATCGTTAAAGCATGCTTCATTTTGTGTATGTTTATATTAATTGATATGTGTCTGATTTATTTTATTGCAAGCACAAATGCCTGTAAGATGTTTGTTTTCTTTTGCTGTTCCCAAGAGATATCCACAGAATATGGATGACTGCTGATAATTGATTTGCTTTGTATTTCCAAATGGCCAGTCAAACTTATAGTCCTATGTGACTTCCCACCTGTGTGTCTGTCTCCCCATGATCACCATGGTCCTCACTTGTTCCTTCTGTCTCGGTTTATAAACTTGATATAATCTGTTGTTGCAGAGAAGATCTTGAAGTGTCTAACCTCACGGAGAAGAGCCGATACTCATTCTTAAAAGAGTAAGCCAACTCAGAAATCTTCAAAAGTAGCAAACAAAATTGGAAAGGGCTTTTTAATGATTTTAATGTTCACTAGATGTATGAAATTTATCCTTCCTTGGGACAGATATTCACAACAGTGAATTTTGTAAATGTAAGATCCTGATCATCTCTTGATCAGATGCAAAAGCTCTTGTTGTTCACAGTTTAAAATGCAACTGTATTCTTTCTATTTAAACTTTTTTTGTTGGTTTGTTGTTGCTTCATTGAGCTTATTTTTTCACACCTTGGCCAAAAAGCTCTTGTTCCATGCCTGCTTTCACATTCCCATCTAGCACTTCCTTCCCCAGTCTCTGGTTCTGTGCCTCGTAACCCCGCCCCGCCCCCTGCTGTGTGTTGGTTCTTCCTCTTCAAAGCATGTGAGTGCGGTTGTCAATCAAGTTGGTCAAGTTGAGCATGTGTTGCATGGTTTTAAGGTGTTTATATATTTCTGTTTTTGAAATGTTGGGTGAGAGTTTTAGGAATTGCCAGCATTTGAACTCCAGTGTGCTGGTTGGTGTTGGAATAACTTTTGTCAGACATCAATTTATGTCAGTCTTTCAATTGGATTCTAGAAATTGTGTTGATATTGTAGATGATTTTAAGAATTTCAGTTGTTCTACAAATCCAGAAAAATGTCAATGTTTGAGATATAAAAGAATATTATTTCTGAAAGCAATAGTGTGGCATCCTTCAGCTTTTTATTGAGAGACCACTTTCAAAGAGTTCAATGAATTGGTCCCTTATCACAGTTAATCTCTTGCCTTCTTTGTCTGATTATAACCCCATACCTGTTCAGTAACGTTACACAATTTTATTTTATTATCCTGTAACAAGCCCACTTGCTGAATTTGAAATTTTGAATTTGAAATCAAAGATGTTGTTTGATTGAGATGAAATTAATTAAATTTTAGTTGGAATTTGATACTTTCTCTATATATATTACTCTTCTTTTTTTATCACAGATAGTAAGTCTTAAAATAGAAACTGTTTAAAAACTGGTTGCCTTTTGATAGAGTGTTTCACTTTAAAAGAGGTTACTATGTGGGAAAATCTTGATAAAAGGGAATCTGTTTAACAGCTGAATGTGGACCTCTTTATGACTGACATATCAACTGAAGGCAGCAATGATAAAGCTTACATTCATCTTACCAATCTGGATCCGTTTTAACCTTTCTCAATCTTTGATAACATACTGCTCATATCGAATGACTTTTCTCAAATATTTTGTTGTATCTGACAGTTATTTTGTGTGATCTGATCTGACAGTTATTTTGTGTGATCTGATCTGACAGTTATTTGTGTGATCTGATCTGACAGTTATTTTGTGTGATCTGATCTGACAGTTATTTTGTGTGATCTGATCTGACAGTTATTTTGTGTGATCTGATCTGACAGTTATTTTGTGTCATCTGATCTGACAGTTATTTGTGTGATCTGATCTGACAGTTAATTTATGTGATCTGACAGTTATTTTGTGTGATCTGATCTGACAGTTATTTTGTGTGATCTGATCTGTGTGATCTGACAGTTATTTTGTGTGATCTGATCTGACAGTTATTTTGTGTGATCTGATCTGACAGTTTTTTTGTCTGATCTGACAGTTATTTTGTGTGATCTGATCTGACAGTTATTTTGTGTGATCTGATCTGACAGTTTGTGTGATCTGATCTGACAGTTATTTTGTGTGATCTGATCTGACAGTTAATTTATGTGATCTGACAGTTATTTTGTGTGATCTGATCTGACAGTTAATTTATGTGATCTGACAGTTATTTTGTGTGATCTGATCTGACAGTTATTTTGTGTGATCTGATCTGACAGTTAATTTATGTGATCTGACAGTTATTTTGTGTGATCTGATCTGACAGTTATTTTGTGTGATCTGACAGTTATTTTGTGTGATCTGATCTGACAGTTATTTTGTGTGATCTGATCTGACAGTTATTTTGTGTGATCTGATCTGACAGTTATTTTGTGTGATCTGACAGTTATTTTGTGTGATCTGATCTGACAGTTATTTTGTGTGATCTGATCTGACAGTTATTTTGTGTGATCTGATCTGACAGTTATTTTGTGTGATCTGATCTGACAGTTATTTTGTGTGATCTGATCTGACAGTTATTTTGTGTGATCTGATCTGACAGTTATTTTGTGTGATCTGACAGCTAGTTTGTGTGATCTGATCTAACAGTTATTTTGTGTTTGAGTGAATAAGACAAGCACCAATATAAAGCATTGAGATTTCTCTCAGGTATGTGTTATCTTGTGAAATATTTTCATGCTGTTTTACCTCAGTGCTTAATTAAAAAAAATTTCAACATGTAAGTTTTTCATACTATTGCAGATGAAAAAAATATGTTTTCAGGCTGCTTTCAACAATTTTAACCTTGTGTTTCACAGCAGTCTTTTGCACATAGAACAAGCCAGTTGAACTCTTCTTGATGTAGTTTCAAAACTGAATCATATTGAGATTAAAAAAAAAAAAAATTGATGATATTAAATCTTGGTATTTCACCTCCAGCTGCTGCACCTAGAGTAAGCCAGTCAAATGTTACTTGTTGCACTTTCATATCTATAGGATATATTTTGCAATGTTAACTAAATCATCCATATAAAAGTCAGCTACATATTTGATATTAGTTCTTGCTTTAATACCTCGCAACCTTAGCAAAACTATTTTTATAAAGAAGAAATGATCTGAAACCATCACTTTAATAAAGATTGTAAATAATCTGTCCAAAAACTACAGGTTTTATTTGAAAACATGTGACCTCCTAATTGTTGCTGTTTTAGTTTCTGTTTCCATAATTTACATGTATGAAAAAATAATCTCTCATTAAAAGAAATGAATATTTCAATTAGGCTGGTACTGTCCATCTCCATGAACTTAACACAAGAATGACAGGGAGTAATTCCATCATGGTGTCATTCACATCTGTCTTTCTTTCTGTTTCTTTACATTTTATATTCCTGTTTTATGTACAGCAGTAGTAGTTTCTCCATGAGCCTTTCCTCGAGTCTGTCCATGCTGAACGCCAGTAGTGCCACAGATAAAGTGGATGACCCTCACAGCTCTGAGCATCTCATTGCCCTACAACAACTACAGGACCAGCTGGACGCCATGCGTAAACAACTCCAGGCCAAGGATCAACAACTACTGGAAAAGGACAAGCAGGTACATATTACCACTTCACTGTCATTACATTCATTGGCTATGTAAATTTTATTAAAGATTCAAGTTGTGCTTAGCTGGGAAATACATGTAATTACAGTCAAGAAGATTACCTTGGTACAGAAATAAAACAAAAACTTAACGTTTAACAGTTTTAGATATACAGGTAAGATACGTATAGTTGGGGGCTAAAGTTGTTCTTATCATGTATAGTGTTACAACAAAAGAGATGGAAGAAATTAAACTCGGTCTGCACCACAAACTTATCTTATTTGCATAATTGTCTATGGAGGGTTTTTTACATAACTCTAGAAATTTGTCATACATCACATGAAACAAAAAGACTTGGTCACTTAATGATGATGCTAGTCTTTGTTTTGACCTAGGTAGTTTCTGGCTTTAGATCAAGGTCATTGTCTTTTTGAACAGGTCAAAGTCACTTTGACTTTAAGGAGAACAATATCATTGTTGATTTGAAAAGCTCAAATATTCTACATGTATTTTTCTGAGTAATCATATTTACATAAAATTATGTCTTCTTGTGATCATATGAATTGCCAGTCTATGTATCTGTCTGAATTGTTGATTTTCACAATTGTTAATATTTCTTTTTCAGATCAATGAACTCAAAGCGCAGGCTTACGAAGCTGAGAAAGAGTCTCGACTTAAGATTCAGACCATCCACAAACATCATGCTGGCACACTGGAGTCTCTCACGGTAACACATTTCCTACCTTGAAAATTGTATTTGTGAAAATACCTGAAATAGACAAACACGAAACTAGCATTCACATGATAACTATGTAATGATGAATATTCCTGATTTTATCCCATCTCTAAGGAAAGTTGACAAGGGATATAGAAGCATGATCTGTTTGTATCAGTTAAGAATTTTTTCATCCATTACTGGGTAGTAATATGAGCATAATAGATTGTCTACATTGATGCAGCTAGGATTTGTCTTCTGCACCCAAATTGTGAAAACTAAATTTGACTTCCAATTCATGTTTCAGTGACTCGGTTAATAACTATTTCATCCATATGTAGTCGTTAATGTAGCTAGTATTAGTAATCTTTGCACTACATGTTGCAGATGCTGAATTTTACCAATTTTTTGTTAACATATAGAAATGCGAAATATTTGAACTCCTCAATGCTTCTTCTGTAACTATTGTAAAATAGATACCCTCAGGTTTGAAATTAAGAATGCCTTCATTCTAAGGCTGAAAAGAGGAAGATATGTGTGTAAAATGAAGATACCCAGATGATTGCACATCTCAAGAATTATATAGTATTTCAATGATTTAACTCTAAACTGTTATGATTTTGCTTGCAGACCAAGAATGCAGAACTGATGAAACAAATAAAAGAATTAAAACCAGCCAAAGGAAAGAATATACGTTCCTGATTAGAAGAATGTTCTAGGACATGAGAAAATTAATTGCGGAAGCAAAGATCTGTACAAAAATACACTGCACTATATTTCTTAATATTCCCTCTTGTATCATGTATTTGTTTAAAACTTGTGTTTCATTTGTGAATGCTTCATTATTGTGCTGAAGATAAAACTTTGGGAACCGGGGACATATCTCCATGATAGATTTTCTTACACAGGGATATGTTTGGTTGTGTTTGCTTTAATTGTCAGTCTTAAAATATATTAAATAAATATATATCAAAAAAAAGTTATTTGCCAATTTCTTTTCATCATCTTTAATCAGACAATGGGAATTTATTAATTTTTTTTAATTTATTTTTTTTATCGATAGTTATACACAATATCTTCAATTTTGTGGGGTATGGGTTTGATCAGTCCCTAACTTGATCTTTTAAACGCAGGTATTAATGTATATTCTTCATGTAAACAACCAAAACCATAATCATCATATCCTTCACTCATTTCATAATTCAAAGAATCAGCCATATAATGGAAGATTAAAAACAACAAAATTCTTTGAATTTAAAAAATGCCAAAATATTGATTTTTTTTTAAACATTTTGTAAAATAAAAGTGGATGTTGCAATTTCTTTGTTAGAAACATGTATATATTTATTATTATGATGATTATAGTATTGTAATTCTTCATTATATCATTTATTTAATGTTCCAGTGATGTAAGATCTCAGTTATTGCACCATGGATTATAATACAGGTTGTATCCCCATCATCTATTGCATTTTTTAATGTATACCCAGACTGCTGTGCAGTGTTAGAACACAGGCACAGAAATAATTCACATGTAAAATGTTAAAGCCCATTAAGATAATATTATGTTTTAACTTAACAGGTAAAGCAATCTCATTCATGTGTACAATTCGACTTTGGAAGCCTTCATGAAGGCTTGTCAGAAGTAAGATTTGTAGGTCAGTCAAAACTCAGCACAATATCTATATTAGGTATTCAGTAATATGCAAAATTCTCCATATAACCACAGAAGCTGTAGCAGTTTCTTTCAATTAAAAATGAATTGATGTTGATGTGTATGTATACTTGAAATGGTGCGTTTACTTTTACTTTTTTTTTTTTTTTTTTTAAATTAGGTATGGTGAGTTTAAACTTTAATGGAAACTCAGAATGTGTAACATGTATGGTCCACAAGGGACCAACATTGTGTGAAACAAATGTGACATAAAATTTTGTGAAATATGTGAAACTTACATTTTTCATGTAAAATTATTAACTGATACACAGGAAGCTTTCTTTGTCATGTAATTTACTGAAAGATATAACAGAGAAAAAATCAGACACAATAAAAGGAAAGATGGAATTAATTTAGACTTGGGCCATGATGATATTTATGTACATTTAAATTGTTATGCTGTTGATATCATTTAACTTGTACAGTTACTGGTATTCAGATTAGTTTAAAACTACCTCCAATGAATTTGTGTTTTAAATTTGTGTTTTAACGTTTGATTATTTCATAATTGCAGTTTATTTCATCTGAATCATAATTTTAACTTCATCTTTATACTGATACTGATTAATTTGTAAGCCTCATTGCTGATTAACTTTCCAGATTACAATAGAATTTAGTTCTTGAATTTTCATCTTTCATTTTAACATTTGTTTAAGTTAAATTAAGCAGAGAAATTGGTGATCTATATTGGAATATAGGGAAAATGTTAAATTATACAACAAAATGGTCACTGAAATAAGAAATTGCATGTGAACCTAGTTTTTTTTTAAATGTACATATTGCATATGTTATGTAAGTTATTATGAGAACTGACTGTACAAATTTTAGACAAGTAATATACACATGTTCTGGTTGTTGTCTCCCTTGCATTCAGTCTTGTATCAGAAATGTTTTGTACAAAGTTTCCTGTATTTCATGTAAATAAGAGTTTGATATTAGGAAACTGTTAATTCACTTAATTGAGAATGGCATATCATTGCTAGTGATCCAATATTTAGTGAGTCTTTACAATGTTACAATTTCAGGTCTAATTTTTCTGGTATGATTAATTAGTTTTAAATTGGAACGCAAATATTTAACAGTACCAAAACAAAATTTAATTGTTGATTAAAGTTAGTGTGTATTTGTTTTACAGATGTCCCTATTTATTAAATTGGAGTTGATCAGATGCTATGTAACTTAATTGGATTTGAATTTTTTTAATAGTCACATATGGTGGTATATTGATGTCCGTGTTCAATGATTTTATCATAATTATATACATGTACTGGTTATATTTAATCATTGACTTTTTTATCGGGGCATTTGCATGTATTAAAGTATTCATAGGTAGTGAAATTCTCCTTTGCTGACAACAAGAAATGTATTTAACATTCTATCATGATTATTAAGAAATGATATCGAGGTAAGAGATGCAGGGAATTATCTTTGTTTCTTAGGATCTTAAGTTTTTTTCGATCTAGTTCTTGCCACAAACTTAATCAATACTCTTCATTGTCCTATCGTCAAAAAATATCTTTTTTTTAATTTTCTTTTACTTAAAGGTTTTCTCTGCTATCATTGGGAAAGAAATTTTAGAGTCATCATTGGGGTAAGGCTTAAAGTTAAAATAGATAAGTATAAAATATATTTCAGTATGTTATTTACCACCACAAAATACATATGAACGATTGGTATGTCTCAATAAAAACAATTTTGCACTTCAAACATTCTGTGGAAAGGTATTTTATTTATCTGTGTGTAAACTTGGTATTTATATAATCCTGATGATCTGTTCAGTCCAAATTTTCTGTTGATGTTGAAAAAGGTCTGGAAATTCTGCTTTCATCTTGATTCAATTTTAATCTTGTGAAATAGATATTTCATTATAAAAATAGGGATTGAAAATTAGATATGTATTATGATCAGAAATTTATATTGAATTTTTTAACAACAGGGGCCTGACAGTGATAGCTATAGTGAAACTCAGATTTGTGTAAACTTGCCTAAATATACATATTATTTACAATATAATTTGTATTTGTCTGACCCCTGCACTTACTTATGATTGCAATTCACTACAATTGACTGATCATTACTTCAAAAGTTTACCAGGTACATACTGGTATTGGGGGTGGGGGGATAAAAATTGTTCAGTTCTGTAAAATCAGATCATTTTTTAACGAGAAGATTGAAAATGAAGAAATGTAGCCATCAACAAAATAAGCTTGAATCGGTTTCCTAATTTTGTCTTCCCAGTAAAACTAGCTATCATTTGAAATAGATTTCATCAATATACATTATATTTTATTGTGACATAGATTCTTTCACATTTTTTATGTCATAAGATTTTTAAATGTGTGTTTTCTGTATTTTTTATCATTTAATATGTTTGTTAATAAGATATTTAAATTATTGTCTTTAATCATTGATAGAGACATTATCTTATCTTCACATGAATTGATAATAAAAACATCAACGCAGACCTTTAGAACTTGATTTGAAGAAGATTCAAGCTGTTAAGATCCAAATGGTTAGTGATATATATGAAGTTATATGTCATGGTGAGATAGATATTTATTATGTGAAATTTCCCATCTGAAAATTCATAGTTTTGTGTTGTGATTGTTATTTTGGACTTCTGTATTTATTGAAGTGCTATAATATTTATTGTTACATCTTGTAAATATTTTGACACAACACCCAAGTAATTTCAATCTAAAATCTTTTTAAATTTTACGATTTTATTACATTGTATATTCATTAGACATTTACTAATTGCCAGAATAGTCATATTGCAGTCTGAAATAATAATTCTGTTTATGTTTTCTCCAATATCATGTCAGTCTGGAGACAATTATTTAGAACTTGTTAGATATCTGGCTGACAAGACTTTTTAAAAGAAATTTCCTGTACACTAGAGAGAAAAAAAGAAAACAAATGCAATAATTAGTTGGTGTTTTTAATCAACTTTCAGTATGTGTTCATGATATGATGAATTCAGTACTATTTTTGTCACAAGTAAATTTCATTTTCATCCAGAAGTTTGTTGTACCGAGTGTTTATCTTGTAAAGGCTGGTATATAAAACTCATATTATAATTGTGTATACATTTGTTAGTGTAGCTGAATTAAAAATAGCATAATAATAAATAGTGTCTTTGTTTTACTACACAACAGTCATTACAATGCTGAATACATATATCTGATATATCTGACAGACAGACAGACAGACAGACACACTGACAGACAGACAGACACACTGACAGACAGACAGACACACTGACAGACAGACAGACTATCTCTTCTTCCTCTTTTATTAGAGATTATAATATTTTAATTCAATGAATTGATTTGATTTTGATTTAATTCACTTAATTTGCAAAATGCTGACTTTCTAGAAATTCTAGAATAGATTATACAAAAGACAAACAAGTGAATCGTACAATTCAATACAAATTTCTAACTGGAAATAAGAGCCAATCAATTCATTAAACTGCATCATACAGGTGTTTCGTCACTTTTTGACTCGCTGGTGAGGCTAGGGACCTCAGTTTGGAAACCAAGGAGGAGAATGAGGAAAATCAGAAGAGATCAGTAAGAAAAAGAGATCATATTGTTACAAAAAGGTTGATGTCTGGGACTACAGATACCACAAGGTATATAAAACAATGTTTACCAAATCAGTGACCTATTGAACTAAATACAGGTTTATCTTGTCACATGATAATTCCTGTTGTATTATAAGCATGATACATTCAATATAAATCTATTTTTGAATTGACAAGATGTTTCTTTAGTTCTGTTTACTTATATACTTACCTAAACTTCAGGTGAGTTGTTCTCCTTATTTAGCAAAACCTTACCAAAATTAAAATTCTGACATCTTGCACAGGAATCAATGGATGGCACATCCATATGGGTATCTTCTACTTCTTTTCATTTCACCATTATCAATCTCCTAATAATAGTCTTATAAAATTGTCTTTTTGTCTGTTCACAGTCAGTCCAACCCTCGAGCTTTTCAATTCTTTGATTTTGTTTTTGTTTTTTTTTTCTCTGGATTCTTCCATTTCAATTCGGTTTTGAATTTTAAAATTCTTTGCTACACCCCAAGAACTGCAATATTAAAGTTTTTAAATTGGTCATTCAATATGGCGGCCGTTGGCTACTTTGATAAATAAAGGCATTAAAATTAGATACCCTTTACTTTTCTATGTCAACATAATACAACTCGATTAACATATAACTGGATATAAAAAAAAATGTTAAGGTCTAAAGTTTGACACCTAGAAAGCGACTGAGGAAAATCCAAAGTGATCGAAAAAGAAGTCAAAATCTAGATGCGGAGGTTATTTGAAAGTATTTAAGGATTATCTCCCTTGTACCACGATTAGTGACGATATCAGAAGTTATTTCCCTTTTATTTAGAAAACTGCAGGAATCATACTAAAATGATATCTAATTGAGTATAAATTCACAACATTATTATTTTTTACACAATAATTTATATTTTGTGTTTACTATGAAAATGCAGCTCAACACCATGATTTTGGGTTATCAATAAAACGTGTACAATCAAGAAATTGTGAGATATGCAAATTTAAGGCACCTTCTGTATCGAGAATAAAAAAGTAAATATATACGAGAGCGACTCTATGTTCTGTTATGCCTTAAACTAATGAGTAAGGAAAATAATGAGCCTGGGTAGCTACAGGCTCCCAAGTTTCATCTTGGATTAATTTCTTCATGGGGCACAGGACGCCCCCAGGTGACCTGCCTACTTTAGCGGGATGCCTGGGTTGTAGTGGACTGCCCTGCCCAAATAAAAGCTAACGAGAAAGAAACTATCATGGAGCCTTATGCGGATTATAATTTTCTACCTTGGAAAAAGCACGAAAACATATAAAGACACGCTAACGAATGCTATAATGTTTTAAATCCAAGCGACGAGGTGAAAATGAAAAGTTTCTACAGAAAATCGTTTAGTATATTTCACAATGTAACTGTTTCTGATACGAGAACACATTTATTTCCATATAACCGATAAACTTCAACATTACTGTTTAAAGTGATCACTTTGATTTGAACTTTTTCCGCATGTAATATCAAAGATAAAATTAAGCTGGAAGTGAAAACATATTACGTTTAAACGTTCACATACGTAATATTTTCTACTTTTTTCATTGTGTCTCCACTCCCCCTTACACCCCTCTAGTCCTATTCAACCTCCCTATAGACCATCTAGCACCTTTAGTACTCTACAAGTCTATTAAACCTCATTCAGCTCTTCTTCTCTCCCCTCCAGTCCCCCTTACACCCCTCTAGTCCCATTCAACCTCCCTATGGACCATCTAGCACCTTTAGTACTCTACAAGTCTATTTAATCTCCTTCTATTCCTCTAGTCTACCCTCCAGCCCCCTTACACTTATCTATTCCCTATTAAATTTTCTCTATCGTACATCTAGCCCCTTTTGTAACCTAGAAGTCTATTTAATCCCCTTCGGTTCTTCTAGTCTACCTCCAGCCTCCCCCGCCTTTTTTCTTACCTGTTCATTGTCCCTATGGTTTTCAACGAGTTCGGATTCTGTTAATCTCTTTGTTGTTCTAAATGCCATTTTTTCTTAAAAACTGGGAGCTAAACATGAGTTCGTGCAAACATTTTGCTTGCTTGTTCTTCAGATATGTGTAAGAGATGTGTGGTCGTGAAAATCATGTAGTTTTGGTGTTATTCAACAATCACTGAGAAAATATGTTGAGTTGGAATATATGAAAGAACGAAGGGATGTGGGATAAAAAAGAAAATCCTGGCGTGACCTGATTAACTTTGTCCAAACAAGGTCAGCTACAAGATTATAATAATGCTTTACAACAGTAACAGGGCTTTGATATTGAGACGAATGAATACGGGTATCGATGTGTAAGGGATACAGTTCTGTATACCTGTTCCAGGGTCGTATAACCTGTTATACCTCCCTGTTTGTTGGTATCAGCGTTAATATACACTTTAAAAGGATATTCCGTCCAAGATGCCAAATTTCTGGACGTTCTGTGCCTTTTGAGATCTGAAGGATCACTGAATGATATATTTTATAAGTATTTATGTTAATCACTAAACTTTCTGCTGTGGTTACAATTTTATTACTTCATTCAGCTTATTTTCTGTTGATTTTATTAATTTATACAGATATTTCAATCTGGTCGGTATATAACAAGTCACACCTGTTATGACGCAATCAGGGTCGCGCGAACGTTTGTAAATCGATTTCGCACATCTTTAAATAAATATTGGGGTGTACGATTTCCAAAAGAACAGCACATAAGTAGATGATTTTGTACAGTTTTCTTTAAAAGCATTCTGTGAAATCTAACTTGTGAAGAATATCCCTTTATAAGTTAAAACGGGTAAACTTGTGATCAAATTTTGCTATGAAAACTACCTTTTTCATGATTGGTCAAATAAAATATATCGATATTGTGAGTGTAACAACCATGAGGTCATCAGAGTACAGTAAAATATATTTTTAAGTATGGTACGGTTTAACGTCATAAGACGTTCTGATATACAGTACAGTGTCCTCTACAATCACGTGACCTGTAAAACCAGGTAGCAACGAACACTATGAATACCAGAATGCAATTAAAAGCCGACTGAATACACATTGCTGAACGTATTACTTTGAACGTTGATGTTATAAAACAATTTTCAGAATTGGTCTATGTTCGGTATTTCATCATTTTAACAATATTAGTTTATTTAGTTATCGATACCTTTATGGATCAAAAGTGTTGTCCTCACAAATATTGCTTCTGAACATTGATATGTTACTATTGTTCACATGCATACCTTTTTGAAAACAAACTTACAACCTGTATTAATTCTTTGACCTTTTCTAAGCTAACCATGAAAAATCAACATCGGAATTGTCAAATGCCAATGTTAAAAAATGAGTTTAAAAGAAAAAAATAATTGATTACAATATCATAATGTTGAAAGAGCATTGTAAAAAGCTATAAAGGCAACATTAATAGAACGACACAGCCAATTGTTCACAATATTTTTTTTTATTCATTTATTTATGGTAACTTTCATTTTGAAAACTATTATTAAACAACTTTATAGTCACAGTAATATCTTGTAAGCGGATTGGCACAAATTTTAAATCGGTTCGGGAGTTAGGGTTTCTCTGGGATTACAGTATATCCTGGTACCTATGATAAATCATAACACTTACTAACACAATTTACAATAACTGGAGCACCATGAACGATACCAAACAGAATTCGTCATCAGGATTGAAAATGGACAACGGCAGTCACTGAACACCGAATTCCTACATTTGAATGAAATTGTGGTACTTGTAAATATGAAAGATTCCAGTATTTTCGCTTGTAGAATGTGGCTGTTTGTATTTATCCTAATCAGCTGTGTACTTGTTGAAGTAAAGTGTGCTAATGCTACAGACAAAACAACTCTAAATGCAGCCTTACTCACCGGATACAACCCGAACGTACTTCCAGGATCCGACTATTCAACGCAACTTCTCAACATCAACGTTAGTTTCATGTTTTCGTCTCTTCAGTCTTTTGTGGAAGTCACGGGAGAACTTTCCATCGTAGGCTATTTTGAAATATTTTGGAAAGATGAACGATTAGCGTGGGATCCCGCTACCTATAACTATGTGAATGGCACACACTTGAAACAGAAGGAGATCTGGACTCCACCATTTATGCTCGTCGACAGTGCTGAAGATGTCAAAATTATTGGCGATGAGGACATGCATTTGAGTGTGGACTACACAGGCGTTGTAATGTGGTCTCCTCCGGCTAGGATTCTTTCGGCATGTGACGCTGATGTCACTTACTATCCTTTTGACCGACAGACGTGTGTGATGAGATACATGCCCTGGGGATACACAGCAAGCGAGATCCAGCTAAACGTAATATATTCTTCTTTTCTTATGGACATTTTCAGTGAAAATCCAACTTGGAAATTAATCAGCACAGGATTCAAATCAGTTCAAACTCCATTTCTACGTTTTGAAATGAGTGTTCAGTTTGAAAGGAGGAACGCATTTTTCGTTGTCAATTTGATATTGCCCATCATCTTTATGTGTTTAACAAATATGTTTGTGTTTTTGATTCCGGCGGATTCTGGAGACCGGATGGGTTTTTCTACCACTTTACTCCTGACGATCGCGGTGTTTCTTTCGATTGTAACTGCCGCTTTGCCTCAGTCCTCCACCCCATCCATCTCGTTACTCTGCTATTTACTCATCGTCCACATTCTGTTGAGTATGTTGGTAATGATTTGTACAATTATCGGATTGAGAATGTTTATGAAACCTCCAGAGGAACCGGTACCTAAATGGTTAGCGAAACTTACAAGATTTGTTCACGTGATCACATGTAAGAAACATAAGGTTAATCCTGAAAAAACAGAGAAGAAAGATGAGGTTGAAGACATGACTGAGAACGACGACAAGAAAGTCGATGACTACATTACGTGGATTGTTGTCAGTAATGCATTTGATAAGATCTGCATGGGCTTTTTCATGATGACAGCGATGTCGTTTAATCTAACTTTTCTCTTTGTATTATCTACTTCATCGTGACAATTTGTATAATTAACAAAAGCTTGATTTATTTTCCCATCTCAAATGTTTCCTCTTACCTCATTGAACAACATACGGGAGGCCCATTAAATGTTTTTCACAATAATTAAGGTAGTGTGTGTTGCCAATAAACACGGCCATACTGGCACAGACCGGACCGTTTCTCAGCTTCCATCCTAAATGTGTATGTCCGTGTGCTTTTGTTTAGATTTATTTGGATGTTTTCAGTAATTTTTATTAGTTTTATGATATATCCCGTTATATCACTCCACTTTTTTTCTCAGCTGACGGCATAATTCACGTTGAAGAATCCTGGGACGAAACTGCTCGTGTCTCTTGTGCAATTCTATTCAACTGCTAGGTCGTAAGCTCTAGACTCAGTCCCCGATAGTTGCCTAAAACTTGTATGTTACGTCTAGATTATTGAAAGGAAAAAAAAACGGTTCCAAAAAAGTCAACAATATCCAAAGGCTGATTTTTTCCTACAACGGAATCAACATGACAACTTTCAAGCAGTGTGATAAGCGTGATTATTCCAAATATTTCTATCGGAAATTTTCCATTTCTAGATAGCAACAACCCTGCATCTTCAAGCTTTGACGTTTACATGTGTTTAGATATGGCTAGCTGGTTAGATGTTAAGGCTGCTTTATTCCAAATATCACGATTTTCAAGCAAGATGTGGGCATCTCACAAACTAGGGTGGTCGGGTGGCGCAGTGGAAACGCACTCGCCTTTTACCTAGCCGACCGGGGTTCGATTCCCGGAACGGACGTGAAAAGGTAAGGGGTCACCTACCCGACCACGTGGGTTTTCCCCGGGTACTCCGGTTTCCTCCCACAATAAGACCCCTCGCGCGCTTACATCCGGGCCAACAAGAGTGATTAGTATAAGTTGACATAACTTGTTTCGCAATTGTTGTAAAATAAATAAGGTTTATATTTATATATATTTATCTTACAAACTCGTCACACGTTGTTTCGAGAGACGCATGTTGATGAAGATTATTAAGTTTCATCGTTGTCATAATGAACTCGTTGAGAAAAAGGAAATACTTAATTTCCTTGTCCAATGTGAATCTGGACGCGTTTGGTACGTGTGTGACATTGATTACTTGGATTCACCAAGACTGACATGGATGGTGTCGTCGATGAAGACGCCAACCCTTCCAGAATACCTTGTCTTAATCTCCTTTCACATTTGAGGAGTGTCCGTGCAAGTCTTTCGTTGTTCAGGTTTGCCTTTGTTTCATCGACTTTGAGTTTGAATAAAAATTCTGTTGACACTTACACAATTTCTTTGTTGTTACTGTTACCCCCTGGTTTCAACAACTTAGGCCGATAAGTCCCAGAATGATGAAACATCTGTACAATGCAGTTGATCTAATTATCTGGTACTAGTGAATCTTAATTCTTAACTTGAATAGAATTAAAATTTGAGAAATACAGGTACGCGGCAATCATGTAAGTCGAAGGCAGGTGCATCTAATATCCGGTCAAACAGGTTGTTCTTGAAGTGTTTTACGTGGTAGTGTTAAGTTGTAGAGCATTCTAGCTTTTGGTCAGTTCAGGATCGGGTCGCTTAAGTTCGACATAAGTCAATGTACGGAAATATATATAATGGCAAATTTAGAGTATCAGACTGTATGTAGATCGTATGTATACTCGATGTTAGAAATCCCACTAAGATTAATTTGAGGCATAGGGCTGGAGTTCCTCCCGTCTCCCTAAAACGGGTTTCCAATTTGGTTGACACGCTTGGTTTATTTAGACCTGTGGGGTTGAGTTTGTGGATTGTGGCTTTTATTTAGTTATGTATGAACAAGTTTCGAAATAAACGCCGATTCAGTCGTTCCTAGAGCCACATCAGCTAATTGCATATAAATATTTTGGAGTTTATTGAGCTCACAAAGTGTAGGTGTTGTTCAGTTGTGGGTCTGTTGTACAATTTTCAAGACTCTACTGACCATCTCCCTCCTTGGTGTTACGGTATTTTGTTATGCTTTCAACTTTGGTAGTTCATCTTTCATTGTAATGTTTTTACACAACTTCATTTTATGATCGGAGGTTCACCAAACTGATTGTGCCCTTGTACGCAATTTAATTCAGTACATCATGCAATACAGAATATTGTAAAAATTAAAAGAAAAAAAAAATAGGAAAAAAATGAAAACACAAAATTAAAAAAAAAAATCGAATAATGTCACATTAGTATTGGATTCATCGTTTCCCTTCCCCAACATTTTACAAGTTTAGAGGTCCCCTTTGGTGGATTTCACCTAGAAACACAAACTCAATAATTTCAGCATGACTTCAGTTTCATGCAACAAAGTCAGAGTGGTATTTATCATTGTCTTCTGGTCAGGTTTTTCTTTTTCAACTTCCAGTCAGCTTTACAATTAAACATTCACGCATATTTATTGTATTATTCTTGTTATTATTATCATGTTGTTTGAATTCAGAATTCATGTTTTACCAGTTTCCCATTTAATTGAAATGAGAACCCTCATTATCCATGTATTGTTTACAAGGCACACATCTCTGTTACGTTTTGAATTTGACAACAAACTATGATGTGTGATAAATTTCCTTATCCCTGAACATCTGTGTTACTGCCGATAAATTGCCTAGAAACACTGTGGATACCTGTTAATAAAATGATCTATAAAAATTCAGTTCTGTTAGTTTTTGTTTGTTTGGTTTTTTTATCCATTCTTTTTTTTTCATTTTAGTTCTCGAATAGAATTCACAAAAAGCAAATATTTTGAAAAAACTTCGAAAAATGAAATGGTTTACACTTGTTCATTTAAAAGAAAAGTATGATTATATCTGTCCAAGAGTTTTTTTCAAGCTAAGTGGTGCCCTTTCAGTAATCATTAGGCTCCGACACAACAACTACATGTTTGTATCTTTAAAATTCTTTTATTTCACATCCAATACCAAACATGAACATAAAATGATATTGTATATCAGATATTACTATATATAGAAATTACTTGTTGACAGTAACCAGGGATGTTTAATACTATTATATTTTATTACAGGTACATGTATTTGCTGGAACATTTTATCTTATTTCATATTCCAACAACACATGAAATCAAATTTATGCTTTGAAAATACGGTATACTGAAACATTTAAGAAATATTTGCTCTTGTGATTTCAGAATCTTTTCTATTACAATTCTTTCTATTTCAAAAAAGAAATATAAAAGAATAAAAATCAAGAACATGTCTTTCTAACAAATCCAGCTGTACTCAGTGTCAACTCCTCTCCCCCATCCAAAGTATCAAAAAAACAATGTATGGAAAAGCCCTTTGGCAAACAATTTTTGGGGGGATTTTTTCCAGTTATGAACCAACCTAAAACAAATAACTATTTGCATGCACACTTTATTTACAAAATCTGAGTTTGGTGATAATGAACACGTATAACACACACGAAAAAAACTTTTAAACATTTGGATGAACACAGGTTTATTTATGAAAAACATCTTTTCAAAATTCCTTATTTCATAATTTTGATTCTCTGAAATTATATAAGCTCTAAGTTTAAAGAATATTTTGATGTCATGGTTTTACACATATCACAGTTTTTCCACGTCCATGAAGTTGTCCGACTTTCTCATAAGCTGTAGGTACTTCATCAAACGTGAACACCTTCTCTACTACAGGTTTTATCTGAAATGAAAGAAGGCATGAACAGTATGTTACATGGATTGCAGAGTTACTTCCCTTATTCGTTGACAGAAAAACGTATCAATAACGTTTCTGGGATAAAAGAGGTACATGACTTTACCTTCAAACAAAGTTTTAAAGGAGGGAAAATGGTACAAAACTGAAATAAATATCTTACAATTCATTCTCATTATCTTTATCATACTAAAGATAATTTCTCTGTACATTTAAAAACCATTTCAAAATGACTCTGACAAAATTTACATGAATTGGAGTATTAAATATACAAGTAAACCTGGAGATTTTATAATTCTTTCTGATTTGAATAAGAGTTTAACAACTACTTCTCTCAATCATGCCTTAAACTAATGAGTAAGGAAAATAATGAGCCTGGGTGGCTACAGGCTCCCAAGTTTCATCTTGGATTAATTTCTTCATGGGGCACAGGACGCCCCCAGGTGACCTGCCTACTTTAGCGGGATGCCTGGGTTGTAGTGGACTGCCCTGCTTAACACATTTTAAATTAGAATAACTTTTGGTAAAACCATAATCTTGAATTCAGAAATATTTATGTCTCAGATTCAGAATAGAATAATTTTCCCCTCATACTACAATAGTCCTTGGTATTTGAAATAAAGGTTTTTATTTTTCTGTTTACCAAACCTGTCAGTTTTTGTAAGGTGTTAAATTGTTCTCTTTACAAGTATGCAAATCATCACTTCAGTGTCAGTAAAATACATATAACATTGCAGCATATAAAAAAAAACATAGTAAATAGACAGTTATTAAATGCAAACTGTAACTCCAAACCAAAATCTATGTGTTTTTTAATAGTGGAAACACATTTGGAATTTGTGTAACAGATATTTTTTTCTTCCTTCACAGTAAACAATATGCCTACTAACTTTTTTTCATTGAATTAGTTGTATTAATGCCACTTCATCAGATTCATTAGTAAAAGAAAATAATTAATGTGGTTTCATAATATATATATAAAAAAAAAAAGAAACCTTTCTTTTGGAATGATGATCTTAACAATTCATTGCTAAGAGTATAATATAAAAAAAAGATCATTGTTTGTATCTATTAAGCATCAATGTTATTAGTACAAGTCTTTCACCTGTTCTTCATCCACCATCTTTGCTATTGTGCCCAGAGCTTTCCCATCTGGCATGAAGAATGCTACTCGGTAATTTTTTCCTTCTCTAAAACCCTTGTAAAAGAAAAGAATCCAAATATTTTTATCTGAATCAAATATTCATTTGAAGAAATAACTAGCGGAAGTTGAATGAAATAAGAAAAGGCTAGAGAGAGGAATTTTGGAAAACAAAAACTCAAACATCTTGTTACACAGCACAAAAATTCTAATTTTCTTTCCTAACTCAACACCATCACAAGTAATGGAGAGTTTTTTTTATTGCTCTCTATCTCTCAATTTATTTCTAATAAGACAAAAAGATGCTGATTAAACTATTTGTCCACATTTCCTAGGTAACAGAATAATTTTTATCACAAAAAAATATACCTTGATAATGTCTAACCCTAAGTCAGCTCCCCATTTGAGGGCCCCAGGAAGGAGGCCGTGACTGTCAGTCTCAGGAAGGAGAGGAGACGCTATGGTTACAAACTTTCCTCCTTCCCAATTTTTCAAGAAGTCAATGGAATAGCCTGTCTTCTCTTTTCCAAGTGGATCATATATCAAATCAAATCTGAGAATCAAAAAAAAAAATAGCCTAGGACTCCAACTGAGATGAGAATTTGAGTTTCACTGCCTGGAAGCTTGAAAACATTCACATGTAATTTTTAATAACAATGATCATATTGTTGGTAGAATTTTATCCTTTTATCAGACAAACTAATAAAATAAAACAGAATTGATAAATATAGACTTAGAACTAAAACAATTGATAAAGTAAGATATCAGAGTGAATTATAGTGCTGCCATTTGAAAGTTATTCAGTACTTTCAAACACAGCAGCAACTTAACACAGTCAATGGTCTTTGCTGTCGTATAGGCATTCATTTCAAGACAAACAACACTTACTTTTCCATCTGCAGTAATTCAGATTTTGGATCTTGTGTTTTGTAATCAATTATTGCATCTGCCCTCAAGTCACGTACAAGATCTACTCCCTCTGTACCACAGATTGCAGTGACATGGCCGCCCCATGCCTTCAACAGCTGACAAATAAGAATTCATTTTGTATTTGAATATCAAGCATCAACACATTGTGTTGATAAATTTCAATGTATTCACAGTGTAACTAGATTTTTGTTTTGTTTTTTTTAAAAAGCATTTCAATCTTCAAAAATCCTATGCTTTCATCAAAGAAAACAAAAACTAATGACTTTATCTTCAAAACGTCTATAGGTAACACAGTGAAGCAGTGATCCAGAGTCATAATGTGATGCTTTTGCTTTTTCACAGGAACAGATTGGGACCAAGGCTGGACTGTGGAATATTTAGTCTGGTCAGATTGAGGGGTCCATTCATACCTAACCTAAACTTAACTTTAGGCTGAAATTCTGAAAAATAATTATATTCAGCTAGTTAAGTTTAGGTTAGGTATGGCTGAACCCCTCAATCTGCCCATACTAAATATACCGCAGTCCAGCCTCGGGTCCCAATCTGTACCTGGCATGTTTCTAGCAGGTTCACGGTCCAACCGTTTCAGTCATTTACATGAAAGCAACCTTGTAACAAGACTTGGATAACAACACATAAACTTTGACTAAGAGCAGAGAGTGGGCTTATCACAGGACACTGGAATAGTTTTTTCAGGAAATCTTGAACATGTTACACATTGGTGGGCTCATTGTACAATAAATATGGAATGTAATAATCAACAAACCTGCTCGGTAACTACAAACTAAAATCTGAATTTGGATTAGGTGGGTCCCTTTTGACACAAATAAGTATAATGACAAAACACAAAATCTATAATCCCTTCAGGATAAATCCAGCTCAACAAAGGTTTCATAACGTCACATCTTATTTACCTGTATTGCAAAAGTTCCAATTCCACCAGACGCACCATGAACCAAAATTCTGAAAGAAGCAAAACCTTAAAAGCTGCCTTTAAGAGAACTGGCATCCATTTTCATATACCAGTATATATTTACAGTACCAAGTTAACATTTCTAGGTAAACATTATACTCAATTTCATGAGACCTTCATCACCATATGCCTATTTTTCCATTCCCCAGTTGTTTGCAGATTTGAAGAAAACTAAATGAAGAAAAACTCATAGGGGATGTTGAAGTTTTGATTGATAATTTTTCATTTATATAAAAAAATCATAAAGCTTTCAGATTGCTAATATTTCATAATTTTTAAATTATTTCACTTAAATAAAAAAATTCAAAACAAATGTATATATGTAAATCCAACATATAGGTAGACAGTATCAGTAAAAGCACACTTCAACAGTGTGTTTATGTATTACTGATTCCCAATATTCTGTAGGGGAGACAACTTCAACATTAATAAGTATATTAATGAACAGTCTAGGTTAAAAATATATATATTACTATTGAAAACACTTAAAATGGTACAGAACTCTGTTCCAGATGGTATAGGGGCAAATACCAACCTTTTCCCTGGTGTGTTTTTAGCATTTAATTCTCCAACTCGCACCAATGCTGCCCAGGTGGTAGCTGCTACATAAGGGATAGAAGCAGCATCAATGTGGCTAAGAGACTTGGGTTTCTTAGAAATCTATAAAGAAGTTCAAGAGATTTTGTTACCCAAGATGTGAACTCATGATAACACAATAATCTGGGTAATTTAATACCAAAGCTATGAGACAATGTGTAAAATTTATAAACAATTCTGCAAACACACCAATGTTATTATGTGTATGTACATGCATGTATACATTTCAGGTAGAATATTTGAAAATGAAAATTTCTTCTGAAATAAGTTAGGATATGGAGTCAGAGAATTTGTCTGCCATTATCTTTTTATCTTTCTGTAACCTACTCCATGTAATTGTTCTCAAAAAATGTTTCTGTAACATGAAGTGAATGAAGATTCTCCTCCTGAAGGATCCCAGTCTTTCATAAAATTACTTCCTGACAAGCTTGTACCCGTTTACACAATTGATTGCACTATTCAAACTTTTAGAAAATTATTCAAATAAAGTAGGGGAAAGTTGTACATCTGCAGTGATATTTACCTCACTCAAATCAGTAACAGCAAACTGTGCATGTGACCCTTGCTTCTGACCTCCTAGAGTTCCCCAAACCTGTTAAAATTTCAAAAAATTAAAATAAATAAAAGAGTGAAGACAATAATGAATATATTTTAATATGCACTACCAGGCATACAGTTTTGTTTCTTTAAATACTGTTTAGCTACAAGTATTTCTCTATTTTAATTTCAGTGAAGTTACTGTAATTGGTTATTTGGTACGACATACCTCATCCCCAACTTTGTAGTTTCGAACAGCCTTTCCTTTCTGAGTGATGACCCCAGAAAAGTCACGACCAAAGACAAGAGGAAACTCTGCAGCAGTTGAAATGGGTGAGGCCTTGCCTCTCAGGACATTCAGAATGTCTTTTCCATAACCCTCTGTAAAATAATCAAACATCATCACAAACTGTAAAAATAAGGTGATTGTGCTTAAGACACTAAAGTCAATAGCACCTTTTAATACAAATTTAGATACAGTAGAACCAAATAAAGAATTAAGACTACTTCATACATCTCTTCACCACGAGAATGAAATATATTTTAGTAAAAAAACAAAAACGAGAAAAAAAACGATTGAAGGAATGGATACAACCTTGTGACAAAATATGATCAAATTCTTCACATTTAAAGAAAACGATATGAAAGCAAATATCATGCATTTTTAAATCACACATATCGTATTCTATGGTAACAGAATCAAAAACACTGAATCGTTCTTTGGTTAAATTTAGAATTAAATGTGTATCATGATAAATATTTTTTGAGCTAAATTAATTCAGATACCCCTACAGACTAATAAAAAAATCAAAAGAATTTCAATATTTCTTATGTCATAATATTTGTATGAGTCATCTTTCTCTAAAAATCTCACTTAATCTAATTATTACAAAACATTATCTTATAATGTAACACCTGTATTCCTGACCAATCATATTAATATTAAATATTAACTGTGTACCTTATGGTATATAAGTTACACAAACCTAAAGTAATATTCTAACATACTTTTGAAAATGGAGAGTAATATTTATCCGAAAACAGAATCTGGATCATGAGGTATTTTGGCATGTAGGGGAAAAAATCCAACATTTGTCAGAAATATCAGTAACCTATTTAATTACACATTAAACAGTTTTATGATATCATACTTGTCATGAGTACATCTATTGGATTGACACTAGCAGCATGTATCTCTACCAGCACTTCATTTGGGCTGTGAATGCGTGGGACACGTGCAGTGGAAGAAAATGTCAAAGATTTAGGACCACCATAATCATGTATCTGCCAGGACCCCATGGCTGTTCGTGATAAATTCCTTTTTTCTCCAGCAGTTGATGCAGTTCTTCGCCAGTACTGCAGTCGTGAACATGTAAAACTCTGCTGGCACTTCACTAAGGGGTGTGACAGGAGGCGCAATATCTTCACATGCATCATTTTTTTTCCTCGAAGTGCGAATTGAAAATCAGGATATTTTTTTCATTTTATAAAATCTGGAAAGGATTAAATATAAAACATTTGACACTTTTGACATGTTTGTAACCATAACAGGAAAAACCAACAGATGAATATTAATGTACTATAATATATCATATCTTGTCAGTTGGGCAACTAGCATACTACTGTCAGTATGTTCATCAAAACAGTTACAATACTCATGTACATGATAAATGCAGAGACATTTTAATGTTAAATACGTCTCTGATAAATGCTAGCAAACGTAATTTAAATGATGTGACGTGCGTATCCATCTGTAAAATCTGGAACTACACAGAAATTTTGTGCAACAATAGAACATAGCAAATATCATAATATTAGGACCTAGGTAGTTTCTGCTTCAGGCTTTTTCCAATCTAGGATGCTTAGATAACAGTAACAGAGTTACCTTCCCTTTAATACAGCCGGTGGCCTGTGTTTTTAAGAATCATACAAACGCTTGCTTCTCGAGGATTGTGTGCATAGAGCGTCATGCAGTCATTGATTAAAAAAATGGCGGACATTAACGTGAAACGGAAATTTGTTTCAAAGGAAATTATCTTGGTTTGAAGATTTCTGGTAAGATCATTCTTTAAGAAATCTGTAAGACTGTTCTGTAGATACAAAGACCTTCGTTAAACAATTCATTGTCAAATATCATATGTTGAAACTGGATATATTCTCATTATATATTTGTGTACTCGTCGCACAACAACATTGGAAAAAATCATCGACGTTTGTGGAAATGATAGAGATTATGTCACCGTATAGTCTGAATTAATTTCTTTCATCATATACATGCACTACTGTAAGTTTTTTAGATTTAATCAGGTGTACAACTGAATGAAACTTTAAATGATATAATTACTATTAGTGATATCCAAATTCGGTTTTGATAGTTGTTATTGTACAGTTAATTTCAGCACAATAATGTAAATTTTACTTGAGATATTTACATAAACGAAATTCGTGTTTTACATGTAATTAATTATTTTTCTGCTCTGTAGCAATTTGTGCATTCATCAGTTTATTTGTCTTAATTATCAAAACAAATGTATATATACATACCACCTGATAGGTTGTTTCAACTTGAGAGATAGAAAATAAAAGAATAGAAAATTTAGAATTAAACATAGAAAGTACCGGGTACACCTGAATTTTTTGCATGTTGACAGGTTGGACTTAAAAGATGCCACCAATCGATGGGCAGATGCAGGTGCAGGTGCCACCAGGGGTCCCTCAAGGTGGAGGTACAATCGCCCTGGACATCCTGATCAACTACATTATCCAACGTACCTACCATGACCTGACTGTTTTGTCAGAGCTGTAAGTGGAACTGTTGATTTTGATGTGATAATTTCTGTAACTGTTTTTGGAATTATAAGGGTGTAGATCACAATTGCATTTGTAAGTTTTCTTAAAAAATGACATCATCATTTTTCATGACAAGATATTTTGACACAATAATTTATCGAAATTGAGTTACCATGCTTTTGGTTCTTGGTAGTTAATTTAAGGTATTCAGGATGTAATTAATAACTCCTGGTCAAAATCACCTGTTTACCAAGATGTTTGCGCAGGTTTTCGACCTCAGCAATCTTTAGTTTACGTTACAGTAATGCGTAGTTAGAGCAAAACAGATATACAAATATATTGGCTATATTTATTAATGATTCAATTGTTCCCATTAACACCCTTAAACAAGAAGTAAAGCTGCAGTGGAACATTGTTTTAACTTGGTACTTAAATTACGAGGCCTTCATTTAACTATTTAACTTTCTCAAAATAAAATTGATATTTTCAATTTCATTGTTACGCTTTAAGTATAATTTTCATTTCAGGTTGCCCAGAAAAACAGACATGGAAAGGTATTGCATTTCACATTAATATTATACTAATTATTTTTTCAAACGAAATCTGTATATAATTATTTTTGAAATGTTGAATATCATCATTCTAAAATTGTCATTTAATACCCATATGTAAATTAGTTAATGATTTCATCATTAGAATTGTAGTAAAATTCAATTGCTGTATAAGATCATATTCATCTTGATGATACTATCAAATTAAAAGCTTATTTTGGTGTATCATCCCTGTTTTCAACAGGAAAATTGAGATTGTTCAATTTGCCACAAGGACGAGGCAGTTGTTCATCCGATTACTTGCACTGGTGAAGTGGGCTAGCAGTGCTACAAAAGTGGATAAATGCTCTGTAAGTGAGATTGAAGTAACAATATTTCTTTAAATATTATGTAAGTTTGAAATTAGATCTGCTAAACATTTCAAACACATAGAGACAAGGATTCTGTTTTATAAAAATATGTTAGTACCATTTTATATTGAATTCACAAAATCAGGAGAGTTGATTTGTAGAAAAAATGCAGCATAAAACATTGCTTGAAAAATGCAATATCATATATATTGATATCTTAAGCATACAATGATTCCGAGAAATGTATGATTCATTTCTATGGAATAATTCTCATTTGAAGAAAATGAAAAAAGAAGTAATCAACTGAAAGTTTTGTATTTATATTTAACCAGGAAATCTGTAACCTATTGGAACAACAGTCGATGTGGTTTGTGGACACAGCAGACATGTTGGCTAAAATGGCCAGAGAAACTTTGGTCAATGCCAGGTAGGTATTTACAAATAATGATAGTTGAAATCTTTAATATTTTTGTTAACAATGAAAAAAAATGAGGATAATAAATAATAATCATAGGTGACAGGTGTCACCAAAATTATGCCCCTCTGACAGCCACAACTACTCCATATAATTTTTCTGAAATGCTCTTCTTGTTCTCAAAATCAGATACTGCGACATCATTAGTATCCTGGTAGATTTATTTTCCTTGATTTCATGCCTACCACCAATTCATATGTCTGTGAACTGTTTAGATAGGTATAAGTAGATTTCTTGAGCTATATTTATCCAAATAATCAAGTGCCCATGAAAAACCAAATTTTTGAAAAACTATGAAAATTGAATCTATGGTTTTACAGCAGAGCATTTACATTTTGTATTACCAGGGGAATTATACATTTTTGCCTGGGAAATATAGGAATTTTATCAATTTGATAAAAAAGAGATATGGTATGAATATATCTATGTCATCCACCCATGCTTCGTATTTGTAAAAAATATAGATATTCAGTCATGCTCATGAAATATATAAGATTTCATTGAAAACATCTTCTATTTAGGATTTAAGTAGAAAACTAAGGATTATATTAACATGTATCCTACTTGTACCCTTGTTTTGTTTTGTCTTTTCATCTTGAAATATTTTCTTGGCTTCTGCTAATAAAGAAAGTTTTGAGAATCTTTTTTCATGTATATTCAAAGGTGATTAGGTATTTTAGTTAATTATTTTTTCATTTGTATTGGTTTGTATTTTCAGATTGCCCAACTTCTCCATCCCGTGTGCCATAGATGTGTTGACACTTGGAACCTATCCACGACTTCCTACCTGTATAAGGGTATAACAATACAGACATAATACTTTTGATTATGTCACTGAATGTTAAATTGAGTTGGAATCTACTTATTTGTTGCTTACATTGGTGTATTTGTTTAAAGTTATCACAACAACTGGCTTTAAATATGCTGGGTCTGTCCAGTTACTGTTGGGAGTATGGTATATAATGTTATATTTTGAGAAATTGGATAATAAAGATGAAATTGCACTTTCTGTTTGTATTTAACTGTCCCTGTTACTAGCTCTGAACTGTAAGTGATTCACACCAGCTTCATATTTTGTACTGTATATGCTTTACATTGTTTATTTCAAACTAGACATAATTTACAACTATTATGGCAAGCATAGGGCACTCTTTCATTACTTTCAGATAATGGTATTCCTATTTTTATGTTTCTCAGACTGAATTTTATATGTTTGCATATTGGTTTTAATTTAGGCACTACGTAACAATATCAACATGTAGCATTTCTTGTATCTGTTGGCTCTTTCTGAGAAAAGAAAGTGAAAGCAGTAATTATGTACAATTTCACAATAGTTCATAAAATATTTAAAGAGGAGGCCTGTGTATATATAATGATATATGTGTATTTGTTATCAACAGGAGAAAATTGTCCCTGAAGATTCCATCACACCTGCAGAAAAGCGACTTACATTGTCCAAACTGACCCAGGTAATACAGTATCGCCTGGTATCCACAGATCTACCCCAACAGATGAGGAAGTTACGAGTTGGTAGGTATCCATATCTCAGCTTTTCAATTACTTTATGGTAAGAAACTTTCACATTACATAGCTATGTAAAAGACAGCTACTGATTGAAAATTTCGTTAATCTAAGAAAACTATAAAATACAAGGTAATGTATGGGATTTTAATACCAATATTTTACTTTTCAGAAAATGGACGTGTGAAGTTTGTTGTGGAACATGAATTTGAGGTAAGATTTTAACAAAAAGTGAAAATTGGAAAGGGTGATTACATAAAGTAACGAATTATGAAATAATATTTTTGCTTAAGTCTTTCATTATTGGTTATCATTACATTATCCATTTCTGGTCGTCATCAGTGTTTAATGATCATGGCTTCATAAAATTTTATATTCTGTGATTTGTTAACATTGAATTACTTTACATAGGTGACCTTGACCTTGATGGGTGACAGTCCAACCATCCCCTGGAGGTTACTGGACATCAACATCTTAGTAGACGACCCAGAAACTGGCAGTAAGTGGCATTGTCAGAAAATATGGTAGATAACAGCAGTGTTAGAGAAGGAAGGAAATAATTTTGTATGAAAGTTGGAAAAAGTGTGATGTTTAGAATTTATGAGATATACTGAGAGAGAACCAATGATTTGTGTGCCCTCAATGTAGTGAAAGGCGTAGTATTTTTATATTTTTGATCAGTCAGTATAAAAACTGAGTTACTTTAATACTCGAAACTAAAGTAATCATTTTGATATGTGGACAAATCTTGATCATGAGAAGTGGTACACCAGTATATGTATATTGTATACAAGTCACTGTGACCTTGATTTATTTATGTTTCTCTGTTTGGTAGTAAAAAAAAGCATTATTATTGTTTAAACAATATGAACATTATCATGAACAGAAAAAATCATAAGAAAATTTCAATTTCAGATGGAAAGTCCCTGGTACATTCATTACAGGTAAGGAAGGCTATTAAGATGAGAAATATAATGTAAAAAGAATGGAAATGTTTCTGACTTGAAATTGTCAGCATGAGTAAATTATGAATGTTTTGTATTTGTGCTTAATCCAAATTAAATGTTATACAAACACAAAAGATGAGTTTTATATTTTATGTGGTTTTAGTTATTGATATTGAATTATTTACTCATTTGTTTATTTTTATTTTCTGTTTTTTCAGGTGAATTACATCCATCAGCTGGCTCAGTCCCGTCTCCTTGACAACGACCGGCCAATTCATGACTTATATAGAGTGCTTCGTATCCTTTAACTATACATTAGCCATGTTATCTTACTGAAAACTCCTGGTGTATTGGGTTTACAAGAAAAGAAGCCTTGTGGCCCCATAAGTAATTCATTGTATTGAATAAATGTCCCCCAAACTTTTATATGATTGAATGATGCTAACCAAATTTACTGCGGTTTTGTTATTTGGATACAAACGTAAGTTTATTACTTATTGTAAATACTGTATTAAAGTTATATTGTGTGGGGAAATAGATCTTGACTAAAAGTGTTCTGTTGATAAAAAGTATGAAGTGTGCTGTTAAAACCTATTGTATGAGAATTCAACACTTTCTTGGTGATCTCATTTGTGATTGACCTTAACTCTGCTTTAGATTCATTTTGCCAGTCATTACAACTGGAGGTCCTGAATTCACAGGTAAATTAATGTGATCACAAATGATGACATACTCTGCTGTACTGTGTTTTGAGTGAAACAAGTCAATTGAAATTGGCAGTGCACTGTGGTTAGTGATAGCAAGTATCAGACGTGTAGAGAGTATCTGTGGTTTCAATTAAAACTTTTCTCCTAACTTAGCTAAGAATTTCTCAACAATTGGACAAAATGGAGAAATATTAAACTAATTTTTTTTTGCCTAATTGCACTAATTTTTTTCTGTTTGATGCAATTAGATAAATAAACATGTGAACAAGACGCAATCCATGGACCTGATTTAGGAGTTCCAGCAATAAAAACCTCTCCTCCTAAACAATCTTTCTTTCAAACTGATGGAAGATGGATTTGTCATCAGACATTGATGTGATTAGAAAGTAAATTCTCTGTAATGTTCTGTAATCAGTTGACGAGAACCAAATTTGCTTATGACCAAAGGTGAACAGTATAGAATGTTAGTTTCAGTATTAAACAAAGGAGTGTGGGAAAATATCCCTGTTTATTGTGTGTTTTATAGACACAAAGACTGATCAGAGAGAGGATGGGAGACAGTATACGTGTGGAGGAATACTTGGTTGGTAAATCTCTGGTGGTGTCCTACTGGAGGTAGGTAGCTTCACTCAAGCGTCTCATTTCATTGTAGAACCACTTCTTGTGATAGATTGATAGCAGTTCTGAATGTCAGGAAAGTTAATTAGAGATAAATGAATAAATAAAGATATTTATAAATAAAGAAAGCAAATCATGTTGGTTTTTATTGCTACAATAATGATATGATATCTGTGATCTGATCAAAATGTCACTTTATAGTATCTGTGATCAAGGATCAGAAAACATCTAGTTTAACTATGAAATTTGTTCCTACATTGGCTTTTGAGACTGGTTACAAAATAGGGGCTGATTTAGTATCCTTTAAATTAACAGAGGTGTCACTGTTTTAGTAAAAATGTCATTATTTCACAGAGACCAGCTGAAGCGAGATAAACAGCAACAACAGCCACAGCAGGAACCTGTTGGTAAGTTTTTTGATGGTTTATATATTTCATATATGTATTGTATTCATATTTTTGCCATACATATGGTGTTGCTGAATGTTAACAAAATCTTTCAAGTTGTAAATACAGAAATTTCATGTACATAATGAAAAAATTATATTTCCGGAATTGTTTTTATTGTGGTGTCTTTGATTTCTCTTTGAATTTTCTACACCTCACCTGTAAATGTTACTTTATATCTATTTTCGTTTATATCACTATATTCTCAATATTTTTATGAATATCTTTGAGTTTATGGTCCATAAACTGCTTGGTATAATCCAGTATAAATTTACTTCTACAGTGTACAAGCTGACAATCCATGTGTCAGAAGAAGACTGGGGACGGCCATTACAGATAAGTCACACTCCACCCATGTCTCCTGAAGAAAGTCATAGAGTGGGGCTCGCAATCAAAGTATGTTGAAATCCATGGTCCATTCAAGAAAGCTGATTCAGTAAATATTAGATCTGAAAAAGTTGAAATGTAGTCATTAGATGTCTTAATTCTACTTACTCATTATTTTCTTTTTCTTTAAGAAGAATCGTTCTTTTCATTTTCAATTTTGAAGAAAAGGCGTCTTGCAAAGACAAATAATGGCATCTGAGGCTAACTCAGGAAAAAGCACATCTAAGAACAACATTCTTATTTCATAAGCAAAGATAAAATTACTTCAGTTTAGTTAAATCATTTAAATTTTGCCAAGGAGAAGCAATCCAGTCTATTTGAAAAAATATTACCAGCTATTTTACTGACTGGAATTTTTACATGAATACCACATCCTTTGAAAAACAAAATGATCATGTAGATTCCTATTCCTGTCATCCTTCCCTTTTACAGAGTAACCACCTGTCGATAGAGAGGCTCCTGATGCAGACTATAGAGGTTCGGACACATGCTAAGTTACAGGTATGTCAAAATCTTCTCCAGAGCTTTCCTTGTGAAGTGTTCTGTATTATAGAATCAGTTATTTTGTTCAGCTATATGATTTGAGTGAAGTATTCTACATTCAGATCCAATTTGACTTGAACTCTCAGAGGGAGAAAGAGGAGGAATTTCAAAATTGGATTTGAATCTAATATATTTGTAAGAGTGAGAAATTTTCCTCTTTGAAATCTTCATCTTTGAATTTATAATTCCAGGATCTTGCTAAAGAAATGAAAAGATATAAAGTAGAAAAATGTGAGTACAGTTTAGTGTTTCAGCATTTCCATTTTGAAACAACTGTAAGGAATTTTCTTGAACATTCTTTATTATATGTATGTGAATTTCTACAAAGATAATTTTTTAGTTGTAAAAGTATTTGCATGATAGTTCTGACACAAGTTTTAAACTGGAAGTATGTAAAAGTGATACATAATATGCAACACAAACTCCTTCTGAAGAAATGTGTTTTTTCCAATTTTTATGTTATTGTTGTTTGTAAAACCTACCAATCAGGAGGAGAAATTGATTTAAAACATGCTGAATGGAATCTTTAATGCAGGTGAGATGAAAGACTTACCTACAGCACTCCACATCCCAGTGTTACAGCCCTGTATGGAATCAGAACACCTCAGGATCATGATTGACTCACAGAGGGGCACTATGATGGCCTCCACCCCCGCACAGACAGGTATTAGCTCCTAATATGACCCTTGCTGTAGTAATTCAAGAAAGACAATTCTGTTCTTTCCATTTTCAATTCAGGATGCTGATTTTAGAGCATCTTAAATAGGGAACTTTAGATTCATCTTTTGAGCTCATATGAAAATTTGTAAAGGCAAAATGTCTCAGTGAAGAAGTCAACTGTCAGTTTCTGATTGTAAGCAAACATGGTTAGAATTACTGGAAAAAGTGAGGGAGCCGCATCAAGGAGTTAAAAGTTATACAGTGTCATATATATCTTAAGGAATCTTTAAAACTCTGTAGAGAACAGATGATTTTGTATTGAAGCCATGATTCCTTAGGGGAAAAAAGAGTAAAATCACTGTTATAGATCACAAATGGAGCCACGCCACTGGTTCATAGTTCAGTACTCTATACTGCAAGACCTTTTGGGAACTTGAAATATCTCATTTGCTGTATCTGTAGGGATTGCCAGTAGGAAACTGCTGTTGACTAGATTCTTGTTTAAATATACTGATATGTGTTTCTCTTTTATGAACAATTTTAATTATTTCAGATTTACAAATCATTGATGATATAACCGAATGTCTGAACAATGACAAGAAAGGCCTGGATAAACTTATAGTCAGCTTAAGGTTTGTATTTTATGTGACCCCTATATTTTCTGGGTATAAGTTTTAATCAACATTATTACTTCTATTGTTCTTTATTATTTAATGATATTTATTGGTATACAATCCAAAAATAATTAAACAATTGAAAAATGTATTCAAAAAAAGAATTCTCAACTGTTAAGTTTTGGTGTTCTTATGTTGTGGTATGGCTTATTAAGATTGATCTGATTCCCAAATTTTCACATAGATTCATCGTATACAAGGTCTAGATATGATTATATATGAAATTATAGCAATAAAGTTTGTAACATAGTATTGATGATGTTTAACCAGATGTAGGTTGTATAGGGATTTTGACATTTTTGGATTATTGTTTGATTGCATCTCAAGAGTGGAATGTGTTAGTTTTGACCTCTTCACTGACCAGAGTTGATAAAATCCATTTTTTGTGGTGTCAAATTGTACTTCCAGATTACAACTGTGTTTACTTCGATGTGAAAAGTCCATCCAGTACTTGCAAACGACATGCCTGCGCCATTTGCCTCTCATTAATCTGGAGAACCACCAATTGGATACTCTAGGACCTCACAAACTCTACATACGCATACCCAAACAGTCTAGTCATTATGTGGTGCGTAGTGAAGATTTTTGTGTTGTGTTTAGCTATTGTTACTGGTGCTTAAAAATATTTGATGAAACAGTCAGTTTTGTTTTATGGTTTTATTTAACCAGGGTTACATACTCTCCCTCCTGGAAATCACTCTTCATTGATTTTCTAGGAGTTAAAGCGATTGGTTACATGTTTATAATGCATGAGATCATTAAAAAAGAGAGTGTGTTAACTGACTGCATGAGTGAAGTATAGAGAAGCCTATATGTTTATCATTGTTACCTACACGTAATAAACAGAGATTTATTACTGCTTCCTGATAAGGATATCCCTTCTTAATTTTCTGATACAAATTATTACAACAGTTTGTTTGTTTTTCTGGTAGGTTCTGTCGCTGCGGGAGAAGAAAGACCGATGTGTTGAGTTTAAGTATTACCTGGTGGAGACCACCGCTTGTACAGCCGACGGTACGGAGCTTGATCTCTCTGATGACATTGGAGCCAAGTTGTTCAGATCTGCAGGGCGCTTGCTTCCTCTCGATACCTTTGCTTTTACACACGGTCCCTATAGTAAAGTGTTTGGTAAGTTATTAGACCTTTTAGGTACACCTGGACTAATCATATCAACTTGTGTTGCATTATAACTAACATCGTAGTTATTAATGTGTCAGATTCACAAGTATACTTGTGTGAAGCAAAATTTTGATTGTTGATCAATTGATTTGAACAAATTATATTTTGTGAGAATTATCAATGAATGTGTTAATGATGAAATCATTTTCTCTTTTCAGATGATGAGGAGGAAACTGAAATAGAACTCCAGCGAAGGAAAAGAAAGGTAGAAAATGCTCTTTAATTGTGAGAATGTCAGAAAATATTTTCATGCAGTTATTTTGTGGCAGGTATTATCTTGCAGTCAAATTGTGTTACTGACATTTTATCAAATTACATGTAATAAACATTAAAAGATATGTAAATTGAATATAGAACGGGTAGCCAGCACAATAGAAATAACTTTTTGTACCAATAACGTTCTTGTTTGTTAAGATGTTCCATCGAGATTTATGTCTCAACTGTCTTTATCTAGAAGATCTCTTACACCATTTTAGGTCCTACTAGGGGAGATGGAAGAGCCCCATGCTAAGCGACAAAAAGGTGCAGCGTACTATGTACCTGAGTTGTCATATATACTGGCGAGCTGTGAGGAAAGGATACCTTTAGTAGCTGTCGGACATGAGGTAAGATATATTGGACAAAATTTTATGTTTATCATCATAGTTAAAATCATTTAATACCATTTTTGATATATACATACACAATATTATTTAGTATTGACCTTTATGCAGGTTAAATTATGAAGTGTCAGCAAGGTGTGACCTTCTTTATTTGTGTTTTGCAGTTTGAAAGGAATGGCGTAGTTCATTCTGGGATACAAGTGGACTCTGAGGGTAGCTGCTTCTGTCTCTCTATTCTTAGGTAAGACCAAGTGGTAGAGTTAAAGCCCTACTTTAGACATCTCTTCCTTAAGATGATCCCTCATTTCCATTTCTAAATGTTTGTCCAGATTTTGTTTATGCTTGGTATCTTTTGAAATTGTCATTTGATTTCCTCCAAGCTACCTCAGTGTCATCATATCATTATCCCTGTCATATCATTATCCTGTTCTGCTTCTTTTTTCAGATCTGCAATATCCTTATTTCATTTTTCATGAAATGCAAATACCTAGTATGTAAGTTGCAGCTATGACAGGGCTGTGGATTACCTATCAATGCTTAACTTTGTTTTAAAATCATGATTTTGTTTTTGTCAACTGACCACTGTGTGCATCACTATGGAGATTAGGAAAGAAATATATGACTAAGGCTAAGTTCTTTACTTCAGTTTGCCTGATGTAGAAGGTTGTGAAAAAAGAGCATGTGAGGGTCTCAAGAAGGCACTTCTGTCCCTCAAACTGCGTATCCTCAACAAGCCTTCCAGGAACTGGATTGTTGAGGTTAGTTTTATTAACACTCCCCAATACATAATGTAGCAAATTTTTCAGATATCAATATTATCAAGCCTGAGAGTTCTAGTAGTTTGTATTGTCCACAGGAAAATTTGATGGATTATTTAGAATTGCAATATACGAACAGGAAATCTAAGTGTTGATGCTCCGTGAAATTTAGGCACCCAAAGTTTTGGTACATACTTCACATTTCTTTTTCAGTTCTTGTTTGCTAAGGCTCTCTTAGAAACTGCTAACAAGAAGGAATCGGGTATGTATGCATGTTAGTAGCTGTTAAGGCGTGATATATACTTTCATGATGGAAAAACAATGTTACACATCATTGTAATAGATATGGACTTTCAATCTTTTCTTAAATCAACACATCTTGAGTTTTGCTTTTGGTTTTTTTTACTCGTTACTGTTTCTTAATACAATCCTGCCTTTCTTATCAAGCAATATGCCCATCGATGCCTATAAATGTTGAGTAGAATTACTTAATACACCTATGTACTACTGTAAAATCTTTCATTTTTAAGGGGCATTTCCATTTATTTCGTCAGTACTCTTTATTTCCTAATTTATGTGTCCATAAACTGTTGAAATAAGAAAAAGCAGACATATTAAAGAGGTATACATTCCAACTGAAAGGTCTCTCAAACGGATAATGAATTAAACTACGATTAGAACATTATTAAAATTCATTAATATTGTAAACAATCAGAGAAACTCTAACACATTTATTTACGCGATTTAAAAATCTGCCGATGAACTGTCAATCTAAACTGATAGCAGGATTTGGCACGAGGGACATGCGCAGTCACAACAGTTGCAACGCTACCTGTGGCAGAAAATAACTGAACGGGACAGTGAGAGTGAAGTTAATAAACATTTAAACATATGCGCATGCGCGAGATTTCGTTGCTGCTTCGCTGCCCATAACTTTACAGAATATATCGTGTCCCGGCATTTATTCTTAAATCAAACTAAACAAATTGATAGCGTAACTTGCAGATTTTGGTAACTGCGGAAAGTTCATGTATCCCGGGATACAGGAAAAATAAAATATTGCGCAAAGTTGTTTTAAAACGTAAATTAGAATCATAAGTTTGTATGTATACCCCTTTAAGTAATAGTTATCAAGAAATCAAGTGTCCACAAAAATGTTTGAAAAACCTTGAAAATTGAGCCACACAAAAAAATGTGATTTTACAGTATTTTATTGTACAGTACTACGCCATCTCCCAGATATACAGTCATTGTGATAGCCTCCTGGATTCATTGAAGAAAGATCAATATTATTAAGCTTTAAATGAGAGAAAAAATAAAATTGTGAGTGAATCTGCATTATTGATAATCCTAAATATTCTTCCACATTTATATAGGGTCCGTTCAGCGTGTAATTTTCATGCATGAGCTGAACTTGGATAACCTGAAAAAGGTGGTGAAGGAAGTGATAGATGAATGGTACTCCATCTGTCATCTCTACAGTCTCGTCGCTGAATTTGCAGAAATCTACAATGGTTTGTAATTCTGGTGCTACAACTGGAAAGTTAGCTGCAGTCAGAATGATTACATTCTTTTAAATTGGAAAAGATGAACTTCATTTTTTTGTATGAAAATTCTGGTAATTTTGACGATTCACTAATTTGACATTTCAAAAAAGAATTCAAAATTATTGTGAATATAAAAGAGAAGTTGTAAATTATTTGCTTTTAAAATATGGTGAAAAAAATGATACTGAAACACCTCTCTGTAATTGTTTCACAGATCAGCGGTCAGGATTGCGCAGCACGGTGGACGTCCACTCTTACAGTTATAGAAAGCTGACCTTGGTGTATGGCCCTAACAGGTCAAGTCTGGTGAGTACGATTTCATATCTCTCCTACTGAACAAATAAAACAGTAGCTTTTAAATCTTTTTTAATAATTTAAGCTCATCCTGTCAGTTTGTAAACTGTATAAGCTCACTATAACAAAATCAAGCCTTTTGAGTCAAATTGTCTAAGAAAAAAATTTCTGGTTTATCCATCTTTGTGTATTTGAGCAAAGTCTTTAACTCTGTTGTGCTGAATCACAAAAATTGTATACTTGTGTGGAAGGTTGTTCTACATGCCTTAGGAGTAATAGAATCATCAGTCTGCTGTGATGTTTAGTGTGTGGTGTTTTACAGGTACACATCCAGTGGAAAAGTGACAGTAAACAGTTTGTGGTGACCTTTGGCACGATAGGACCCTCTGTTACCATCAATCCACATGTGATAATGTCAACACAGATTCAACAGGAACTAAGCTGTCATAGAAACCTCGCTCAAATTGCTCAGGTCGGTCCTTATAAACATCCACCCCAATCTTATGCTTCCAAACACTGAAGTTGATTCCACTTAAACTTTCTTTAAAAATTCTTAATGAATTCTAGGGAAGAAGCTGACAGATGACGGACATCCTTCCTAGTGTTGATGAATTTTGACCTTTAACTCAGTGACCATAACTCAGTGACCATCAGACCAATAATGGTCTTACACGTTTTGTTTATAGTGTAATTTCAATGAACAACTACATTATTAAGACACAAACAAGGAAGCTACATTGATTGTTTGCTCTTTCACAAATTTGAATTTTTTGTGAATGAATTACAAAATAAAAAGAAAAGGATGAAGTCCTGAAGCCAGGTTTCCATCAGGTATATTCTTATATCTACTGGTAGCAGACATTTTTGTGGCAGGCTGTCCTGATGTATATTTAGTTAGGAGTGTAAATGAATTGTAAAACTGAAGAATTTATATGAATTAGTCAAATAACAGCATATGTTTGGCATTCTAGTCTAGTACATTGATCAGTATGTATTTCATTGTAAACGTAATATTCTATTGAGGTGTTTAATTTTATATTTCAAATTATGATACAGGTTCTACATGACACCTGGTCACCACTCATGTCCATCAACAAACTCACTAACATCATCATCCATGCACCTATAGGGGTGAGTACTGGCTTGTATAAGGAGTTCATTACTGTACTGATATTGAAGACTAACACTGTTTTATGGTTGATATTTAATACTAACAGCATTTTCTACCTGTCTAGTCTGACATTTGGGGTACTACATATTTGTCAGATTAGACAGGTTGTCAATATTCACAGATCAAATTTCATAATATTGCAGAAAATGGATGAAAGCATTATCTTTTATAAGATAAGATTTAGTATACTCAGTATATCTGAAATAGATTGTTCAGAAAATGTTTTTATTTTCCATCTTACATGTATACTATGATAAATGAGTACATTTTTGGTATATTGTCATTTATATACATATTTTATATATATTATATATATTTTTGCAGAACAACACTAACAGACTAGCACAGTCCTTTTGCATCATCCCCCAGTCAACAACACACGTTCGAATCTCCTACCGCAGCATGTATCCTTATAAAAGTGTAACCAGTAACGACAATTTCTCAAATTAACAGATTATCCACAAAATAGAGGAATACAGAATTGGTCAGTATATGAAATTCACTCGTGCAAGTTTCAGGAAAATCATCTGGAGATTTTAAACATGAATTGAATTGACTACCTTATATATTGTAAGGTCGGTCTTTTGAAGAACAGATAAAAATAAACATCTTGTTTTCTTGGCAATGACAGAAAGGTCTTTCCTCCTCATCATCAGTTCTTTCTTTGTAGTAGTACTTTTTCTGTCCTTAACATGTCTCAGAAGTTCAATAGATGTCCATTTCCGCAGCAACAAGATTGTGGCAATAGAGAGCAGCAAAGTTGTGGAGGGTTTTAACCCAATATCACTGTTAAAGGTAAATCCTGGTATCACAGTTTTACTAAAATAAGTAGAGCATTTCACTTGTAATCAGTGGCCTCTTTATTTAGGCCTTAAAACGCGTTATTTGATATACATGTATCGAGAGATACAACATTGAATATGGTAAGTAGGGATGGGAAAGAAAATGGATGGCATTTCATTGAGGTATGACTGGCATTATTTTCACAAATGAAATGTAGTTTTGACTTTCTTACCTGATGTCCTATAGATAATGCAATCTGTATACAAAACAATTTTGTACAGGCATTTTTGAACATGTATGTGGATGACGCCATCATTGGGCGGCACAATCGCAGAATGTCAACAACAGAAGACGACAGTCCTTCCTCACCAGTCGGTATGGATACCATGGATATGTTTGGCCTGTCGTCGGGGCCATCAATGGGATCCCCTGCATCGAGACAGAGACAGGATGGGGGCCTACGCTTCCCCAGCCCAATGACTCCTCCTTCCAATCCCCACACCCCAGCTTCACCCAGTGCTGCGCGCATGTCAGGGGTAAGTCCTGAGAAGCAGAGTTGTCAAGTAGTAACTTTAAAAAGAATGAATTTAATTGAAATGAACAAATAGGATTAATTGATGAATTCAGAATAAAAATAGATGATAAGCAGAAACAAATTTTCTATCTTACTCCTAACTATTTCTTGCTAAGATGAAAATTTCAAAATCAGTATATGTAGGTATGTGTGTATATTCTACATTTTAATAATCAATTTATTGAAGCAATTAATGATTCTCATATTTTAAAAGTAAATGACAGCAAAATTGATTTTATTTTAACTGTTGCTATTAAATTGAAAATTAAGGGCTTAATTTTTTCGTTTTCTGAGATATTGTTTCCTAATAATTATCCTGAATAATGACAGTTCTTCTGGAATTTGTTAAAATCTGTGCATGAAATGTAACTATTTAAAAATTTATGTTTCCAGATTGCACCCTCACCATCAACAGCTTTGATTGGCACCCCCTCCCCAGGAACTCTCCTTGGGGCTGGATCTCCAGGGAATCCACAGCTACATGTCCCTTCTCCGAGCTCCTTTGTGCCGACTCCATCCCCTGGGTCCCTTGGGATGCACATGCAGTCACCAGCATCACAGTTTATGGGGTCTCAAGGTGTGTATGAAGTAGAAGTGGATTTTACACAGAAAGTTAGTTACCGTAAATTTGCGGGTATAGTGCGCACTCAGGTATAGTGCGCAGGTACTTTTTTGGGGTCAGATTAAAAAAAAAAAATAAAAAAGATTTTCTACAGAAAGATTAATTGATTACTGGTACCGCGATGAAAGAGTTGTGTTCTACCTTTGATCTTGATTAAACAGGTCGGATGTTCAGCTGTCGAAGAATGAAATGTTTAATGATGAAAATTTACAATTAGATTGTCAGACTCTCTCCTGAGTCAGATTCAATTTATTTTTAGCTGACAAGATAAAGACCTATGAACAACAACAGATTTTCAGAATTTGTGATATAAGATTCAGTTACTTCTGACTAGGGCAAACTAGAAACACTTGTATTTTGCCTCAGAATAACTCTTTACTGTTGAGAAATATTCAATTAATTTTTAAAGATATTTTTGTGTATTTTTTTTCCAGTATTTTATGTAAGTTCTATAACAAATTTACTGTTTTGTGTTGATGACAGGAATGGAAGGTTCACCATTTGCAAGTTCTGGGCTAGCCATGCCATCACCAGGACAACGTAACTGGCCCAACTCACCATCTGTACCCGGGCCTTCACCAGTGTCACGACATGGAACAGCAACTTCCCCTGGACATCCGGCTCTCCACTCCCCTCAAACAATGAAAGATGGGGAACACAGTAAACCAGGAGGTAAATTTCTGGTTGTATCAAGACTCTCCCCAAACAAAGTTATATTTGAATACATTCATAAGGTGAAAAGGATTCATGATATGTTGGATTTCTCTGAATGTCACTTAATGTCCCAATTGTCTTGTCATATTTCCTGCTAGACCTAGGAAACTCATGAAATCTGTTCCAAGTTTTGTGTTAAGTGTTCTTAATTTATGTCATTGTTTTATGTGTAACAATATTTGTTGTGATATGACATTGAAGCTTGAACTGAAATTTTGTTTCATACAGTCAAGTCCAGTTGAACTTTGTATTTGGTAACATGTATATACTGTCTTCTTGTTCACATTAATATCACAGTTTATTCTGACTGAATTTATACACTGCGAGAAATAATCTATATGTGTATGACTATAATAAAGCATGTCTTATGGAATATGTCTACATATTTTGGTCGCTAGGGGGGCCATCATCAGGACACAGAATTTATTACGGTTGACACCTAAAGTATAGAAATGCAGTACAAGTGTTACAAATACATAGTGACGTCATAACAGTTATGACATTAGAATATTATAGATGAAAATTTCTAGAAAATTCTGTACACTCTGTGTAGACATATTTCACAAAATGCTCTTGTAGTGTTGAGTTTCCTTTTTGCTTTGTTTTCTTATTAAGGAACTCTTTTGAATCCAATATTCACCCGAGGACACTACTGCATAGTTCCACATGAAGAGTGTTAGATCCCCCTTTTATCTGTTATGTATATGACGAGTGATTGTCATATTTTAAAGATAAATGTGTATGATATTACCATTGTAATATATCAACTTTTGATTGCAGTGATGGGTCATCCGTCACGTGTGTTTACTCATCGCTCGTGGGCAGCCTCCATTCCGACACTCCTATCACACAATGCATTCGATACACTGCTCACGCCGTTAGGGCCAGGAAAGGTCACATCCCCCTTAGAGAGGTTCTTTGGCTGTGTTCTTTTCACCAGGAATCTTCCACGTATTATACAGAATGAAGAAAATGTGAGTTTATACCTGGTACCCTGAGTTTGTGGTTAGTCTTCTATACAGCTGTTGTTAAAGCAAAAACAGCATTCGTGTTGTTTATTTCTTAAATCATCTGAAAGTGTACAGGCATTGTCTTATTCAGTTTTCACTATGAGTGTTATAACTCATGAAAATATTGGAGATGGACAATTATAACTTTTAAAATCTTGTTTTTAAACATAAAAGTACTTAAGAAAAAAAAACCTAGTGGTCAAATGCATTGACCAATTTTGAAATGAATGAATAAAACATATTTTGGATATTAGTTTTGTTCAACAAATAAAGAAATATATTAGCTGGAGTGAAAAAAATGTTTTTGCTTGAGTGAAAAAGTTGTGATCCAGTGCTACTTGAAATGCCCATCTCTATGCAGATATCTTATTCTGTCAGGGCATTACAAAGATATTAAATAAAACCATCACTTTTCCATGTTTGACAGTTATGGCGCTATTGAATTTTAAATTGTCTACAATTTATATACGTATATGGACACTCACGCTTCATGTTTTCAGCTGAATTTGGTCCGATCATCAGATGCCAATGTAGTGATATTTAAAGTGGACACTATGCAGTTCCGTGTGAGCTTTAATGCGACAACTCTTCAAAGTCTACATATGAATGCTACAAACTTGCCAGGTTGGTACATGACATCAAGTCACATTATGTACAAACTTCAAACTTTAATGAAGTGACTCAGGAGTCTCTCTTGTGAATGCATGAAAATCCCTGCTGTCTGTTCTAAGTTTAATTAATGTTCATCATATATTATAATAGTTAAAAATCCAGTTTTTGTAAAATGTGTGTGACTGATCGGAGCTAATACAATTGCATTTATCATCTGAATATTGTCAACTAGGATATCTGATAATTGATATGCTATTGATCATGGAGCGAGTGAAGTCCCGTTGATAGTACAAACTACTGAAATTTACTGCAGAAATATTTAAATACAGTTATTCTAAAAACTACTTGTAAAATTTGGATGAACTTCTATAATATCAGTGTCTGGCTACTACTGATGTGTGATATTAAACTAATTACATTATTTCAGACTCTCGAGACCCATTCCCTACTGAACTTATCAACATCCTTGAGCGATTCTTTGAAGTAAAGGTAAACACATTTTTCCAATTGCATTTTTTCAGTCATCTGTCCCAAAGGACAAAGTTATATCATAGCAGAGTGTCTGTCAGACAGAATGTTTAATTCCAATTCCTTTAGTTTTGTAGCAGTTATCCAGGTTTTTATCACATATTCTTGTATTTTTTAGTTGATATAAAAAACTAGGATAAATTTGATCTTTCCAGGCATACTTTTTTTCTTTATCAAAATGTTTTGGCCAATGACTATGTTATTTTGGTCAATTGGACATGAATATATATCTATAGACAGTAAACATCATCATGGTTATCAATCCTGAATTATCTTCTCTGAAAGTGAACTTGTTTGCAAATATGGCGATTGTAAATAACTACTGAATGAAAGTATGAGAGATGCCAAGTGTTGATTATTTCTGGTTTTTTTAGGTTGCTACTCACCCATACAAGGTCAATGCCCTGCGAGCATTCTGTCGATTGCTACCACTGCCTAGCAGAATTCTTAAAGACTGTATACAGATCATGAGGCTTGAGATGGTAAGTTTTTGGTGGAAGTTTTTATTTGAATGAGATTTCCAGCATTGTTTTATAAAAATACATCACTTTTGACATCATCAATAAACCAAAGAAAGTAATGAAATTCCTGTTCTTTTCAGATGAATGAAACCCGTAACACAAAGTGGACAGTAGCTTTCTGTCTGACCATTCCTCCTTCTGCCCTATCCATAGCCCCAGCTGGAGCAGCGGCCATTGCCGTCAAGCAGAAGATGGTCCTAATGGTAAGAAATCTTAGTTATGAAGGACTCTGATGTTCTCTGGATTACTTACAATTTGTAAAAGTACAAATGTACTATTAAGAATTAATGGATACTGCTTTTTATGTTGTGTGTTTATACATTTAGGAAGAGTTTGAAACCGGAGAAATCTAATATTTAATCGTATGAAAGACCATGCTAATGATCTGTAAAAGAGCTTGTTTTACCAATAGTTCCTTGTATATTCACAGCTGCAGTTGACAAGAGCAGATGTCCAGCTCCCCATGGGGGTGGAGCCACAGTCCATCATTGTCCAGTTACTGTATGACTTCAATGCCAATACAGTCGTACAGATGGAGGTGCCCTCACGTAGCCAGCCTGCACAACAACCCACGCAAGCCCACATGGCTGTTTCAGCTTTTCTCAAGAAGATTGAAATGCATCAGAACACCAATGAATGTGCTCTTTTCCCAACAGTTCATAAACTCATGCAAGGACTTGTGGTGCCAGGGTAGGATTATATTAAGTGGTTAAAATAAAGTTGACAAGGGCCAGTGATGACCGGGGTTAAGTTGTTGCAGCTAGTGATACGATGGTATTGTCAGTTCAGAAGACATTTATTAGGAACTAGCTTTCTCCTGCAGGTCACAAAACTTTACTTGATGGGTGTTCTCTTCCTGAATTGTATACTTTTTATTCTACAGAATGATAAAGATGTTTCTTGTGACTTGAGATTATCAAAACCTGGTCAGCTGGACAGAAGGATTATGGATACTCTAAAACATACATACATACGGTTTGTTTCTGAAACAAAAACTATGGAAGATAATCACCATGAATGGATCTGGATGATAGCAATTGTTATTGCTACTTTGTATTAGTACTGAGGTGGTATATAACTGGACTTCACAGGAGGTTCATTTTAAATCCATTTTAATCATCGGTATATTTTGCAACTGTTGATTGCTTCAAACTTTCTGACGTTATGGATATACATTTCAGGTTGCTTGCATTTAAAGTTAAGAAGCGATCTCATTGCCCTCTGATGAGCTTCGAAAGCAAGCATGGTGTTGGCGAACAAGATGGTTTCTGTGTGATGTTTTATAGTACACTTACACATCAAACTGATTCCAGATTTAACTTCCTTCCATGTGCTGTAAACATGGGCAGCCATGACAGTTTCTATAAAAACTCCTTATTTTTTTCACAATTCATATTGAGGGAATCTCTCTGATAGTAGAACAATTCTCAAATCTTTTAATATTTCAAAGTAGGGTAACATTATGGAAGAAAATCAGCTTGAAGAAAAATTAAATTTCTGATAAAAGGATATGAAAATATGCCTTTCTTACCAGTACAAGTGTCAATGAACTACCAAAAAGTTATTTTCAAAATTGATTACTAGTGACTACTGACATTGGTTGCTGATTGTTACCAGGAGATGCTGCCCTCTCTTGTTTATTTATAATTTTGATCAGGATTTTGTATTCGGTACATTAGTACATTATGTACAGGATGAAAATGGACAAATGGAAACAATCAAGATGACACATGTAAATTTTCTCTACCAGGAGGGAATCACTACCATCAGTTCCCTATATTCCTGCTTCATAAGTATGACATCTTTTCTAAGTTACTTTGGCATTACAGGGATGTTTGTGACTTCACCATGCTTTGATTGACACCTGTCACTTCATTGCTTTGACGCCTGTTATTGACTACAGCTGTTTTGTATGGACATGAAGCACTTTTATGAATTCATTACCTGTGGATCAACCAACAAGTTAATTAATGAAAAGGTGCAGTAATGGTTATCAAACTTTTAAGATGAAATTTTAGCTGTTTTCCTACTTCCTTATTTGACTTAAGTTGTTATCTATTGTACAAGTTTGTACAGTGTTTATAAAATAAGTCAAACATATTGGAATTCACCAAATGAATACCTGGTAATAGCAGTTATTTATCACGTTACCAGGTCCTCTTCTGTAAAAATTCTCAATTCACAGGTTTCAGGCTCTTCCCGAATTGATGGGAATATTGTCTTGTTCATGAATTTCTGGAGATCAACATCAGATCAACCATCAGATTCAGAACAACAGATCAATCAAAGTTCATTGTATGTTAAGTATCCTGTTTGGTGCATTCATTTTGTATATGTTTTTGTAAATAAATAAAATTGTGAAAATACAATCTCATCACAGCTTGTATACAATTGTTGTCGGATGTGGTAGGTCAAGATACTGAGTCTCATTTTTTATGTCATTTGTAACAATATTTCAGTATTAAGACTTTCTACATTTGAGCAAAAATAAATAATAACGATGTCAGTCATTGTTTAGTTTTTATTTATTACCATCTTCTTCCTTCAATAACCAACCACATCTTTAGTGATAAGTCAGGATGGGCCATGGTATAGCAGTAAATTACATTCTACAGAGACGAAAATGTCATCTCACAAAGATAGACATCCTCTTATAATTAGCTAGGTAGGTGCATGTGGGATAGGTGCAGCAGTCGCATCAATTCTTGCATTAGTACTTCGATGTTTATGTATGTCTATCAGTATACAGTCCTGATGCTACTGAAAATGTATGTTTATCATGACCAGAATGTGACACTATCGGTTCCAAACTATGAAGGTCAAGGTTATGAATCCATTAGGACAAAGGTCAACTGTTTCTACGTAGGACATAATGATTGCTTTCACGTGTTGTATTTGTCTTGATAATTGGAATTAAACTGAGATGCTAAATCAGTTAAAATATTAAAATCATCTTTTTTCATAAAATATTAATTGATCTGTCAACAAAACAAGAGAAAAAGTCTAGAAAAGATAAAACATGACTGTGTATTTGACACGGTTTATTCTTAAAAACAAAATCAATACAAAAAAACTTAAATTTTCATTTTGTACCTGATATGGACTTTTATGACAACTGCCAATTTTCTCGATGATGAATATTATACAAGTATATGATAAACAAAGGTGATATTAAGCAATATCATAATTATAACATACTATTTAATTGCTAGACATGTTATAGAGGATATTTAATGGTTTCTTCTTTATTATACATAAATATGACAGAATATCGTTATTTTCATGTGCGAAGCATGAAAAATAGTGGATACAAACAGTTCTGGAAGTATTAGCACACTTGAGTATAACGTTACACTTGACAACATGATGTTGTATAGGCTGCTTATGTTGTATTCTACCACATAATGCTGATATTTGTTAAGAATTACTTACAAAACTTTTTATACAGCAAATTAGAATCAGAAATGAACACAGGAATAATTTATATAACTTATATAACTTATGCTTCATTTGTGTCAAAATAGGAAAATAGGTAAATTTCAATATAGTGACTAGAGAGCACAATCTCATTAAAATTCAGGTCATCATTATACATATTTTTTTATTGAATTCACTTTGAAAATGACATAACCAATTATGTGATTAGGACTGAAATTAACGACGAGTGTTCAAAGAAGATTGTCCCTCCTTTCTTTAACAAATCTTACAGATACTGGCTAGACATAAACAAAATGTATAATGTAACAGTTATTTTCGGGATATGATATGTATGAGATAACCCAGACTTTAATCCTTGAATAACAACGAACACACTGAACATGTCAAATGATCGGTGAAGAAGTCAAATATTCATCAGATTGTTTACTGGTAAATAATGAATCTTGTTTTATTTACTAGCTGTACATGGAAACTTTCTAGATTTATTTTCATCCACACATGTACTGCTCATTTTCACCAATTGTATGATTCATAAATACTCCATTTATTAAAACATACATTTCAGCTAAACCATCAAACTTCAGCTCGAGTTTTTTTACCCAACAGGCAAAAGGTGAAACTCATGCCGTGTTAAAAGTTTCCCTAGATGATAGTAATTAATAAAGCAAACACATATCTACATTAATGTTCTGATTCACAAATAAAACCTCGTATTTCAACATCAGTTGGAATGTCAATAAATCAAAAGTAGGCTTCTTGTCACAAACACACTACAAAGTAGGCCTCTTGTCACACACACACACATTACAAAGTAGGTCTCTTGTCTCTCACTACAAAGTAGGTCTCTTGTCTCTCACTACAAAGTAGATCTCTTGTCACATATACACTACAAAGTAGGTCTCTTGTCACACACACACTACAAAGTAGGCCTCTTGTCACACACACACTACAAAGTAGGTCTCTTGTCACTTATATATATTACAAAGGAGGTCTCTTGTCACATATACATTACAAAGTAGGCCTCTTGTCACATAAACATCACAAAGTAGGCCTCTTGTCACATATAGATTACAGCGAAGGCCTCTTGTCACACACACACACTACAAAGTAGGTCTCTTGTCTCTCACTACAAAGTAGGTCTCTTGTCACATATACACTACAAAGTAGGTCTCTTGTCACACACACACTACAAAGTAGGCCTCTTGTCACACACACACTACAAAGTAGGTCTCTTGTCACTTATATATATTACAAAGGAGGTCTCTTGTCACATATACATTACAAAGTAGGCCTCTTGTCACATAAACATCACAAAGTAGGCCTCTTGTCACATAAACATCACAAAGTAGGCCTCTTGTCACATATAGATTACAGCGAAGGCCTCTTGTCACACACACACACTACAAAGTAGGTCTCTTGTCACATATACATTACAAAGTAGGCCTCTTGTCACATAGATTACAGAGTTGGCCTCTTGTCACACACTCACACCACAAAGTAGGTCTCTTGTCACATTTATATTACAAAGGAGGCCTCTTGTCACTTATACATTACAAAGTAGGCCTCTTGTCACACACACTTTAAAGTAAGCCTCTTGCTACACATACATTACAAAGTAGACTTCTTGTGAAATCAGTGTGAAATCTGATGTCTTGAAGTCTGCTATTGGAACAGTGTTACTTCAACAGAAATCATGGTAACTAGCTTGATAATAAAAATCAAAATTTTAGGTTACCAGCATTTAATTAAATATTTCAAAATTAAGTCCGTTTTATTGTTCAATTCAATGATTTTTCAATGAAACTTACATGTACAAGGATAGCACGTTCAGTTAGGTAGGTACATATTAGTACATTCAAGTGAAATATGCATTATTTCATGTCCAACCTGTTTAAGTGACTACCTCTGCAAAGAGGCCACCTGTGTAAGCAGACCACCTCTATTAAGAAGTTATCCGATTATATATTAACTATGATCACTTTTGTAACTTGAGTTATTTTACTTAATAGAACCTGTATTAAGAGACCACTTGTAAAAACAATCTACTTCAAAGACAAAAAAATGTCTCTGTAAATGGGGTTAGATAACAACAAAAATCACATGTATATAGCATAAAGTAACATCAACCCTGAAATACTTACCAAACAAAATTAAACGAGAAAAAAGACAAATTCAAAAATATATATAAACTTTTTTAGTGTTAAGTAGTCTAGAGTGCTTCCAGGAACAATTATCATTCAGCAGCCCAAAGCTATATAGATTTAAGTAAAATAAAATTACACAACAAGCAGTTTAATTAAAGAAACAGGATTAAAGTACAATCACATGTATATATATAGACCTAGATATAAATGGTGTATGTATAATAGTTTATGAAGGGATGATAAAAGATACGGAGCTTATCTTTTTGGCTAAATTTATAATTATCTTAATGATGATGATTATACTCCATCAACAATTAACAATGATTATACCATTGTAACAAACGGATCATTTTGACTTTTTTTCACAATTTGAGAGAGCTTCCTAGAAATCCCTTGGACTCCAATTCAATGATTATTCATCAACTAAAATCGAACTAAATTTCAACATAGTCTAGACACTTTTAGGATCCAGTATATCATTTCTGTGCAATAAATAACAATGATATTAACCATCTAATACAGTTACCTCATACCTGTGATTTTATTTACCTCACATCGTTACCTGTGATTTTATTTACCTCATATCTTTACCTGTGATTTTATTTACCTCATATCTTTACCTGTGGTTTTATTCACCTCATATCTTTACCTGTGATTCTATTCACCTCATACCTTTACCTGTGATTTTATTTACCTCATATCTTTACCTGTGATTTTATTCACCTCATATCTTTACCTGTGATTTTATTTACCTCATATCTTTACCTGTGATTTTATTCACCTCATATCTTTACCTGTGATTCTATTCACCTCATATCTTTACCTGTGATTCTATTCACCTCATATCTTTACCTGTGATTTTATTTACCTCACGTCTTTACCTGTGATTTTATTCACCTCACGTCTTTACCTGTGATTTTATTTACCTCATATCTTTACCTGTGATTTTATTTACCTCATATCTTTAACTGTGATTTTATTCTTTACCTGTGATTTTATTTACCTCACGTCTTTACCTGTGATTTTATTTACCTCATATCTTTAACTGTGATTTTATTTACCTCATATCTTTAACTGTGATTTTATTCAGTGTTATTTCATTGGCCATCAATGTCATTTTCAGAAGATGCTGAAGGTGACAGAAAATCAAGATTCCACCCCTGTCCCCAAATGACCTCTACTTAAGCTATGCATACAGTTATATATGAATTACATTTCAGAAAATCTGATAAAGACGAATGATTTCAAAGAACTGATATATCACAGTGTTCATATAACAAAACAAGTGTCCGAAGGGCCTTAACACTCACCTGGGTTACAATGTCGTTGTTCTTATTGTAACATGTCATAGAAATAACCTTGTTCATAAAGACAACTTGAACTACATTGTACATGTAATACAAATGTAAACTGTGTACAACATTAACTGCCATCCCATACTTACTGGAATTGAATGAAACTACACTCAAATTGTAATAATCCTATACAAACTCTTCTATTCATGAAGAGCGTTTAACAGACTCTATTATACATGAATCTGGATATTGAGACTTTTGAAATTTGAATCAATTTGACCTCTTTCGATCTCGCTCATCAACCTCTAGGGGTAAGTCATCAGGGTCAAGATTTGCATATCATCAAACTGCCATCCTCTAATAATAATTCTAACCAAGTCTGAACTACTTCAAATACAAAATAAATGAATTATACTCAAAAATGTCATTTTCACGTGAAATATACCATAAACTTTACCCCTCCTCCTAAGGGGGAAATGTGAAACCCTAGGGTCATGAAATTAACAATTTTGGTAATGCACCTTAAAACCCTTCCATCAATGAAGAGTATTGGATCCCATCACTTCGGTCTTGAGAAAAGGGTTTTTGAAATTTCAATCAATTTGACCCCTTTTTGGCCCACCCCTCAGGCCCCTGGGAAATGAGAACCATATGATTTACCATATTGATTTATTTTTGGCCACAGCAGGTTTCGGCAAAATTTCATTGAAATCAATGTAGAGGTTTCTCTTAAGTCAAAAATGTTCAAAGTTTATGACCCACACCTCAGGACAACAGACAAAAGGCTCGCATTCCATCACCGTGAAACATTGTGACAATCATGGAAACAAATATCACAGAAAATCTACGAAACCAGATGAATAAGAATGATCAGGTAATTTTGTGTGAAAAAAAGTGGACACCTATACAGCTAAAATATCAACCAAAAATGTAAATACAAAAAAAAGAAAAAAAAACATAAAAAGACTAAACTAATTTAACAAAATTAAAAATTCCTTGAAAATCAGGAAAAAAAACCAATTACTGCAGATCCTATTACTTCTATGGACATTTACCTTCAAAATAATGTTTTTACTAAAGATATTTATATTTTCATCACTAAAACATACTTTTTCAAAATTTTTACCAACCCCTCCCCCCCCCTTAAAAAATACATAGATAAAAATAAGAGGAAAAAAAAGACATTAAAGCAATAAGGGTTCCCTAATTTATATACATGTATGATTAAATAAATATAGATGAGAAACTTTCATATACAGACAGCAAAAGGTGAGCTTCCATGATATCATACTCAACAGAAATATATATGCTAACACCAAATCTTTATACAGCTTTAGTAAACACAGACCATATCTTATGTATAATGACTAACAATTTCCCTTAATGGCTCATCAGTGTACACAAGTTTCATAATAGTGACTACTGTAAATTACTTTATTCACAAGACAGCCAGTTGCTTCAAAGGGATTTCAAATAAACCACTGCTAGTATAGAGTTTCAGAGTTCTTCCATGATCAGAATGTAATCAACACCTAACTGTACACAGGGTTTGAAATACTGTCAAACACTCTTGATATTGAAGATTAAATTGTGCAGGTTATTTTTTCGTGTATAACACAGATTAGTCTATTAGTTATATACATATAATTATATTTGTAGATCGTATTTTATGTTACCATATCCATCATCACATCATATTTGTAGAAAGAATCAGATATTTTTTTTCATTATCAAAATCTGACCATAATAACAAAATAATGTAGTTATTTTCGATGTACTTCTGATATGGGAATTTCAGAAAAAAAAACCACATTAAAATAAAAGAATCAAATCATGATAATAAAACAAATTATGGGACTTGATGCACAGAAATATTCTCTTCTTCTGATAGCTATTGCAACAAATTATTTTAAGGGAGACAATGATTAGAAAATATACAGCAAAAAGTGAAATATAGCAAATTAATTTGTCTTCATTTCTCAACATGTTAATACCAAGTCAGTGATCAAACACGCATAAAATAGTAAACAATGGAATCAGTCAGAATCATCAACAGAATTAATAGCATTTTTTTTGGCATCGTAAAAATAACCAAAAATACAGACTTAGGTATGATTTTTGAAACTAGTTTTACATCTTACAGAGACATAAAGATGTCTATATTTAAAGATTCTGATTAATAAAGTTCACAAGGTATGATGAAAAAATCTGGAAATTTCATTAGAAAAAATTATAATCATTGAAAAAAGTATGTGTTTTTGAAAACATAAAATAAAAGGAACAATAAATAGCAGCTGTATTGGCTAAACTTATTTTGTAGACATTTCAATGTATGATACTAAAATATAAAAGATAAATTTTCTTCCGCTACAGAAATAAATAAAATAAATATATGCACATCATATTTTGATTGGTCCACAGTATGAGGTAATGGCAGCCATTTTAGAATCATTTGACTTCCATCCATCTGTTCATTCCTTCTGGATTCTCTGTCTGTGTACAGCTAAGGAAAGTTTGACAAACTTTATATACCTTGGAAAATTTGGACATGGATAAGGATTTGGAGAAACCCTTCAAACTAACGGGGTGTAAGTCATAAGCCTAATTTTGACCAATCACAACATCAGATTTTCAATCACAGTAAATATCTGAGTTGATAGAATTACTTTCTGTTGTTATGAATGACACAAAAATGTCCATTCATTCTTTATACCTACCATTAGTGTCAAAATAGATCCAAAAGTAAAAAAGATCAAATTGATAATGACAACAAAGAAAAAATCTCGAGATGACATGATAGGAGACAACAAAAGGATACATTGATGAACTAATGGCATGGAGCTGTAAGATAAGAAAAAACAAATACTATTTACTTTTGTTGACAAATCAATTGAAAGCTACATATGACATGAAAACGAAATTTGATCAATCACCAAGGACAACTTGAAGTAGATATAAGACAATGTAGCCTTAATTTTCACCAAGGACAATTGTGTTGAATTTTCATATATTTATCAAATCTAACGAATATAGAATTATATCTTTGGGAGTGAACATCTTTTTATTTGAAAAAAAGTTTATCTTTTCTCAATTCAAGCAATCCCATGTTTCAGTTTGATTATTAATAAAAAGTTTCACTAGAAGCATCCCTGTACTGTACCTGGTCTATAAGTTTGGACATTTTATCATTACTGGCTGTCTTTCCTTCCTCTGTATCCCGCCTAAAAAAAATACACAATGTTATAAAAATGTGGACTGATTTTTTCATTATTCATAAAGATAAGAATGATAATCTTGCAAATACTTAATATCATGAAAAGTTTTGACAGTAAGTAATACAACATTTATTGAAACACATGGAAAATTATTTTTCATAATATATTTTTTGTTTAGGAAGTGATCATCTGATTAATTCTGACATAAAAAAAATAGGCAAATATTTCACTGTGAAAGAGTGGATTTTCTGTGATTTTCAAAGAAGATTTATCTATGTTCAGGTTAACTACTCCTAAGAATTATATTTGAAAATCTTTTCACTTTTTTTTTCCTTTTCATGATTCTGAGGAAACTTTTTGTAATTACCGGTGCATGTCCTGTAAAAGTTCCATCTCAAAGTGTAGTCTAGCAAGTCTCTCTTGCTGTTCCCTGATATGATCCATCTTCTCAAATGTCATACTGCCACCTAAAATGTCAGAACACATCAACTTCTAAAACTTCCTATGGAAACACCTACTCTTAAAATACACTGTAAAAAATCAATTCCTAATATATCATACTCACACATCAACTTCTAAAATATATTATACTAACAAAACTCTGAAATTTGTTGCATCAAAACAACTCCCAAGATTTCATATCGACACATCAATTCCAAAAGTATCGTTATGACATCAAATTCTTATATGTCATAATGACATATAAACTGATAAATGTCATATTATTGATAGTCATACTGCTACCTTAAATCATGCTGGTACAAATAATGTTATATTAACAATTAAACAAGTTATACTAACAATTAAACAAGTTATACTAAAAATCAAACAAGTTATACTAACAATCAAACAAGTTATACTAACAATTAAACAAGTTATACTAACAATCAAACAAGTTATACTAACAATTAAACAAGTTATACTAACAATCAAACAAGTTATATAACAATCAAACATATTAAACAAGTTATACTAACAATTAAACAAGTTATACTAACAATTAAACAAGTTATACTAACAATCAAACAAGTTATACTAACAATTAAACAAGTTATACTAACAATCAAACAAGTTATACTAACAATTAAACAAGTTATACTAACAATCAAACAAGTTATACTAACAATTAAACAATGTCACACTATTACTGACACACAAATAATGTAACACTACCACTATATTGTGTCTTAACACCCAAATAACATCACACTGACATCCACATAATGTCATTTTGACACACAAAAAGGTGATATTGACACTGAAAATGATATAGTCAAAATGTCACCTAACTGATATTATACAGACTCCCAACTGGCGACTCAAACTGACAACAAACAAAGTCATTCTAACAGCTACTTTATAGTATCATAATGACCCCTACATAATGTAATATTGCACCTAAACAAAGCCATTATGACACAAAAAAGTCCAATGCTAAGTGGGAATACGTATTAATTGTACCAAAAGCTTGAAGTTTTCCCGAGTGGAAGTCTTCCAGCAGCTGAAGCAGACCCTGCTCCATGGTGCGTACATCAGCCACGTCCGTGAGGAAGGAATGCTCATTACATGGACGGCTGCTACCCACAACGGGCTTTTCTCCCTTTAATACTCCTATTTAGTGAAAAACATAAGATAAATATACAGGGTTGTTTTTTACCGTTTTAGTTCAAATCTTCTTTTCCATTCCCTTGAAATATTTAATTCAATTCATCATATCTGCTAGAATTCAACACATTATTGGAGTCAATATTGCAAGCACTGCACAATCAAAATTCAAATTTCTTAGTTTTTCAAAAAATTGCAATTTTATTGACATTTGATTGTGTGGATAGTCCCATAAACGTAGTAGTACTAATTCCAAAAGTCTGAGGACATTAAGAAAGAAATCATTGAAAATAAATCTCTCATGAAAATCAATGATTTTACAGTACAATCATTCATCCTGTAATATATCACTGTATTCTATAATCTTATTAATCAAAGTCATAACAAATACATCCAACTGTAAATTACCCTGTTTTGAAGCATTGCTCTCGGCACTAGGCTGAGTGCTGACAGGATAAGTTTCACTCTTCATCATCCGAGATGCCATGATGAGTTAGTATTTCCACTAATACAGTATCATTCTTTTACCTGCAAGAGTGAAAAATGTATAATAAACTATCTCTTTATAATTTGGCTTATAAAACAGTACAATATCATCCAAGTGGTGTGTTAAGTTAAGTCATGTAACATGGGATTATTGACCTACCATCATCCGATGATGGGCTGTTCAAATCACTTTTGGTTAATTGTCTGACCATAGTCCATCTATCATTAACCATTCTGATTATCACTATTTCTTGAGAATTACTGGTTGTTGAATGATCTTCAAATCACATACTTATCATCTTTGAAGTGGTCACAGAAACAAAATGACTGACAGGGGCCATCTTGGATTTAGGAGAGTTATTTTTGGTTACCACTACTTCTTGATTAGTGCTTGATGGACCATCCTGTGATTTCATATTTCGGTTACCGTTGGTCCCTAGCTGTGCACTTCCATTTTGGGACTGATCAGATAAAATATTATGGCCAATAAGGCAGTTGTCTAGAATCTTGAATCTTACAGTTCATATTTTTCTCTTAAGAAGTTCTGAATGGATCATTCTCAAATTTCATATTTTGGATCCCTTTGGCCCCTTGTTGTGCATCATCTATTTTAGGGTTGATTGAAAAAAGAGAATGAAAAACAAGCAATTATGTTGATCTTCACAGTCAGAGTTTGTTAATCCTATATCTGTCTTTGTTATTGATGTTATGGTTATTGTCAGAGCAACACATAACAAAGAAACAGAAAGAGGAAAGAGGAGAAATGATAGGGAAAGGTCCAACTTACAAAGAACTAGTAAAGATATACAATGGTGGGTGCCAGGATCCTTTTGAAATCTTTTGTTTATAATCATACAGTGATGTCGTAGTTCTAATGAATTGGTAACACAGATTCTTAACAAGTGTAATAGGAGTAGAAAATTGCAGTGACCATACTGAGACTTAAACATGGTACTTCCAAATTATAGACAGTGGTACTTTCAAACTATAGACAGAGGATATGATGAAGTTAGACAAAGGTCAAAGGTTCAAATCTTCATATTGGAAGAGAAATTAGACTTTTCCTATTTTCTACACAGTTGTTTTGGAGATTAGTTTAGTCCCACTTCAGTTAAAGGCATTACGATTTCTTAATCACAGTATTTTATTGGGATGGTCCATAACTTATATACTAGTATAAGATATAGTGCAATATTTATTGTTTCTCTGTATGGTATAAAATCAATGTTGTGATACCATGAATAAGTTAGAGTTCTAGTCTACTAACACAAGTTTCATCTGACTCCAGTCTTCATCTCTAAAGTCAGTAATCTGTACATCTGTGAACATTTCTTATTAGTATTTCTTGAGAAGTATTGGATAGATTATTATCAAAGTTTGTCTATAACTTTGACAATAGCAGTTTGTCATTGATGTATCTTGATAAGTTCTAAATGTGTCATTCTTAAATTTCCTATGTATTCTATTTTTTGTCCAAATTTGTGCATTGCCAGTTCTGGCATTATTGGGGAAACTATGTTGATAATGTCCTAAATGTCCTTTTTGTAACGGTGTCAGGAATTTTCATACTGAAGAATTTTCGTCCGAGGAGAATTTTCGTTCCTGGGAATTTTCATAGCACTATGGATATATTTAGGTAGGGTATCAACAACCAATTATAACACCCTCCACAGTGTTGATAATAAAAATTTGATGTTTTAGAAGTTTATACAATGGTTTGACTGGTTTTTACCCAAGAACTGGTATGCGTCTGTTGTTAGCCGACTGGCGTGTTGCCTCACACGTGTCACCAATGTTTTTTCAAACCATCTTTAATAATTAACTAAAACAACATCGTCTGCTGGAAGGTCTAAAAACCATATACACCTTATACACACAACATACACACCTTATACATACATAACCTATTCTATAGTACTACTATATAATAGTAGTACGAAAATTCTCAGGACGAAAATACCCGGAACGAAAATTCTTCAGTACAAAAATTCCCTCCATCTTTCTCAACATCGATTTCAGGCTGTTACATATTTCTATTTTGTTAAGCAATATCACATGAACTATTGACCTGTGTGACCTCACAACCAAATAATTTTGGTTGCTGTAACATGTCATGCTTCCAGAAAGAATAAATTGTGATTAAAACCATTCACTATAAAATATCATGAGTTAATGTACGGATATCCACCATTTTCGGATCATATGATTAAATTTTGTCCCCATCCAAATGTAATTCGTCTTCAAATTATGATTTGTGCAATAAAGGTGTACTTCTGGGTCACTGTAAGCGTGTCTTTGATATATTTATGCGACATCAGAAATGGAAGTACAGTCACATGTCTGATACATATGTCATTTCAGGCGAGCGAATTTTGGGTTTGTTTTAGAAAAAACACCGGTGTTTCATTGGTTCGTTTTTTTTTAAATAAATCTCATATCATAAACACGTTCAAATTCATCTATGTATTTGTTTGGCAACAATTCATCGACATAAAGTAGATATCGAGAAAGGATTTCAAGGGTTCTGAAACTAATGGTACAATAATCCAAGTCAAGTGCTGACTTATAGAAGTTATACTGGCACGTCTCTTCTTCGGGAATAACAGATCACGGTCGGATGAAACTCGGAGTAGCAGACCTCGTGTTCTTATCTTTCTAATGATATTATGGCTCTCGTAGTGATCGAGACAAACACATTTTCTGACGACCCACCTGTTTTAACGTATAAGAAGATCCAAGCAGCAGAAATCAGTGTTGACGGAAGTAATCAGGAAACGGAAGGGAGCTAACTCTGCGATTACATTGGGTATTGCTAAAAAGCGGATCATTCCGACCGCATTAAGTAGTAAAAACTGTATTTTTTATCAGTTGTGGCAAAAGAAATAAAATGTCTACATTTAAAAGTGAAATCGATGAATAAAATTTGTCGTATTTTGATAGTTCTCTGAATGCTTACTTAAATCCGACCTTGCCATATAACCAAAATACACAGGCCAGTTTTTTTCTGAAATTATTAACTTCTCAGTATTTTGCAATAACGAGTTACCCCCCTTTTGAATCCACTCTTCATAAATTACTTCAATCGATCAGGATGAAGATTTACGCCTTACTTATCGCTATTTGTGTTGTAAATTCTGTATTTACCGAGGTGAGTTATATTTACGCTCATTTCTTAAGTAGATATACTATATTTAGATCTGATGAAATGGCATTGTTTGCTTTAAAAAGTCAAATGGTTGCTTTTTGCAATGTAATTGAGACCGTTTCCGTCACGCCTAGCTACAAAATCTCCTGTATCACAATTCTGTATGTAAGAGCCCGTCTGTAGTTCAACTGCCACCTTAAACATATGCAATGCTGACTGATGACGGATTTACGTGAACTGACAAAGAATAGTGACGAGCATGGTTCAAGTTTAGCTTGGTTTAGAAGTTTTGATTACTGGTCACCTTCATAGCCTCAGCAGGTGGAAAAGTCCCTTTAGTCATATACAGTAGAGTATCCGACTGAAGACCGAAGGAACGCTACTTCGATACCCTGATTGGTTAGAGTATTTATCATTACTCCTTCTTATTACAAATTTGGTGCCGTGACCATGATCGAATGGTAGTGTGTTAGTGTGTGTGTATATGTATATGTGATGAGAAATTGTTACATGTTGGATCAGTTCCACCATTGGATAGCCTTAGCCAGCTAAATTTCTAAATTAGCAGTAACCATATATATAAGTATATATAGATAATAAAATTGGAAACCTGCTTGGTTTGAAGTGATCATAGTCTTCTCCTTACAGTTAGGTCTGATAATAGACCACCCTTACAGTTTGGTCTGATCAAAGATTACACCATGCAGTTAGGTCTGATTATAGACCACCCTTACAGTTTGGTCTGATCAAAGATTACACCATGCAGTTAGGTCTGATTATAGACCACCCTTACAGTTTGGTCTGATCAAAGATTACACCATGCAGTTAGGTCTGATTATAGACCACCCTTACAGTTTGGTCTGATCAAAGATTACACCATGCAGTTAGGTCTGATTATAGACCACCCTTACAGTTTGGTCTGATCAAAGATTACACCATGCAGTTAGGTCTGATTATAGACCACCCTTACAGTTTGGTCTGATCAAAGATTACACAATGCAGTTAGGTCTGATTATTACCTCCCCATACAGTTCTAATAGTGGAGGACCCAGGTTATTAACTTGTATGCAGTTATAAATTATGGTAATACTACATGATTGTTTACAGAAAGTGCCCACTGCTCAACCTACATTACAACAGACAAGCTTTGAGGACAAGAGATGCAAGTGTGTGTGTCCAAAACTCGTCTCCAATGTCACCAAAAATGAGCAGAGTGTTTACATCAAAGATATCCTTGATCCTGAAGATTGGTAAGCATGATTTTGTGTAAATGTTGTGTGTGATCCTGATGATTGGTAAATGTGTGTGTGTGAATGTTGTGTGTTTGTAAATGTTGTGTGTGATCCTGATGATTGGTAAACGTGTGTGTGTGTGTAAATATTGTGTGTTTGTAAATGTTGTGTGTGGTCCTGATGATTGGTAAACGTGTGTGTGTAAATGTTGTGTGTTGTCCAGATGATTGGTGAACGTGTGTGTGTGTAAATGTTGTGTGTTGTCCAGATGATTGGTAAACGTGTGTGTGTAAATGTTGTGTGTTGTCCAGATGATTGGTAAACGTGTGTGTGTAAATGTTGTGTGTGATCCTGATGATTGGTAAACGTGTGTGTGTAAATGTTGTGTGTGATCCTGATGATTGGTAAACGTGTGTGTGTAAATGTTGTGTGTGATCCTGATGATTGGTAAACGTGTGTGTGTAAATGTTGTGTGTGATCCTGATGATTGGTAAACGTGTGTGTGTAAATGTTGTGTGTGATCCTGATGATTGGTAAACGTGTGTGTGTAAATGTTGTGTGTGATCCTGTGTGTAAACGTGTGTGTGTAAATGTTGTGTGTTGTCCAGATGATTGGTAAACGTGTGTGTGTAAATGTTGTGTGTGATCCTGATGATTGGTAAACGTGTGTGTGTAAATGTTGTGTGTGATCCTGATGATTGGTAAACGTGTGTGTGTAAATGTTGTGTGTGATCCTGATGATTGGTAAACGTGTGTGTGTAAATGTTGTGTGTTGTCCAGATGATTGGTAAACGTGTGTGTGTAAATGTTGTGTGTGATCCTGATGATTGGTAAACGTGTGTGTGTAAATGTTGTGTGTGATGATGATTGGTAAACGTGTGTGTGTAAATGTTGTGTGTGATCCTGATGATTGGTAAACGTGTGTGTGTAAATGTTGTGTGTGATCCTGATGATTGGTAAACGTGTGTGTGTAAATGTTGTGTGTGATCCTGATGATTGGTAAACGTGTGTGTGTAAATGTTGTGTGTTGTCCAGATGATTGGTAAACGTGTGTGTAAATGTTGTGTGTTGTCCAGATGATTGGTAAACATGTGTGTGTGTGTGAATGTTGTGTGTTTGTAAATGTTGTGTGTGGTCCTGATGATTGGTAAACATATTTGTAAATGTTACATGTCTTATATAAGATAATCGCTTGGTATATTTATAAACCATTTACAGTCATGCAGTTTGTATGACATTTCACTGATATACAATGTACAAGTGTATATGAAAAAAATTATATTAATTTGTATGAAAATGTAGTTTCTTATTCCTCTGCTACTCACTTACTCTTACTTAAACCTGCAAACACTAAAATTAACTTATAGTTGTCATGATTAACTCATTAGAAGAGAATTTATTTTTTTTATTTTGGCTGAAAGTTTTTTGTTGGAATCTTTGAAAATGGTAGTAATTTTTTATTTCATTTTTCAGTAAATGCAAGCATGTGGTGACCAATGCTACAGATGAACTGTGTGTACAGTGTGAATGTAAATATGAGGAACGTAACACAACCACCATCAAGGTACGTGTATAACGGGATTTCTGTCTTCTTCACATGTCAAGTATTGGTGTCAGTAGGGATTCACTGGAGTGATTTGGGTATAGTGATGTTGCACTTAGTCCTGTAACATGGATTGCAAGCTGCTACACATTCTAATTAAGTTTCTGTAGACACTAACTATCTGATGTCACATCACCGATAAACATTAGTAATAGCATTATTGATATTTATATAGCAATGACCTTGTGACTGAAATAAGCATAGCATTGGCTACAGATAAGCTTGTCACAGCCAACTGTACTTAACGAAAGGGGCAATGAATTGTGTGATAACCAGAATCATAGTGAACCTTATGTATGAAGAAACAGGCACATGGACTGGAATAAATCAATTATCTATTGCCAAATAAAAGTATTTTCTGTTTTTCTTCTATTGAATTAGACCCTCAGTAAAGGCTAGAAAACTGCAAATTTTAACATAAATTTTCAATAAATATCTTTGAGGATTTGGAGTTTCTGTTGTTGAATCCATATATGAATGTAATTGTTTTGAATAGGTGGTGGTGATTTTCATCATCTGTGTGGTGTCACTGCTGTTTGTTTACATGCTGTTCCTTCTGTGTCTGGATCCACTGATCGCACGACGGCCAACACAGTACCAACAACAGACAAATGAGGAGGTGAATTTGGTACTGTGTGCGGGTGTGGTAGCCTGCTTACTTACTTACACCCCTGTCACCATATCCTCTATCTGTTTTTAATGTTGTCAACAATCAATGTAAATTTTATTGTATAAATTATATAGATTATTTTAATATTTAAATATTCAGGAAATTTATGAATCTATATTTGTGTAGTTCTGATCTTCATCCCTAAGTATTGAATAGATTTTCATACAACACAAACCTAGGAGAAAATTTGTATGTGATGTTTTGATGACTTCACTGTCATCAGTCAAATGACTGTGTACTGAGGTTTAAATTTGGTTAAAAGGTCTGGACTTTTTCACTGTTATGATCCTACTTACACTAAGGTAGTCTATTGGCAGCAGTGGAGGATATGGTGACACTACACATTTCTCTCATTACTAACATTTTTAATTTGCCCTTTTACTGTAAATAACTAATATTTCCTATAACATTTGTTTTTGCAATACATTAAACAAATCAACAAATTTGTATTCTGATATGATTCATCATAAAGACAAGGACCAGTTGATTTTGAAAGCATAATTCAAATTATTGAAATTGTAAATTCAAAATAGTAAATTCAGTGAGTAAGAAAATTAAAGTGATTTACAGTAAGCTGGTGTATGGTTTATAGTAAAAAAACTGGATAATAGTTAATAGATTTTGTACCATCTATTACAAACCATACAGTACACATTGTGACAACACCCATATTTTCTAATGATGTTCCATGTAACAACACATCCATGTTAACATGATGAGTACCATATACACTGCAATGTGACATAAATACATTTGGAACACCTCAACCCTATTCTGGTTTCCTGAGGTATTCCGGATGAATATGAATGTTCTCAAGCTATACATTGTACATATGTATTGAATGATATACCTTCTATATATTTCACTCACTGAAATAGAGAAAGCTGTTTCTGTTAATATGAAAATTTTCAGATACTGTTTTCCAAAATGCATTATAACTAATAGTGTTAGAGGGGGATTTTCAGAATAAGAACACGTAAGTACTCATTTGGTTGTGGGTTCATGGGCTTTTCAACAGCTAGGGCCATGTACATGTAGTAGTTGGTGGCCACCTCACTGAACAACATACATGAGGCCCATCACATGCAATCCATAATCAGTGTCTTTACAGTATGGAGTGGCCATTTCTCAACCTCCTAAGAAACACAAACCGCTACAGTTAGGGAGTATCTACCACACACCTCGGCCATTTCTCAACCTCCTAAGAAACACAAACCGCTACAGTTAAGGAGTATTTACCACACACCTCGGCCATTTCTCAACCTCCTAAGAAACACAAACCGCTACAGTTAGGGAGTATTTACCACACACCTCGGCCATTTCTCAACCTCCTAAGAAACACAAACCGGTACAGTTAGGGAGTATTTACCACACACCTCGGCCATTTCTCAACCTCCTAAGAAACACAAACCGGTACAGTTAGGGAGTATTTACCACACACCTCGGCCATTTCTCAACCTCCTAAGAAACACAAACCGGTACAGTTAGGGAGTATTTACCACACACCTCGGCCATTTCTCAACCTCCTAAGAAACACAAACCGGTACAGTTAGGGAGTATTTACCACACACCTCGGCCATTTCTCAACCTCCTAAGAAACACAAACCGGTACAGTTAGGGAGTATTTACCACACACCTCGGCCATTTCTCAACCTCCTAAGAAACACAAACCGGTACAGTTAGGGAGTATTTACCACACACCTCGGATGTTCTTCTGAGGTTGCTCTTTAGACTTTTGGGCTTAATACACATGTAGCTTTCCTCTTTAAATTCCCTAAAACACAAAACTAATTTTAAGTGTGTTTGTGTGATTTCATTTCACTTCTAATTCTGCTGTGTGATTTATAATTTTCAGTAATATTAGCCCATGCCATAATCAGGTTTCATAAATGAATTTAATTTAATTTAAAATGTTATGATTTTAACAACACAACCAATTGTCATGGGCTCATTTTGGGTAAACTATGGTGATCGAAGATACTCACATTCATATCTAAACATTGTGGCGAGACTTGAGTTTGCTGGTAAAATTTGCTCTGATATTAATGGTGCTGGTGTTGTGAATTTTTCTAATAGAATTGGAAAATAAATAACATTACAAAAAACATGATTTACCTCTGTAATATCTTAGAAATTAAAAGAATCTATTGATACTTTTGCATAATTACAAGATTCTTTTCTACTTTCACTTTAGAGGTAGGATTTACTAACTTTCACTCTAGAGGTAGGATGTACTAATTATGCTGTAGCACCTATATTTCAAATACATCTATTAAATATAGGGGAATTACCATGCACTTTCCACTTTCACTTTAGGTTTATTATATCATTATACAAACATAGTGATCACAGGTTAAAGTTGAAAGCAAACATTTAATCATCTATTAACATGATTCTGATAGTCTATGACTTTTAGTTTCAACCTTGAATTGTATTGAATTTGATCATTCAGACATCAGTATGAAACTGAACTTGTATCACCTTACATTGTTCCATGTTTTGTGGGTAAAATACCGGTAAATGAATAATACAGATGTACCTATGTACATTAACTTTTAGAAAGTGAAAGTAGAAATATATGTATCTTGCAACCAATATGACTTATTACATTAACTCGATGTACATATATCAAAACATATATATAGCTATATATTCATGAAAACTGTGATTGTTGTTATCCCTTATACTGCCTCATTTATCATCTCTATTTACAATTAGTATCATATTAGACTACTACTGGTGTATGGGAACTAAATGATTTGCCTAGTTACTGCCATATACTACTAACTAGGTTCATTTGGAATAAAGAAAATGAACATAAATAGGTTCCTCTGTGTATGTGAAATATTTCAATATGATTAGAATAATCTGGATTTTTCCCCCATTACAATGTGATAACCACTATCTTTGAACAGAAATATGGCCGTGAAAATAATGTGTTAGCTTATATTGATTTTGTTTTTTTAAGGAAATTATTATTTTTATTTCATTGTGGAGATCTTACTAAAATGGATAGATATTTAGCATTTGACTTTTGATCCTAATAAATTTTCTAAAAAGAAAGGCTGTGGTGGTAGCATTACTATGTATTCTATGGGTTCTGAACAAAATAACATTATTCTGACTGGGCTCTTTCGTAGGATGACCACTCTGTGTCTCAGATGTCCAGTCGTCCAGAAATGACAAGACAAAGATCAATTATAAACCGTGTGACGGATGAACAGAAGAAGTGGAAGGGAACCGTACAGGAGCAGAGGAAGACAATCTACGACCGACACGCCCTCCTCAACTAAAACATACTCCTTAAGTCATGATGGTAGCATATGTTGAAATGGAGAAAAATGATACATTAAGATCTCAATATGATAAATATGGTATTTGCTTCATGTTTACAACAGGTATCTTGGCCTGCCTACTGTGACTTGATTAATCAAAGAAATAGCCAATGTATTGTACTATGTTACCATTTGGTTATTGGTAGTATGTACATGATGTTATAGATATATTTCCAATGTTGGTTTTTAAAGAAAATTAAGGCATCATTGAGACCATGTAAAATGTAGATGGAGGAAATGTTTTAAAAAAAAGTATACTGTTAAATATTTACAAAGTTCTTAATGGGAATGAGATTTCTATGGTAGTTTGTAAACATGCACAAGTCATTATAACATTTTACTACAAAAAGTTGTAACAACAAATACCTTGGTACATGTTATTACTGTTCCTTTACAGGTCAGGGTTATTATCATAGTAAGGAATCAAACAGAATTTCTTACACATTGAGATTTGTGTCATACATAAAAGATTAGCAATCTGTTAGTGAATCATTTCTTTATAGTTCAGTTAGAAAGTGCTTTTAACTAACCTGTTTATAACAGTCACCTGTGTAAACCTTGGTGATCTTTATAGTTCAGTCAGAAAGTGCTTTTAACTAACCTGTTTATAACAGTCACTTGTGTAAACCTTGGTGATCTTTATAGTTCAGTTAGAAAGTGCTTTTAACTAACCTGTTTATAATAGTTACTTGTGTAAACCTTGGTGATCTTTATAGTTCAGTTAGAAAGTGCTTTTAACTAACCTGTTTATAACAGTTACTTGTGTAAACCTTGGTGATCTTTATAGTTCAGTCAGAAAGTGCTTTTAACTAATCTGTTTACAACAGTCACTTGTGTAAACCTTGGTGATCTTTATATGCAGGTGTCATTTTTAAATGGATGACTTTTATACAATGGCTAAGGTATGAAATATGAACGGACAAGTATTGGACAAACTGCCTACCTGTGAATTTTGCAATAATACAGAGTGAACGGGTTCTGGTGTATGTAATTCATTGGTGAACTTTATAGACATGTCATGGCTTTACAAGAAGGATTTGATACAAACAAGAAGCAAATGATGGGTAATACAGGGGTTAGAATTAACTCACTGATGTATTTATTTGACAGGGGATTTATGTATGATCACCACTGTAGATTAATACACTGTATGTTCTAATAACTGATGTCAATACCAGATATATGTTAAGTGTGATAGTATTAGGGATGTTAGTTTTCAAAAACTTATTGTCTAGTTGTGAAGTGGAAATAAGGACATATGTGTACCTGAAAATAACTCTTAGTGTGCATTCATGTGATATTGTTCAGTTGTGTAGGTAATGGCTCTACCGTGATGTGAGGCTTTTTTTTTAAATCGGGGGAAATTACCCTTTGATAGCATGTTGTAAAATTGTATCCTTTAGGTGGAAATATCTGGAGTGTCAAAGCTGAATTTCTGCTAGGAAATATTCTGGAATTATTTATCACAAAGATTATCCCCCAACAGAAAACATAACCAAATTTGTTTCCCTTTACACCACCTTAAGTTAAGATATAGATAAAAATTAATTTTTTGAAACAAAAAAAATTACAATAAAAAAAAAATCTGATCAAAACACATGCTTGATATAGCAGTTGATTAACAAGGCTCAGCTTTTGTAGAGTCAGTTTAATTGGGTGTACAGTACTTTGTGTGTATATTTCAATATACATAGAAACTGCCAAAGAATTGTTTTGTTGTAAATAGATTGTTGTATGAGAAATATTGTTATAACCAAAATATCAGACTGGTCAGCTGTCTTCCTGATCACCTGAAATCAATTTCTTTTGTTGATTCTCATAAGATATTCCATTTTTTATGATCATCATAAACAGACCTCTGTCTGTAGATTCAGTTCAGAGGTGTTGATAGTGTTGTATTTTCACAAGACAATGATAACTTTCAATGTTTAAGATCTTTGCTGTGAAACTTTGTTATTAAGAGTGAAGCTTGAGGAGATTAATACTATGTACAATAGAACTTTATGTATCAGAAATGATATAAACCCCAAAATACTCTCTGGACATGACAGAGGGTATACGACTATTCCATCATGGTGGGAAAAGTTGATAAAATTAATGAGTACATCGTAGACCACTTTTTGGTTAACCAGTTTATGTGGTTCAGGTGAAACAGAATTATTCCGTGATGTAATAACCCAGTTTATACTTGGTGTAGAAAGTGTGTACTTTAAGGTTTTCTAGATGAAAAGAAGCAATGTTGACCTGTACCCTTTGTCATGTTGAAAATCAGCTATAAAATGTATTTAGTCAGTTGACTAGGTATGATAGGTCTCCTTGGACAGCACATGCTGTATAATCAGCAGGTCAACTGTGATCCTGGTCTGTGCTTGTCTTTTTTCCCTCAGGTTCATCTTTTCCAACCATTTCAACTGCTTACATGAAAGCAAATGCAGTTTCTGGACTACTGAGTGAGGATGGTATTTCCTTTGCCGTGTATGTATGTGTGTATGTGTTTGTGATTGTGTGTGTGTGCGTGTGTGTGTGTGTGCGTGTGCGTGCTTGTGTGTATTACATTTTGATTTTGTTTACAATTATACTGACAGGTAGTTTAAGAGTGGTGCGCAACCCTTTAAGAATGCCATTAAGAACAAATTTACTTTTCATTATCTTTGTTGAACTCCGACATTCTGTTTTAGCATAATTGAATATCATCTTCACACCATATATATGACTGGTCATATGAATCATATGGCATCTCTTCCCTGAAAAAGCAGAAAAAAGTTTGAAATTTTGTACTTATAATGAAGCACTACAAAAATACAAAGACACTGAAATCCATTGATGAAGAAGCCATAACAGTTAATGTGTGTTTCTGTTGTGTCATTTTTAAGAATCTCTGTCGTGGCTGTCAATGAGAGAAGAAAAACATTTACAATTGATTTCTGAAAGTATTTGAACATTTCAAGTTTTGGTTTATAAATAGATAATTTCTGTGGTGGGTTGGAACTTTCACTGTGAATGTCTCGCTTGCTAATCACCAAGATGTCTAAAATTTGGTACCTCAATTTGATATGAAAAGGCCTAGGATTATCCATCTGTCTGTCTTGGGTATTATCAAGGTAAAAGAGAGAGCAGCAACTCCTGATGTCAGGTTTGGAAAACGTCTGACTGCAGACATGTTCCAGCCTCCTAGGCAGGCCATCAACAGGACACAGTTTATTGATGTGACCGTTACATTTTGAAGCTGAATAACGGTAGATGTTAAGTAACTAACACAATGGAAAGTATAATAATATTACCCAGGAAGTGAAAGGAACAGCAAGGCATCCAAATGATTATTGGTCAAAGTAAAACAAAGATTGTCAAAATAATTGGGTAGATAAAGTTTAAGTCTTGAGTATTGTAAAGTGCTGGACGAAAATGAGTTATCAATTTAAGTGATGATACAACAGATCCTCGTAATTTATTTGAATTCTATCTGTGATATTTATGTTTTTTTGTTTGTGGTCACGTATATATTTACTTTTATATTCACATTTGTTTGCCCAAAAAACTGTAGGTCAATCTTTTCTGGTAAATCAGGTTTGAAAAATGTATTGGAATTATTCATTTTGAACAGATGTACAATCAATAACATCTCGATATTTTTACATGAAGTTTATAACTCTGTACACAATAATTTATTAAGTAATCAGTAGGATCTTTTCACACTTTAAGCTGCAAACTGCAGTTTGAATCAGGTTGCGGAAATAACCGATTAAAAAAAGAGCAAGCAAATCCTGTCTGCCTTTCAATGTGAAAATATTTGACTCCTTGATTTACATTACATTGTGCTCTTTCCAAATTGTTGTGTCTATGTATGAGTTATTTTATAAATGACCACCATTGTATGTTGGTATTTTTATTTACATACAATTGTGTTGTTGTTCATGCAATTTTTGCCTCCCATTTAATTTCTCCAGAAGTTTAAACTGATTCACTCTTTCCCTTTTACTCAAAATTCATGAAAAGACTTTCTATAAAGTATAAATACAATTAAACATGATAGCTTTATATCAATTTTTTTCACTAAAAAGATAAACAAAAAAAGGAAAAAATATAAACCTTGGGTTTATGGATTACAATAAATCGTTTTTTCCCAGTTTAGTGAGAGTTGAAGATTAAGATCTGTCCTACATCATATTTACTGTATGTGAAGTCCTACATCATATTTACTGTATGTGAAGTCCTACATCATATTTACTGTATGTGAAGTCCTACATCATATTTACTGTATGTGAAGTCCTACATCATATTTACTGTATGTGAAGTCCTACATCATATTTACTGTATGTGAAGTCCTACATCATATTTACTGTATGTGAAGTCCTACATCATATTTACTGTATGTGAAGTGTGGATGTGTATTATTGAGGAGTGAGGAGGTGTTTTACATGTTTCTTTACTTTGCATTCCAAGAAAACTCAAACAAATTGATAAAAATTGCATTTAAAAAGTTATTCAAGTTGCAAAAAAAATTAACGGAAATGTTCACTGACAAAAAATAATAAGAAGAGGAAAAGCAGATTTTTCAATAAGAAATTATAATTATTTTGTGTCTGGAGTTGTCTTTTGATAAAAAAATGAAATATGATTTATAAAGAAATCTGATGTGTCTGCACGATTATCTTTTGATTATTAGAGGCAGGGATGGTCACTGGTAAATAAGTATTGTCAGGATAATAGATTTGTGGAGATCAGTCCCATTGTGTAACATGTTACGGTTTTATTTCAGTGATTTCTAGATTGAACAGGAAAAAATGTTGTGATAATGATGTGTCTACAGATATACATAATAAAATATATTGTAGGAAAAAAATGATGAAATCTTGTATTTTTGTTCTTTTGTGATCATATTAAATTCTTCAGTTAAGTACTTCATATGACCAATATAATGATTGGGGGAAACATATGTATCAATGACATGTCATGTTTACCTTTCATTATCATACTGATTACAGATGAGTCAATCGTCATTTTAGGAGCATCCGGGTACATATATATATATATGTGTGAACCAAGTTCTCTCGGGTGAAACAGACATCATATCCGTCTCGAATGACCTAACGAGTAACTCAGGAATGATTGTACTAATGTCTGACACCAATATTCCATGTAACAAGTCATTGTACAGTTTACTGATGTCTGACATATTCCATGTAACAAGTCATTGTACAGTTTACTAATGTCTGACATATTCCATGTAACAAGTCATTGTACAGTTTACTAATGTCTGACACGAATATTCCATGTAACAAGTCATTGTACAGTTTACTGATGTCTGACATATTCCATGTAACAAGTCATTGTACAGTTTACTAATGTCTGACATATTCCATGTAACAAGTCATTGTACAGTTTACTAATGTCTGACACGAATATTCCATGTAACAAGTCATTGTACAGTTTACTGATGTCTGACACCAATATTCCATGTAACAAGTCATTGTACAGTTTACTGATGTCTGACACCAATATTCCATGTAACAAGTCATTGTACAGTTTACTGATGTCTGACACCAATATTCCATGTAACAAGTCATTGTACAGTTTACTGATGTCTGACACCAATATTCCATGTAACAAGTCATTGTACAGTTTACTGATGTCTGACACCAATATTCCATGTAACAAGTCATTGTACAGTTTACTGATGTCTGACACCAATATTCCATGTAACAAGTCATTGTACAGTTTACTGATGTCTGACACCAATATTCCATGTAACAAGTCATTGTACAGTTTACTGATGTCTGACACCAATATTCCATGTAACAAGTCATTGTACAGTTTACTGATGTCTGACACCAATATTCCATGTAACAAGTCATTGTACAGTTTACTGATGTCTGACACCAATATTCCATGTAACAAGTCATTGTACAGTTTACTAATGTCTGACATATTCCATGTAACAAGTCATTGTACAGTTTACTAATGTCTGACACGAATATTCCATGTAACAAGTCGTTGTACAGCAGTGTGATTAAACACATATCATAATAAAAGGGGAGATAATTCTTTAAGATGTTTAATTACCTAATGAGTGATCATTTGTAGCTTAAATTTGTCTTTGTTGGTCCTCCTTCCTCTGTAACCTAGACAAATGGATATGTATGACATCCAACCAGAACAATGATAATGCACCTGTGTTTCACCTAGGCAACTAGTGTTTAATTCCTCAATCAACAGTGAAATGGTCACCCCGTTGCTCCCCAGACAAAAGGGTACCAACTGATAGGTTTAACTTTCATTTATTCTATACTTAATCTCATTTCAACACTTATAGATGTTTCATATGAAATGGAGTGAAAAGTGATATTTCCACCAGGCTGTTAACACCATCAGCATCATGAAGATGTAAATATAAAAGAAAATGACAAAAACGAAATAATAAAAAACACCAAAACATTGAGGGATTTAGCATCAGATTTCTTCATTTCAATTCAGTAAACATTCCTAACAGTTGTCACAGTTAATGATGAAGACAGAGTAAATAGGGTTGTATTCATTGCACCATCAATCTGTTTCAAAGCAATTAACCTGAATGAAAAATATAAAGTGTGATACCAAATCTCTTACCAACATTCCTTATTTTAATAAAGCATACATTTTTTTCTTTTATAGCATTAATGAAAATTAGAAAGTGGTTTTGTATGTACAAAATGCTTTCAAAAGAAAAATAATTTTTAAATTTTTGACTCCTCTGTCAAAATATAGTGTGCATTTTGATTGATTTTAAGGTTATATAAGGTAAGAAAATTCCTTAATTTTTGGTACCTTGCTCAAATTATTTCTTGGGAGGCAAATGTTATTTTATTAAAAAACATTTTTCTTAGCATTATTATTCTTAATTAATGGATGTGCATGAATGACAATCTAACATTAAACAGGTGGATTAATCTGCTTAACCAAATGATAGATATCAGATATACTGCAGTGTTAAACAGAGACATTAATACCAGTACCATATCAGTCCAGCAAATAGTGTCATGATTGTACAATAAGCCAGGGGCAGTAAATAACCTCTAAATTAACATCAGAGGTCCCAGAGAAAGCCCAGTCAATCAATATGTGTGGGATTATTACCAGGTCTGGGCTTATTGCCTGGACTGGGCTTATTGCCAGAAAACCACTAATAACCTCATCCATATCTATTACAAGTTAGTAGGAATGCTAACAAATGTTGTATCATGGCCCTGTCTAATAAGCCCATCTCACTGTCCTCTGAGCTTATTGTAGGATAAAAGTGGTTTGAAATAGTTTATCCTAGACATAAAGTCAACAAAATCGGATGTTAATATTCTTCACTTTTTTTGGATTTGTTTGTTTATGTGTTTTATAACTCCTTTATGACACGTGATGCTTGGAGGATGATTGATGGTAGGTAAAACGAGGTTTTACTATATAAAACATAGAACCTTAATGAATTGGAATATAGTGATAAAGTACTTCGCAATCTTGTAAATGAAATGTAAAAGATTTGAAATATCAATAAAGTAAACAAATGTTAATATAATTTAAGTAAAGAGCAAGTTAACTTTATAAAATATGTTTAAGAAATATCAAATGTTCAAATATTTGAATACATAATTTTGAAGGAACAATCTTTGAGTAGTTGCCACCTCTCTTAATTCTCATTTTGTTGGCCTCTTTAGAAAGTGAATTTTATACCTTGATATATCAGTAAAGTAATATGAATTGTGCTGACCTATAGCCGATCAATCACAGACAGTTGTATTTTAAAAGACAACTTTCAACTTCAGCAAAGGATAAATAGAATTGTGAGACATTTTACTCAGTGTTGCAGTATAGAATGATAGACAGACTGACAAAAAACATGCACCAAAGCCCTCTGTCAAATTTGTAGAATTACTAGTTAGAATTGTTGTATTAAATTTGAATTTCGTTTTTCCTAACTTGAAATAAGGACATTGAAAATTTGGCTTTATTTTTTACCAAATCTTTGATTCCGTGAAGTAAGGGTATATTATACCTGAATGAATTTGTATCAGGCAAAAACAGATTTCATAATCTTCATATAAAGTTTAATATGTTCAATTTCAGAAAAAAAATTATCAATACAAGTTTGGTTTACTTATTTTACTGAGATGAAGATTAAAAACTTAATATCAAAGTGGCTATAGAAGAATAGAATCCATCAAATTTTTGAGCTTAAAGCAATGACAAAATACTGGCACAGCTACCATACCAACATCACACATGGATATTTACCATATAGGGAAAATTACATCCACAACTACGGTAACTCAAACCAACAGGGACACTTACATCCACAACTATGGTAACTCAAACCAACAGGGACACTCACATCCACAACTATGCTAACTCAAACCAACAGGGACACTCACATCCACAACTATGCTAACTCAAACCAACAGGGACACTTACATCCACAACTACAGTAACTCCTACCAACAGGGACACTTACATCCATTACTATGGTTACTCCTACCAACTGGGACACTTACATCCATTACAATGGTTGCTCCTACCAACAGGGACACTTACATCCATTACTATGGTTACTCCTACCAACTGGGACACTTACATCCATTACAATGGTTACTCCTACCAACAGGGACATGCATCATCATTCACTATGGCATTTTACACCGAGAGGAACACCTACATCCATTACTACAGTAATCATAGCAACAGGGAAACATCCATTACTACAGTCATCATAGCAACAGGGACACATCCATTACTACAGTAATCATAGCAACAGGGACACATTCATAACTACAGTAATCATAGCAGCAGGGACACATCCATTACTACAGTTACCATAGCAACAGGGACACATCCATTACTACAGTAACCATAGCAACAGGGATACATCCATTACTAAGGTAACCATGGCAACAGGCACAAATCCATTACTACAGTTTCCATAGCAACAGGGACACATCCATTACTACAGTAACCATAACAACAGGGACACATCCATTACTTAGGTTACTCCTACCAACAGGGACACTTACATCCATTACTATAGTTGCTTTTACCAACAGGGACACTTACATCCACAACTACGGTAACTCCTACCAACAGGGACACTTACATCCATTACTATGGTTACTCCTACCAACAGGGACACTTACATCCACAACTATGCTAACTCAAACCAACAGGGACACTTACATCCACAAATCCATTACTACAGTTTCCATAGCAACAGGGACACTTACATCCATTACTATGGTTACTCCTACCAACTGGGACACTTACATCCATTACAATGGTTGCTCATACCAACAGGGACACTTACATCCATTACTATGGTTACTCCTACCAACAGGGACACTTACATCCATTACTATGGTTACTCCTACCAACTGGGACACTTACATCCATTACAATGGTTGCTTCTACCAACAGGGACATGCATCATCATTCACTATGGTATTTTACAACAGAGGAACACCTACATCCATTACTACAGTAATCATACCAACAGGGAAACATCCATTACTAGTCATCATACCAACAGGGACACATCCATTACTACAGTAATCATACCAACAGGGACACATCCATTACTACAGTTTCCATAGCAACAGGGACACATCCATTACTACAGTAACCATAACAACAGGGACACATCCATTACTTAGGTTACTCCTACCAACAGGGACACTTACATCCATTACTATGGTTACTCCTACCAACAGGGACACTTACATCCATTACTATGGTTACTCCTACCAACAGGGACACTTACATCCATTACAATGGTTACTCCTACCAACAGGGACATGCATCATCATTCACTATGGTATTTTACACCAAGAGGAACACCTACATCCATTACTACAGTAATCATAGCAACAGGGAAACATCCATTACTACAGTCATCATAGCAACAGGGACACATCCATTACTACAGTAATCATAGCAACAGGGACACATCCATTACTACAGTTTCCATAGCAACAGGGACACATCCATTACTACAGTAACCATAACAACAGGGACACATCCATTACTATGGTTGCTTCTACCAACAGGGACACTTACATCCATTACTATGGTTACTCCTACCAACAGGGACACTTACATCCATTACTATGGTTACTCCTACCAACAGGGACATACATCATCATTCACTATGGTATTTTACACCAACAGGGACACTTACTACTTCCTCATAACAAGAAACTATCTACATCAGGTACTATGTTTACCTATTCCAGTGTACAGCAGAGATGTCATTGTAATTAAGTCAAATAGCTTAAGGTAAACCTTGACTATATCTGAGATACAGTTATACAAACTTATACCCTCATCAGTATCTTTAAGTATGAACAGCCTTTGCCTCACAAAATACATATCACAGATGATCCATCACAAGCAAATTTAACAGTTGAGTTTATATTCATCTTACATCCAACAAACAAGTGATGTAACATTTTGATTCATTATTCTAAAGCTATTAGTGGATTGAAACAGAATATATCAACATTGTAAAAAGTCATTTATTTCAATGATTGGGGTTTTTTTTGTGACTGTCCAAATTTTTGCAGTTTTAAAGGTGGTCACCACTCACCTAATGAAATAAAGGCAAACTTTCAATTTTCCAACATAAATAGATATTTACTCTCAGATATCTCTCTATCTGTTTTCTGGGCCGTATTGGAATGACTGAGTGTCCAGATTGACCAGGGGAATAATTTAATTTACATGGCGCGATCTCATGGTTTTTCTAGAACAGTGACAATGTGTATCGAAAAGGAGGCTGCATCAACAAAACCAAGAGAGTGCCAAAACACAGTGCTGACACAATGGGTTTAGATTTTAACAGCAAAACATCGAGGCTAAATATAGCTGCCTTATCTATATGTTACCCAGTCAGACTGTCAAGTTGAATCAAAGAAGGATTTCTTACATTAGCTATGCAATTCAGCATTTTTTGGAACTCAGTGAAATATGGACTCAATCAGGGATATAGACAAATTTAAATTTGTTCTTGGTTCAATTCTGTTGGAAAATAGGCAATCTCTTCAGTGGTGACCACCTTCAACAAAAGCATGTATGTAACAAGGGCAAATGAATTCACAGATGCCATGAAATGGACAAAGTTTTTTTCTGTTTTTATTTTATTATACATTTTATTAATTTTTTGCAATTTCATTTCATTCAATTTTCATGATTTCATTAAATCCAATCCTCAAAAATGATGCATAAAAGAAACATCCAAAAAATAACTTAACAATATTGAAATGTAATTAGTAGAAATTATATCCTGACATCTGTAAATCTGTATTAACTGGTACATCAACCTATATAGCAGAGAAAGTCTCTGCGCTGTTTTAGTATTTCTATTATACATGTACATAAAATAAGCTATATTGTGCTAAAATATTAAAATGACACTTAAAATTTCTAGAACATTGATTCAGTGTTAGTATGATCAACAACAAGCTTAATAATGGCAAAATTATGACATGTGCGTATACATCGTACTGTCAGTCAACGAGGTACAAATTAGCTCTCCACAGACTTAAATTAGTAATAAATCATAAATTTAGAGTCTGAGTAAACTGCACAACAGAAAGTTTGGACTAATTAAAAAATATAACAATCAAGCTAAGAAATAACTGGAATTCAATTAGATTATGTACAACTTTAGCCAATTTTCATTTCAGGATATTCCAACAGTGAAAGTGCTTTTAATCACATGTATCAGGACGACCAAGTTCCACATGGAGTTTTGCATGCTAGTACAATGTTCCGATACAAGAACCCAGAAGGAATTTTCAAAAGATCATAGAATGGAAAGTTAAATTGATACCAGAATATCTGGTGATGTAAACACTGTATGTTATCACATCTTTAAATATATTTCAATTTTGATTACAACTATCAATGGCAGTAAAATACAACATTGATCTTGATGCTAACATTGAAGGAAAAAATTCTGAACCTTATGTAGTTTGTTCACATCTCTTTTTAACAATTCATTGAAGCAAAACATGATATATTTTGTTCTTACTGAAGATTTCTATCAGATTATAAATTACAAGTTTTACTTACATCAATTGAAAAGTCTGGTGGTAACAAAAATACTGTAACAGCAACTGATGTCCTTTTGACTACTCTGAAGCTGTTAAAACAAAACCATACTATGAATAATTTCACAGGTGAATGAACACAGCTGCTCACATGACTACAAGGGTGAGTTAATATCAATATAGGTGGATACAAGTGATCATTTGACTATCCTTAATTAACAGAAAATGGTAATGCATTTCTACAACGAACTTGAATTATTGATTTCCATTTCAAATTTCACACATGAACGACTCTCATGCTATGTATATTACCTGTAACACATATACATGTATACCAATTAACAAGTCACAAACAAAAACAATGTTCATGATCGGTGTTAGTGTTAACTTAAAAGAAGTCATCCGTTGTGTAGATGTTCATGGTTATGATTGTGTTTCACAAAATCCAGTTTCTGAATCGTGTACAGTAACAAGAAGTCTACTACATTGTCAACCACAACGAGCACAATAATGATCTCAGTCCAAAGAATTCAGCGGTTATGAAATGGAGTTCCAGATTCTAATCCTCTGCTTCTATTCCAGTTTAATCATAATAACATTCAAATGTTGCAATCATTGCTTTTTTCACATCCCACAAACACTCATTTCATGTTATGATCTCGAAGCACAAGACAGGTGCTGTTTAATCTTTTCCTGTTTACAAAGTACCAAATCTGCCTACATAATGTTTCTCTTATTTGTTTGCTTCCAACTCTGATCTTTGATGTTTCAGAGGTTTGTTTCAACTCTGCTGTTGATACATTAAGTATTTCATATATTGTTCGTGGTATAAATTTTCTTGATGATTCAACCATTAATTTTCAACTCTGTATGTTGATATTTCATGTTTAAAACCAGTTTATCACATTATCAAAACAATCTTATGAGTATTTCACAAAAACAAACCTGGTACATATCACATATGTGTTTCTAACTTCATTTGATAGTTGTACCATCATGTGTATCACATTTAAATTTTGATGCTTCACATTTCACTAGATCTTTAAGGTTGGTGAAATCAGTGTTCCATATAAAATAAATGAAAGAATACTCTGGATATCTAAGGACATATTTCTTACAGATTCACAAACCACATTTAACACAATGTTTCATTCTTACAAGTAGCTGACTGGATTCAATGTGGTATAATATATGTAACACACTTTTGGATGTTTCACATTTTCATTATAAACAGCAAATTAAGTGTTGTTAACTTCTGAGGAACAAAACACAAAATTTCTGATATTTTCCCAGACATACACTTTACTGAAACTGACTTGTCTTTCTGTGTTTTGAATTTTTTTAAGCAGGTGTTATATGCAGATCTACAGATTTCACGTAATGGTTGGACTGAGGTTAAGGTGTGGTAGTGTATTGAAGCCTGACGTTTTTTACTCCATGTAAATGTCCTCAGTTGGGTGAGTAAATGCCATATATTCCTGGTAAAACCTCTTGAAAGCGTTCCTGAAATAACAAAACAGTATTAATCAGACCATCACAGATTATCTTATAGAGCAGGTAATCTGAAGTTCACATTTGGCACTAAGTTAAAATTTTCATTAAAGTATTAAAATCAAAACCATGGACTTTTGATCATGCGATTGAAGCAATTAAGATGTCACACAATTAATTAATTGTATATCAATGTATGTTTGATCTTCAGATGAATATCTTGCTTTTCAGTATGTGAACACTGTGAAATCATATATTTTTGTAGAGCTCAAATTTCATGGTTTTTTAATATAGGGTATTCTGTGGGTACTTAATTTCATTGATACTTAAGAAATCTATTGTTACTTATTATAACTCTTAATTAATTTCTGATATTATGAATTCACTGATAAAGACTGAAACCAACAAAAACAAGTACTAATTGTAATGGGGACCGTTACAAATGTCCCCCAAACAACCATTCAGCAGTAAATGATCACAATAATCAGACCTGCAGTCATGCCAAACATGGACTACGCCATTTTGCTCCTAGTGCCACCTAATACATATATACCAATTTTCACAGAAATCAGACAATATCTAAAAGTTGGCCAAATTTAGACCACAGCTGACCGCTCAGATGACCGATCGATAGCCGAATGAAAAATGAACTACGCCATTTTGCTCCTAGTGCCACCTAATACATATATACCAATTTTCACAAAAATCAGACAACATCTAAAAGTTGGCCAAATTTTGACCACAGCTGACCGCTCAGATGACCGATCGATGGCCGCATGAAAAATGGACTATGCCATTTTGCTCCTATAGTGCCACCTAATACATATATACCAATTTTCACGAAAATCAGACAATATCTAACATTTGGCCAAATTTTGACCACAGCTGACCGCTCAGATGACCAATTAGAAAAATTCAAGTGGCCTGCACTCCGCCTCGCATATATGAATATGTGTGTAAAGTTTTCATTAATATATGAGGAGAGCCAATCACGAGTTCACATCTCTCATGATTATATGTATAAATCTTTTGACGTCGTTCTTGTTATTCTGTCATTACATTTACTTCTATTAACACTAATCACATAATATTATATATAATCACATACAGTTTTGTTCAATTCCATGCAATGGTTTTTGAGAAACGCGTTGGAAACCTCGCAGGCGGAAGGACGTGGAAGAAATCAGAATAATAAATATAATAATAATAAGAAGAAATGGAGCAAACTCTATATGTCCCCCAAACGAAAGGGGGACATAATAAATACCTCATAGAAACTAACATTTTTGCAGTAGCTACAGTCCTTGGCATCTGATATAATGACTAATAAAAGTAAATTCATTGAAACAAAGCAATTCAGCAAATTACAGTCCCCTACCTACACATCATCTAACTAATGTGAACCCATATCCCGAGTTTTGATGTAGGTCAAAAGTAAAAATTTAGGTCAGAGTGACATGACCAAATTTTGATACATTACAAACCACCTCACCAGGGTGAACCCATATCTGAAGTATGAAGTTCCATTGACAAGTAGGAAATAGAGCCCGACAGAAAGACGGATAGAAGGACACAACATAAATCTATATCCCCTCCTCCCCCATATCCAGTTCCCGGTCCCTCCTCCCCCATATCCAGTTCCTGGTCCCTCCTCCCCCATATCCAGTTCCTGGTCCCTCCTCCCCCATATCCAGTTCCCGGTCCCTCCTCCCCCATATCCAGTTCCTGGTCCCCTCCTCCCCCATATCCAGTTCCTGGTCCCCTCCTCCCCCATATCCAGTTCCTGGTCCCTCCTCCCCATATCCAGTTCCTGGTCCCTCCTCCCCATATCCAGTTCCTGGTCCCTCCTCCCCCATATCCAGTTCCTGGTCCCTCCTCCCCATATCCAGTTCCTGGTCCCTCCTCCCCCATATCCAGTTCCTGGTCCCTCCTCCCCATATCCAGTTCCTGGTCCCTCCTCCCACATATCCAGTTCCTGGTCCCCTCCTCCCCCATATCCAGTTCCTGGTCCCTCCTCCCCCATATCCAGTTCCTGGTCCCTCCTCCCCATATCCAGTTCCTGGTCCCTCCTCCCCCATATCCAGTTCCTGGTCCCTCCTCCCCCATATCCAGTTCCTGGTCCCTCCTCCCCATATCCAGTTCCTGGTCCCTCCTCCTCCATATCCAGTTCCTGGTCCCTCCTCCCCCATATCCAGTTCCTGGTCCCTCCTCCCCCATATCCAGATCCTGGTCCCTCCTCCCCCATATCCAGATCCTGGTCCCTCCTCCCCCATATCCAGATCCTGGTCCCTCCTCCACCATATCCAGTTCCTGGTCCCTCCTCCCCCATATCCAGTTCCTGGTGAGGGACTACTAAAACAATACTTTTTTATAACTAAAAATTAAGATGATTACTATATCTATGAGATAATAAGCCCATGCCTGGTAATCACACCATCTATGTTTTATTGGTTTACTGCAGTTTAGTACAACTGATCTTTCATTATCAAATAACAAGCCCAATGTGAGAAACAGAATATCAAACTGATCTTACCCCAAAGCCTCGCTGACACTCCGGGTGGATTTCTCTCCCAGAAATACATGACAGGCAAATCTGTATGCTTTAGGATGTTTCGTTATGAATCCAAAGTATCTGGAATAAATAAATAAATAAATAAATAAATAAATAAATATACAGGGCTGTTCTATAAAAAGTTACTGTATTGTTAAAGTTTTGTGTGTGAACGAGCAAAAATTGAAGATAACTTCAGATTGATGCGTATTGAAATAAGTTATGGTATGCAAACAATGCTAACAAGTCTGGAACAGCAGAACTGGTTTATTTCAGATAAGCACAGCACACACATTTTATAAATGTACTTGTCATAAAACAATACTGCAATCAATAATGAATATCACATTACAGAAGACAATCTTTGTAAATCATAATAATGGATTTTCTACATAAGTTCACCATTGTCACAGATTGCCAATAAAAACCATCACTTTTAGTTTGATCCTAGACACAGAGTCGTAATCCAGTAGATAGTATGTATCCAATTATCTCACCTTTCATTGCGTGGATGAAAGCCACAGAACGAAATGTTCTTCAGGGCAAAGAAGTGGGTGTATGCATCTGATTTGCTTTCATGCTGCAAACACAAAACAAGGAGTTATTGATTTTCTGTAAATGTCCTGGTCTTGGTTAATGGTGTGGGGTTAGATGTTGTTCTAGATACAACGCTCATCTTACAGTCAATCAATATACACAAGGTCAATTTCACTGTTCCTATTACTGAAAGAATACCATTTTCTTTTCTCATTTTAGTTTTTAAAAGTTAAAATTATTTTATCCTTTTTTTTCAAATTAATTTTTGTATGACAGATAAAATCCAAGTACTAAATCAGCTCTGTTTGTTGGAGAATTATGTGATACTGTGATAAAAGAAGACAACAAGAAAGACAGAGATAAATGCATGGTAACATGGATATTCACAGGTTTAAGGCCAAACCACTTATATTTTATGTAGTATGTATTTTTCATTAATATATGAGGAGAGCCAATCACGAGTTCACATCTCTCATGATTATATGTATAAATCTTTTGACGTCGTTCTTGTTATTCTGTCATTACATTTACTTCTACTAACACTAATCACATAATATTATATATAATCACATACAAATTTACTAGACATATACTGCTTTCAAATTCAATTATCTTTATAACTCTGGACTTTTAAATAACAACCCTATAATACTGACTGTAGAATTCCACAAAATTATTCCAATCAAATGTACAGCTGTATATAGGTCACAAGTCAAGCACATGTGCCACAGTAGACAAAATCGTAATCCTTTATATGTTGGAAAGGTGCTGAAATATCTAATATAACAGAAAATACTGGCGAGGAAAGTTCTTTTGTCTGCACATATTTGTACAATAGCCTTTTTATAATAAATAGGAATAGGTTTTGAATGGTAAGTTTGCAATGCTAAACATGCCTGTACATAATACATTTAGGAGACAAAGCAACAAATTTTCACACCCTTGCTTGAAAATGTCCATCAGATGTTGTTTTACAATGTTTAAAAAATAGTTAAATTTGTGACATGATGGGAGACCCATAAATCCATTATAACTAATGTACCAAGCTCGTGTTTGACTTTTACAACCCAGTTTTTACCATTCAGGTTGTAACATCCTTTCAAAATGCAGTTATTGGTAGAGGTCAGCTTGAACCAATATTTAAATATTCTTAATTTACACGAAAGAGACAATGGGACCCTCAATTAAAACACTGCACAATATTTCTGGCCTGTTGATGTCCTGTTATCTTACCCTGAAAACTCACCACTCTTCAGACATCAAAGCAAGTGAATACTAATCAGTATGGACACAACATACATCATATAACTTAATCACTCTTCTCATATAGTCACATGACTCTCATAAGCAATGGCAGCCATTATGAAGCTATCAGTTGGTGATATAGGAGTTTTCCAGAGTATATGTCTCTGATAGCTCATAGTTCTGGAATTCAAAGTTTTTTCTAAATCAAAATATAGCATTCACAAAATCTATGTGATCTACAGTATTGAGAGAAATATGAGACAACAAAGATCACTCTAGGACACAACAGGCTTAAAGACAAGAAACAGAATAAAAAACATTGAAGATTGAAGAATAAATGAAGAAAAAAAATATGAAGAGGGGTGAAGATAAGGACAGATTTTGTCTGGTAAGTACATGATTGTTTTGATTTTGCATTTCTTTAACAACAGCAGTAAGAAGCATGGATAAAAGAAAGAAAGAGAGAGAGAAGGAGAGATGGCATTTTATAGGGAGAAGAAAGAGAGAGGAGGGATGGAATGAGAAAGAAGAGAGAGGAGGGATGGAATGAGAAAGAAGAGAGAGAGAGAAGAGAAGGAGAGAAGAAATGAGGGATAACTAAAAGCTAAAATTGTTACTTACTCCACTTTTGCTTTTATCAAACATGCGTATCCCGTACTGACTGACTTCTACTGTACATAATGGAGGAGGAGTTGAGCATTTGGCAGAACGACGGGAGAGAGCAATCTGTTCATACAAAAATCAACTGATTACAAACAGAGTAGACATGATGAGTAGAATCTACAACCCACTAATAAGTTACTATACTAGTACCTTCGTAGTCACTAACAACTGGTCTATTTGAATTCTGATAAAGTCTGTCTAAATTATGACCTGTCCCATTGAACTTTGACCTCAATATTTCTATTTGGGTGATTTATTTTGTTTTACTGGATATGTTAATTAGTCAATTGTTGGCTATATAGAGTAAATCATGAAATCATTTTTTTTCTGTATTTTTGATAAGATGAGTCTACTTATACATGAACCATTCATATATTCCTTGTACTTTTTCAAGGATGTTTTACCACAAGTTTAAATCATGATTTTGTTAAAATGTTTATTTATTCACTCATTTATTTACATACCTTGTTGATTGCTTGACAGAGGACAGCATCCCCTTTGTGTTCATTAACCTCGACTGACCCTAGGAAGCGCATATTAAAGTGGTAGGTACCATCAGTTTCTGTAGCAGAAAAAATAATTCAATTAACATCAGCATTAATAGAATTATGATATTAAAACACAGTACTTTTACATCTCTTTTTAAGGACTAGTCCTATTTATTCTATCAACTTTTCTGATATTGGTGCGAGTCTACTCCACACTGATATAAAATAAATGAGAAAACGGCAGAATAGTTCAGACTATTTCTCGGAAAAACACAAAAAAAAATTGACTCTGTAAAAAACAGATTTCATAGACAATTCTGATGGTATGAAATTTAAAAAAAGTGAGAAGTTCCCTACATTTATGATGAAAAAAATTACATAAGTTCATGGGAGTACACTTAATTACTGTCATGTGAGTACATTTTAATACTGTCATAGCACATCCAAAATTCTGCACCATGAGGTATACACCTGATATGCACCAAATAACAAACGTCAAGTGATAAGTAATGCCACTTTGACTGAGAATATAATGTGACTGACACAAAAAATAACAACAAAAAAATAAATGTGGTATCTTTTGAAAAAGACCCAGGGAAAGTCTATAACATCTAAAGTAACAGAAGATTATCACTAGTCTAATGGCCTTAAACTTTGAGTTGAATTTGCAACAGCCAAAGTAGCAATTCATTCAAAATTTTCAAAATGGTCACAGATTCTAAATATAGCTAGTACATCTGAATGAACTAAATATGTATCAATAAATGCCAGAGATTGTAAAATTAATCAATTTTAGATAATTCAACACGAAAAATCTCCAGGTAGAGGAATTTCCAGAGAACTTATGTCCTACTAAGTTCATATGTGTGTTGTGGTTCATCTTCTTGGCTTCAGGAGGATGCCTAGTGGTACAAAGTAGTAAAAACAGAAGAGTCACAGGCTGTAGAAGAAAGTAGAATAAAATATTGGCCTACCAATACTTGGTACTTGGTTTCAGGAGTTGGTGCTCGTCTTTTCAATTGATTTTAGATAAGGTAAATAACGTAAAATCTGTACAACAGACCTAAGGGATCTCTTAAAGCATTTTATTACCTGAATCATCCTCCAAGAACTGAAGATCTGTTGCATACATGGAGGGAAAAATTCCCCGGTGAAATGTTCGCAGATTTACACCTTAAAACAATAAACACAGGTACGATTAAAGTGACATCAAAAGGAAAGGTCTTTAAAACTACAGAGTCCAAGGGGCCTTTATCAAACTCCAGTGCAAAAAATTGAATTATATCTAATTTCTATTTTTGCATGTTCATTATTTTTCTTGGTTTTGTTTTTTTCAAAAAGTGCATTTTAAACTAGTATTTTGTCAAAGTTAAGCAACATTAGTTTATATATATATATATAATTTAAAATGATAAAAACTTTGTGTATCGTACATACAGAGAAAATTGATCACTTAACATGGCAAACAAATATATCACTAATGTTTTCAGGCCTGAGTGAACATTTGGACATCTGCGGCAAAGGAAACTTTGTTATATACCTGTTCTATAAGATGTCAAAATCTACAACGTCAAAACGAATCATCAAAGAAGATTTTTTTGTCAAACTGTTTCAACCGTCCCTAAATACACACTGAAGATTGCGTTGGGACACAATCCATAATGTTATTAACTCACCTTTTATTATAACAATAACATTACATCACAATGGAGGTTACTAAGTAATGTACAATGTACATGTAATGTAATCACCTGAAGATGGCCGCGAGGCCTGAAAACGTTAGTGATATATTTGTTTGTCATGTTAAGTGATTCATTTTCTCTCTCTCTCTATATATATGTGTGTGTGTGGTTAGATTTTGACAAAGTTTAAAAACTGGCATGTACATGTCAATATATTTAATAAATGTATAAAAAACTGATTCACCTGAAAAATAACAAAAAAAAAATTATGTATAAACCTACCCTCGCACCACAAATCATCAGCTTCAGAGAAAACATGTATAGGGTCCCCGATCTCCACAGAGATCTCGTCCTTGTGACGAGGTATAAACCTGTGCATTCCTCGATGGGTGACCTCAAGGTCTGTATAATTAGAACTTGCCACACTGGAGGTTGACTTCCTTTTTGATCCTGTATTTGTTAAAAGCAGATATAAGAATAAAAATCTCTGAAAATCTTCCTTCACTATGAATTCTTTACTACTACAATAATTCATATCTCTGGGACCCACTATCTTTTGATAACTTCCCTTGGACACTTTTCATATAGCCTCTCTTATCAGCTCTCTTTTCTTCAAGCCCAATGTCCCTTTGCAATCCATGCCTTTAAGTTCTATAGATATTTAGGAATCACTGCCCTTATGTTCTCAATCAATATAAGACAAGTCTATCCTTAGTGCTGTAATCAAGACCATCATGTAACTCTGACCCACATCTCTAGTAATCTCTGTAACAAAGATCCTCATTCTAAGTACTCCCTGTAATTAAGATCCTCATCCTAAATCCTCCCTGTAACTTAGCCCCTTATTCCTAGTTTCCCTGTAATTAAGATCCTCATCCTAAATCCTCCCTGTAACTTAGCCCCTTATTCCTAGTTTCCCTGTAATTAAGATCCTCATCCTAAATCCTCCCTGTAACTTCGCCCCTTATTCCTAGTTTCCCTGTAATTAAGATCCTCATCCTAAATCCTCCCTGTAACTTAGCCCCTGATTCCTAGTTTCCCTGTAATTAAGACCCTCATCCTTAGTCTTCCTTGTTACAAAGAACTTCTATTCTTAGTTCTTGCTAAAACAAAGACCCTCCCCATCAGCACTCCCTGTAAGACCCACACCCTAAGTGCTCCACTGATCCTTAGGATCCTAAAAAACTAGGACTTCTGTTCAAAGTTAAGATCAAGGACCATAATTCTCAAACAGATGATAAATTAAAACTTCATCAAATCCATAAAAATACCTTGCCGAATAACATCACAATTAATAGAACAAGGTTTGACTATCAAATGAACTTGTAAGTTTGAATATAAAATGGTACCAACCATCACCTCCAGAACTGTTTCTCCTCCTTCTACTACTGGTGGCCACAGACAGGTGGCGCTGACTGTCAGTCGTAGAATCCTCCTCCAAGTACACATTGTTAGAGGATGTGTAAGGTCGTGTATTCTTTGATACACTGTTAAAGTTTATTGTCTTAAGTTCCTCTAGAAATTTACAGCTAAACTTGGGGTACACTTTTGAGGGTGAGCTTGACTTTCCTTCCGATGCTGTTGGATAAAACACATCATCGTCATCCTCCACCGAATTTTGGCGACTGTCTCGCACTAAAGCCTCCTGGAGCTCATCTGCCAAGCATTTTGCATTGACTGGTGCACTAGTTGTTTCACCATCTGGAGCTGTGGAAAGATTAAAAACTAATTTTGTATAATCTGTATTATCCAAAACATCACAGTGAACAATATTTCACAGGCTTTATATATACTACAAAATCTCTATGTGTGTGTTGCCTTTTGCAGGTGTTAGTATATTAATGTAAAAGTAATGATTTTCACAGGGAACTTTGATGTCATGGATACTTTAATTCCACAAATTTATACAAATCAAATAACCAAAACAAATATCTCATCAAAACCGAGTATTAGTGGGATTTCTAAGTACTATTAATCCATGGAATCAACTCTCTGCAAAATAGAATTTTTTTGAAAACCCCCAAAATTTTATCCATTTAAAAATGTTTGCTGTATCAAAGATTTCCTTTCCACGATATTGTCAACTTTCAACTGAACTACATTTTCAATATATAAAGGACAGGATATACAATCAGCCTCTGTTTCAAAATATATACAAAGAAAGGTATCCTACGAATTCAAATGTAATCACTAAATATTCTTAACCATACATAGCAAATACTGAAACAAACACTTGGTTGTATACTTACATTTATTCGGGATTTCTGGAAGTTTGCGAGGTTTCCGTACAGGTTTAGCAATTGTTACCTTTGACACTGTTGATTGACGAGGTCTTGTTTGGACTTCCTCTCGAGGGATTTTCTTAAGTTCCTATTAAGGTATAAGTTATACAAGTGAAAATTACATAATATTTAAAGATGAAAGAAAAGTGAGCAAAGACCAACCCCAGCTTTATCAAGAATTGAGGCAACACAAATATTCCACTTCAGAGGAAGACGTGTGACCTTGACTGCTTGACATTGAAGCTTAATTATACTGACCTTGACTGCTTGACATTGAAGCTTAATTATACAAAGAAACAATCAACTTTTTCTTAATGTAAAAATGCTAAAACAGTCATAATGTGCTGAAATTTCATTGCACAAAACTAAATATGTTTATAATAGCAAAGAATTCAAAGTGAGTGAAATTTCAATGATAGATCTATACTTACAGGTTCGTACTTGTCAGAAGTTGAGGGTTTTGTGGTTCCATTGTCTTGTTTACAATGATACTGAACATTTATAGCATTATTTAACTGTTCTATTGTTTTCTGTTTGTCATCAAAAGATGTTTTCGGTTTTTCCAACTTTTTTTCCTTCTCTGAGCTACCGTGTAAATTTTCCTTCACACATTCCTGTAACAGGTTTCCTTCACCTGCTTTTTCTACTGTTTCTGATGACGATAATTTTAAGTCGATTAAGCTAGATTTCTTTCGTTCTGCCAATGAGTCAGTCAACTTGTCTATAATGGCCACTTTTTTATCAGAATAGCTCTCACGCTTTTTGGTGAGACATGAGAAGATGAACTGTTCACGACTAACTTGGTCCAAATCATGGTCATCTTCATCACAGTAAAGGTCTGGACTTATGTCATGAGTTAATCTGAAATCAAAATGGTATATGCACATCATACAGATAAGTAAATAGTTTCAGGTAATATGGTAAGGAAGGTGACAAGACAAGGCGACTAGGGAAATGACAGGTTGCATGAGCCAGGTGGCAGATGACAGGCAACAGGTTTGGTGACAGGTTGCAGGAACAGGAGACAGGGAGCAGGGGTAGGATACAGGTAGCAGTGGGCAGAAGACAGTTGACAGTGATAGGCGACATGTTGCAATGGCAGGAGACAAGGAGCAGGGGTAGGATACAGGTAGCAGTGGGCAGAAGACAGTTGACAGTGATAGGCGACATGTTGCAATGGCAGGAGACAAAGAGCAGGGGCAGGAGACAGGTGACAGAAGACAAGCAGCAGTGGTAGGAGACAGGTGGCAAAGACAGATGAAAGGGGACCAGAGACATGGTAGGAGGCAATGTTCAAGGGTAAAGGCAAAAAACATCTGATGGGACATGAGACAGAAGAGGATAGCAAACAGGGCATGTAGTAAGGGCAAGATGCTAAAGGGGACTTGGTGAAAGGGAACAGGAAACAGGTGACTTTGGACAAGAGGCATGAGTCAAGTGGAAAATAAAGGTAGACAATAAGCAGTAGATGGTGCAAAATGTGTTAGGAGACAAGGAGTGGGGGGCAAAGACACTGGACATGTAGTAGAGAGAAGGCAATGAGCATGATACATGATGATGGGGCAGGAAGCACAGAGGACAAGAGGCAGGGGACAAGTGGAAGAGAAACAAGACAGCAGACAGGTGATATGAGTCTAAAGACATATAACAAAGGAGAAGTTATTTTGTGTCCTCTATTCTAGGGAGATGGAGACATAAGCTCTAATATCCCATTCTGGTGGGTCCCTATTAACAGTGGGATGGTTGGAAGTCTCTTTTTTGTTATGAATTTTTCATTTGAACACACCCTTGAAAATAACACTTGTACAGACATTGTTGGTTTATATCTACTAACCATCACACTGAAAATTTGTCTCTAGAATGATCATTTCAGGCTTCTATTCTCCTTATCTATTTTTCATTGACTGATATATTGCATTACATGATTAATGAGTTGTATCACATGACTGAGTTGTACAAATGAATCATGTGACTGATCATAATGTACATGTATATCACATGACTGACCCCTGTGCAAAACCAGAGGATGCACTACCTCCCCACTAAAGGGGATACAAAAAATTAAGTTCTCTTGACAACTTCAGAGAAAAGCATTGAGTCATCCAAAGACATGTCTATCACAGCTCATTTAGCCCAAACAGAAGAAAACAATACATCATAATGTTTTATATTACAACTGATACAATAGCTTCTCAAGTAAGTCTTTGATTTTTCACACAATCATTTGATCTCTGATTCACATACATACAACTGTTGATATACAACATTACAGTAATATATGCAGTTTTAGAACACATATTTTGAACTACAGCAATAAATATCACTAACAACGCTGAAATTATGTAGAATACATCAAACGCTATTTACAACATAAAATTCTTCATCTCTGTTGCTGGCTGTCTCGTGTGTTCTAAAGACCTTTGTGAAGATTGCAAATTCCTTGCCCTCGCGGTAATTGTTCGGCAGAATGGAGTCGCCAGATTGGATCACAAAACAGTATCACCACTTCCCTAACAGATGCAAACAGGGTTTTAAAGTAAATCCATATAACGAACCACAAAGAGCAACAGACCTCCATGCATATCTGAGTGATTCATAGATGGGTCGAGCTGCATGACACACAGATCACATGTTCTCTCGTGCCATAATTAGGTATTTAGAAGTCTGTTATGTCATCCATTCTGTTTTACGAACCCTAAAACTCTCAAATATCTCAAAGAATTTTACCTGAATGTGAGTTCTGTACACAGAGGTCTCTGAATCTTCAACATGATGGGCAGATTGCTGAAACACTTATGTAGACGGTAAGGGAGTCACAGGAACTGAGGATAAATTTTAACAATGTCACATCTTTCCAGACAAGTCTGATCCCAGTCAGCCATTATAACCCTTCCATATATTACGAGGAGTCCCGATATATCCAGTCTCATGTAACATAAATTATGCAGGCCAGACATCGTCAGTTCTGACGTAGGCACTATGGAGGTGTATTGGTACTGGGAAAAATCGATACCCTAGGAGCGCCAACTGCAAGATCGATAGAGCAGTTCTCAATGGACCCAACCGTAGGCCTTCTTCGCTGCTAAATTAGATAAACTTCCACAAGTCTTTTGTTTTAAAAATATGTTAATTTCAACATTTAAATCCTTTGTACACTTCAGCCTTTGGTTTTGAACAGCAATTTCCAAACGCATGTAATAACACAAGGTAGTCTAGGGTGTTTATGAAAACATATGCAACACACCAGTTCTTTGTTTGATGCTCGGAAAGCAAAACTTCATTATATTTCATTATATTCAAGCATGAATTCACCATTGACCCCTTGATGTAACCTATCTTGGAGACATCACTCATTTGCGCAAGTACTACCACCTATTGTTCCAACAAATACAGCATTTGGCATAGAGTTTTATATATCACAAAGTTACTCTATTATATGTGTAACAACGCCTATAACATAAATTTTGTTATGAATACATGTTTTATTTAATTGTGACGTCATCACTTCATGACGTCATTACTTCATAGCGTCATATGCATAATGACTTCATCAAAAAATATAGATATAAAGAATGAATATATTGCTCAATAAACATTCTTTATAATTATAGCAATTGTATATCTTATTCGAGTGTCCATTTGGTATGTGATTTTTTAAATGAGCCTATGATTATATTTTTATGCTGTGAGACTTTGGGAAGCTGAAATTAAAATTTTGTGATGAGTTTCACCAAATATAAATCACATATCAAATGAAAATGACACAGATAAATTGTAGAAAATGGACATCTCCACGTGAAACTTATTTCAGACTCTCAATTTTACGTCACAATGCGATCTGTGACCATGTGACGACCTTTCATTATCTAAAGTTGACCTCACAGTTAATTGATTGATAAAATGCATCCTTAACTTTAAAGAAAAGTATTTATGAACGCGCTAGAATACTTCAGTCAACTGCGAATTTAGCATTCAGTTAACATCAACATATCGATAACCGTATTTGTTACAATAACAAAATTAATGAATTCGCAAAGTGTGTCATTATCCTTCATGCCCAGCGTTTGGATGACCTCCCAGACAAACTTATTTATACTGACAGAATAAAGAGTTCTATCCGCGCACCTTAACTAATCCCTACATAAATGCCAAAATTCTCTTACCACATCCAGTGTGCCTAAATTACCAAAACACCACGACTGTACTAATTCGTATGTTCTTTTCATTCAAGCTAGTGTTGATCTCTGACTATCACCAAGACGCGCGACCGCCAATACATTTGCAATCAATAATTTTTTTAACGAGTATGACACGGCTATCCCAACTTCATAGAGGACGGACTCTCGCAATGCTCATGGGAGGTAGCACTCAAAAACAGGTCGCTACTCCCTTCGGAGTTCATAAAGCGACTCTAACTCGGTTAGTTTGTCTCACCGCTACGGGAAGATTTATGACGGACCAAGATCCAGACGTTCACGTGTAACGTCGCGACGTCGAGACCGGTTCTTGTCCACTTGCGTGACAGAAGATTAACAGCCGAAACGGCGCAAACTATCTGTGACTGGTAATGAGATTGTCTACTGAAATCTACTCAAAATCTGTCAGAAATAGACTGCGAGAGGCAAATTTACACACACGTTGCCATACGTTTCCCTACGAGACGTTGGCGGTCCATGTTCTTCACGGATGAATCTCGATTCACGATATTTCGATCGTCAACGTATGTCCCGGTGTCGACGAGAGCGTCTCCAAGACGCCCGTATTTCGGAGCACGGAAGATTTAGGGGTGGATCGATAACGGTTGGGGGGATTTCTCTTGTTTTAAAGTCACCTTTAGTGATCATTAATGGAAATTTAACGGTTGTATGCTATCGAGATGAGATCCTAAGTTCTCGTGTTGTGGCTTTCGTTATAAGGTCCATTTGACTTTTCAGCGTGATAACGCTAGACAACACGATTTTGTATGGGCTTTCTTGCAACCCAGAAATTCGTCCCTATTGATTGGCCTCAACATACATGTAGCCTCGATTTGGCCCCGATCGAACTTTTGTAGGATGAATTAGACAGAAGAGTTCGGAATCGAGCACACATCCCAAATAACCTCGATCCCTTGGCCAACCAAATCACTTACCGGAACAACACTCCCTTACGGACATTCAAGGGTCTTATGATATCCATCCCATGAGGAATAAGAGATGCTATAGCTGTTTGGGGAGGGCACATAAGATATAAGAAATTGGTTTGACTACTGCCGTTATTTTAACTATGTGTACATTAGGCTATCCTAATTGATGGCGGCCTAAGGAAGTCCTACTACTCAAATAAGTTCTCCTTAAGTGGTTTAACACATAAATTCAGCTTAGGTAGGTATGTTCCCAATATCTGGGGGTGGTGAGTTCCACAAGGCAATAGAAGAAGGAAGAAAACATCTATTATAGGAGTTAGTGTTGCAAAATACATTACTTAGGTTATCATCAGTACGTGTGTTATACAGGTGCGAGTCTCTTCAGTGTTGTGGAAGAAGTTGTGAAAGGTATGGGCGAGAAAAACCAAAAACCATTTTATGAATTATTGAATGAGTTATTTTCTTTACTTCTGATTGAAGACTGACCCAACCGGTTTCCTCATACAGCTTAGCATGACTTGTTAATTTAGTTAGTATCGCCCGTTACAATTCTCGCAGCTTCAAGCTCAATATATTCCAGAGAGTCAGACTGCTGGATAGTTAGGTTATTCCAGACGATATCACCATATTTAAGTCGAGGTCTGATAAATGAAAAATACAAGATCTGAAGAGATTTCCTGTCTGTTTTAAATCGAGATTTCTGCAGAATATCTAACTTATTACTCACTTTTTCTACAGTACATTTAATGTGCTCTGTCCATGTACCATCGTGAGATAAAATAGATGCCTATTTAAGGAGCCTTGGATTTATTAAGTCGGGTCAAACTACCTTAGAGCAGCTAATGTTAAATAAAACAGAAATAATGTCTTTGCTATCAATGTATAGGTGAGTAAGCAGAGGTTCGTTGTTGTCAGAGGAGTTCCGTATTGGAGTTATCGACAGTGGAATCTAGAGAATTCATCAAACGCGTTAGCATTAATATTATCATCGGTAACAATAGAAGCCTCATTCTGGGTGGTAAATTACATGTTTTACAAGAGCTAAACATTAATTTACTTTACGTAGTCCAACACTTCCCACTAGTAATATTACAGAGTACTGGTCTACAAAGTTTACGAACATATTTCGATTTAGCATTACGTATTACACTTACATACTTGTATATAATTCTTTTAACCTACCCTTATCAGCCACGGTTCCTACTCTTTTAGCTAATCTAGACATTCTATTCCATTTTCTAATTATTTTACGAATTTCCATGGACGTTCTCTACAACGTATTGTTACTGTTTTATTTGGAATACATTCCTCAGCAATATCATTGGGTAATTCAGTAAGATTACCAACAGAGGTATCTAGATCATCCATTGATAAAACGTAATCCCAGTCAACACTGTGCTCTGTAAGGTTCTGTGATATTTCCATCATTTCAAGACTTTGATGAATACCATGTTAGGTTTACTGTCGTTACTAACTATTTTCTACGTATGAAATGAAAGGAGAACATTGTGCAGAAAATCCCTATTGTCTTCAAATGCTATACATCCTGTTGAAAAGTTGGTGTAATATGACTTTTTTTAGTACGCAACCCTCTTATTTATCTTCATGACATGTTCAAGGTATATGACTGAATCATTCCGAAACCAACTTTTCGCAAATGACAGCTTTATTTACAAAGTAATCTGCTTGAATAATTTTGTGTTCAAAACACAGAGAATCCCGTTAAAATGATAGTCCACTAGTATTTAACTGCTGCCAACCTCCTTTTAAAGGTTCTCACAACATTTCAGCGCGTACGAGACTCGTGTATTTAGTGTTCCTCTCTATTTTACTTCATCTGAGTTATTTAGACGCTCAATTTACGACATCGCTTTACGGTAACATTGAACATCCGGGCACTCCTGAGAAGGACGAGAAGGTCGCCAATATGATGCGACTACGATATATCAGGGCAGGTACGATAAAACAGCTGATGATACAAATCTTTTGTCAAAAGAACAGAAACAATTGATATCTTTGTATGTTTATGGAAGATGCAAATTATTGATTGCATTTGAATTCGGCTAGATATCGCCTGTTACTTCCACTGTGCCGGCGATCCCTCTGCCGGCATGTTCTGTAATAATTGACGTTACAGTACCAGTGTCCTTAAAATAAAACCAAAACGTCTGTACACTCTTTATCCAGATAGTAACGTTTACAACTCCACCGGCTTAGCGAAATTACTCAATTTCGGGAATATTGAGGTTGTCGCTGTAACATCAGCATATGTCGTTAGGCAAGGTCTTCAACGACAGAGAGATACAAATAGCATTTAGATAGCTATGTAGACTAGTAATTATAGTTTCGGAATGTAAAGCTATACCTCTTATTAATTAGTCGCTTAGAACATATACAATTCTATAATTATTCTTAAGATGATTAAAAATTTATCGTTTGGTAAATAGTTGCAAACTTTAAAAAATACTGTGTATGCCCTTGTGATTGTGTTTCGGACACAGGTGGTTTATAATAGCACAATGTAGTGTCATTCAGTGCAATAGCAGCATGCAGTTTTACATATGAAATCGGAAGATTTTGTTTATATAGACGGTGGTTAAGATGTCTGACCACCCCTGTCTATATATATGTACTAACCTTCCACTTTTGAGTAAGGGTTTTAGGCCTACAATGTACATGGGGCAGTCATCAGGCACTGGCCACAGATAGATAGTTTTTCTTAAGAATTTCCAATTTTTTCTCCTCCACCCAAACCTGGCATTTCCTAAAGTAATACTGGCTGTTAATAGGACATAAAGCAACTACAAATTTATAAGCATAAATATTTTTTATATAAATGATAACTTGTTTATTTGCAGCATTTAATTTATCACCATGTGAATAGCCATTTTGAGGCAGATGTCAAAGTAGATGTTGACTAAACATTGTAATATGCAATATACCACTCGGTAGAGAGAACTTCTCTTTAGCTCTGCCGGAGGCATTGAGATGAAAAATGACCTCTGTTACAATATGATATGTGAGGCCTGCCACATATCATAGGAGTCATATTGAAAGAATCATTATCAAGGTTATTTGGGAGCATTAGTATAATATTGTAACAATTAAGATATAATAGACCAAAAGTAAACAAATTCTTGTTGTGTGTTACAGACCACACCATTTGTCACAGAGAACAGGCATTCTTGTTTCAATCATTTTGATTTGTCATGGTATAAGTATTTCCTGTAGTTGTAGTCAGACCAAAACTAAGCCTCTTCTGTTTACAGAGTGCATGCAAATGTCTACATAGGTGTAATTATATGTCAGTATGGCTGTTTTGATTAAAGAGTGATCCCCCTTGTGCATGTATTAGATACTGGGGTTACAGTTTACCCCTAATAATGTATTCATATTGAGAAGTCTTTGAAAACTTGGGTTACACATCTTGAATTTTACAAATTTAGGGGGTTTTGTACTCTCATTCAGTGGTAATGTCGAACACTGATTAAGTATAGGTTGATCATAATGCATACATGCCTTTCTTTATATTTGTGGATACACTTGATTTATAGCTTTGTACTCTATCTCTTGGATGATTTTGTCTCTCAATATGTTTATATTTGCAGGAGCCAATGCAACAAAGGTTCTTCTGGCAAATAACCCAAGGTAAATTTTGTTCAGTCATTACAAAAACTAATAAGATAGTAATATCCTGAACTGATATCTATGTTATCTATAAAAACTGCCATTGTAACAATATGTAATTTAAAATTCCCTCAATCTTTGGTAATCCCATCAATTAAGAGGTTCATTAATACAAAATGACGGTGAAATTTACATGAAAACTTTTTGAAAATACAAAATTAAGAATGAATGATAACAATGTGAAAGGAAAGTACTGGCATAATATTTAGTTTTCTTATGATTATTTTTTTCAGATGCGTTGTGGAACAGAAAGCTACTGGCAGTGGTAAAGTTGATCCTGGTAGAGTGGCTCATCGCACAGTTAACCACTTGCGACCACCTATACCAACTCTTGAAGAAAGGGTAGCTACTTGGAAGGAAGTCAGTGATATATTCTATGGTCCCGAAAGAGACCTGAAAAATTTTCCTCCAGTCAAACAGATTGTGGATCCACCCAAAACTCGTTATGTGGTTGTCCCCGAAGCATTCTTCGAGGCTCTTTACAATAAAACAGGAATCTTGGGTGTGTATGAAATTTCAATCAGTACTTGAATGGAAAAAATGCACATTTGAATGTTTGGTGAGCAATAAAATTTTCAAAAAGAAATAATTTTTAACCCACTGTCATCTGAAGGTGCCCTTGGGCACTTCAAATCACTTGTTCACTTTTTCAAATCAACTGCCAGTCAGTCCTGCAAACAACTTATTGTTATTGGAAAACGTTTTATGTTCAGTATGGGTCTGTACCATTTCATGAGCTTTGACATGTATTTTGACCTTCAAGCCCCACATGGCAAAAAAAGGAATTATCAGGACCAATGGTCTTGCTAAAAGAACATCCACGAATAGAGCTATTGAAAACATTGCTGAGTAAGCAATCTTGCATGATCATGTGAGATATAGAAAATGTAAATCTAGCTTAAGATAATCTTTGCTGAATGTCATTTTGGCTTCTGTTCTCTCTAATATTGGATGCCTCATGGCAACTCTTTGTTTTTCTTTGGTTGACCAGTAATATGATACAATTTTTGCCAAGTCACTTTATTCAGATCACTAGGTATATTATATTTATACTTAGAAATTAATTTGGAACTCTCAGACACTTTCACAGCAGTTTGTTCAGCAATCATGTTCAATGATACACATATTGTGTCATATTCAGTTCTCATTCTTAGATGAACAAACTTACCTCTTGATATACTTAAAATTTTACGATTTTCACACACAGAAGGAATGATGGTCATAATCATTAGATAGATGTTTTTATTAGGTCAACTGAGACAAAATTGTCTCTTTGTGACTTTTGTCTGATGTAATGCATTGTACACTTTTATCATTTAAAAGCTCATCTGGGAAACCCCTTATTATTATTTGTTGTAAATGAGTTAAATCCTGACAGATAAATGCTGAAGAAAGGATCTCCACACAATTTTCTAATCAGTTCTTGATATAGCAGTATTACCTTTTAACCTGTACCTTTTGTTTTATGTATTAATACTTTCATTACACTGATTTTTCCCCCTTTTTCAGGTCCATATCTCCTGTTACTTGGAACTCCAGCATACATGTTCTCCCATCAAATTATCAAGCATGACTATGAATTTGGAGTAGCTTTATTCGTTTTTCCTGCTTTATGGTACCTGAATAAAAAGGTTCACTTGGTAGATGCAATGACAAATTTCATTACGGCCAAGCGAGAGGTAAGTAAACTTATCCAATACATCAGTGGTAAAATGTGCTTGTGATCTGTGATCATGGCGAGTAGCAACCTTTAGTCAACATATTGGAACATAAAGAAAATTACTAAAGGCTTGACCCAAAAGGGATTTTTTTCATGGGAGGCATATACTGGTATTGTTTTCTGTATTGATGCTTTATTTGATGTATCTATTTTGTGAAAAATAGAATACCTTGGCTAAGAAAAAATCAATAATACATGACTGCGACAAACCTTAAAGGTTGGGTGTCTTGTGTTATTATTATAAAATCCTTATATCTAAGTTCAACAGTATTGTAAACAAAAAGTAACAAGATCTTTACAACAATGATGTCATTATATAGCCTGTATATATATTGTATGAATAAATTTATGATAGATGAGTGATGTAAGCCAATTTTGCCTCTTGTGTAGTGTAATGTGACCAGGACATACAACTTGGTTTTTATTTTGTAGGTTATCGATTCTCATTGGTACAAGCCAATTATGGACTTCGTGGAGGACATAGATAACAACATTGAGGAAAAGAAAACACTAATATACCAACAGGAAGCTCTAGAATATATCTATGAGGCTAAAAAGGTAGGTTTTATTACATTTTAAACATCTCACATGGTTCAGTTAAACAGATGAAGTGTTGTTTTTTAACAGAAGTTTAGAACATTGACAGATATGGCTATCAGAGGATTATCCTGTTTGGTAAACAAAATGCTTTACTTGAAATTGCTACCTGTGGAATTTTTAATGCATTACTTGAAATTGCTTCAATGGAATTTTGTTTCAACTTGCTAGGTTTTTGTGACCTAAAAAGTTAGGTTATCTTTAAATTCAAAATGGTTGTCACAATTTTTCTGCCATGACATAACTTAAGAATTTACAGCAATATCATATTGGTATAGCGAGATTTTTCATTCAAGAATCACAGAATTGTTGAAAGAAAAACCAAACACAGATCTACAAAAACACAAAAATAACTGAGTGCAACTAGTGCATCCATCAGGTTTTCAAGTAAGGGGAAAAATAGTAAATATTCTGTTTTTGTTTGCAGGAAAATGTAGGTCTACAACTGGAAATTGAATACAGACAGAGATTGAAGTCATTGTATGAGGATGCCATGCGTAAACTAGTAAGTGTATTTGTGAATGTGAATGTTTTCTGAAAAAACATCACTAGAAATAAACAATAAACAAAACACACACACATACACCAAGGTAAGTCCCAAAAGGGAAAATAATTTTTCTTCAATAGCTTTAATTATATTGGATCACCTTCAGAACAGATGGATGGGAGCTGGGGCCATATAGGCAAAATCAAGGACTTTCAAATCATTCTTCTTTTCGTTGGATGAAAATATTTTGACTAGATTGGTCTGAAGCATCATTTGGTGAACTTGTTTTGTATATAAACGATTAGTCAAACCCAACCCTAGCTTTAAAATCTTTCTGTTTAGATGAAGGTATTTGATCAAATGACTCTTTTTTCTTTTAATGTATGGTTTCAATTGTTTTTAGGCCATTCTCCAACAAATCCCATCTAACTTTTCAAACCCATAATTTAACGCTCAAATCACTTGATTTCAAATTTAGAGTACTTCCAATGTACTATTGTAATGATAGTAATTTGTTATTTAGCTATGATCTCCATGGTAACCTCCAATTTTCTCCCAAGAGGCATAGTATTTCTCAAACATCTTCTTTTCTTCAAATTTTGACATTTCAGCTGAACCTTTCATCAAACTAAGGGTAGTGGCATACATGTTTCGCAAATATATTTCTAGTTCAATTCAAAAGTTAAATTTTGCTTGTAATTCTTTTCATGCAAACCCAGTTGGAATTCTCAGTACATGGACTTTCACAAAATAATTTGTGCATGGTCCACAGAATGTCAAAAATGTTGAAGATTGAATTTCGGATCCAAACCTCATATAAGATCATTGTTATATCATCAAAAATACCCGTTTGTCATTCTGCTTATGTTTTATGGAAATTTACTAAATTATGAAATTTAATCTCTTTACAATGTACAAAAGATAGCATGTATCATTGAAATGTTTTATAATTTTGCAGGATTACCAGGTGTCCATTGCCAGTTCAAAGAAGAGCTTTGAGCAGGGACACATGGCCAAGTGGATCACCCAATCTGTTTACAGTAGCATTACTCCACAACTGGTAAATTTCAGAGTGAAATATTTTAGAGTTGCCTGAAAAGGCAACATATACCAATAGAGGGGTAGTTCTCTTCTGATAATAGAATCCCTATTTAACTAAAACTATATACAGTGCATTTACTCAATGGAAATTCCTAATTGGACCAGAAGGTCAAAACTCCAGTAGAAGTCATTGTTACCATATATAGAAAATTGATTTGCTGCAGTGTATTTAGAGTTCCTTGGACTAATATTGAAAGCACTTGTTTGAAATTGCTTTTCAATTCTGATAGTCAAGGTCATAGTCATTTAAAATTTGAGTAAAGAAATTAATTTTAAAACAATTTGATTTCGTTACCAGAAATGTTTGACAGGTTGTTTTGAACTGAAATTCAGTAATTGTTTTGGATTATTTCACCTAGATACCAACAGTTCTGCAAATTTGAAAAGAAAGGTTTTGATTTTCATGAAATATCCTCAATTGCTTTCTGTAATTTGTATAACCTTGTACTGTTGGCCATACAGATGGCTCCTTCAAGTTTGTTTCATTCTTCAGATTTTGATGAATTCAAATAAATGGCGATAGCGTTGGTATTGTTTCTTTTTAAAAATAAAAAAACAGTTAAATCAACATTTGTTATACTGTAACATTGGCAACATGCATCAACTTTTACTGAAGTGTGAAAATTAATTTATTTTGCAGGAGAAACAAGTGATGAACAACTGTTTGACCAATCTCCGTCAACTAGCAAAAAGCAACACAGCTACGTAAATGGTGTAAAAAGACCTGTTGTGTGTAGAAGATGATCTAGTTCATCTCCGTGATATGAAACTGTTTCAAAATTCTGCTACTCTTTTTCCTGGTCAGGAGAAAAGTTGAATCTGACGTGTAAATACTTGTCATGATTGACAAAGAATCAGTGCTGTGGTGTTATCCATATTTAGAAGATGAATTTTGAAAATAAACTTATTGTATAAAAAAAAAAATCTTTTGCCTTTTTTTAGAACAGTGTATTTGAGAAGAAAATGTTCTTTGATTGAGAAGTTGTCTGTTTGAACAGTTTTTGCTTCATAACAGATGGAAATCTGATTTTTGTTTGATTTCTGTCCTTTTCTGAATTTTCCTATAAAAAGAAAGACTCAAAAATCAACAAAACAGCTGATTTGCCTTTTGGTTTTCATCTCATCTAAAACACATGTTGAATATGTTTAATAAACAAGGTACAACATTGCTCAGTCATACTGTTGACCTTAAGGACCATCATGCTGGAGTCCTGAGCTTCCTATCCAGAGCTTTGGGGTGATAGCATCTGGCAGTGTTGCAAATAACAAATCCGTTTCAACATAATAGGTTTTAATAAAATTTATCATTGATACAATTAATTTTCACCAATATCAAATTCATGATTAAAGAAGTAGTAATATGTACATTTATTATCATTTTTCACTGTTCTTCATATTTTGTCTGCCTGGTGTTCTTCTCATTGACTGAACGTCCCCATTTCTTGCTATCTGTGGCTTTCACCTTTCCAAAAATGATTCACCCTTTCTTCTCACAGTCAATTATGACCTTGACCCCTTCCCCAGACTTAGCAGTTTCAAATGCCTTCATTGTTTCCTCCAATGAAAACATGTGAGTGATAAGAGGTTTGACATCAATCTTCCCACAAGACATCATCTCCAGACATGTGGGCCAGCTGAAGATAAAATAATACACTCATTTGAAAGGGTTATCTATTATGTTAAACTCCTACAATATTTTATATGTGGGCTCTGTGAAAGAAAAAAAACATGTTACACAGTATTAGAGTACTACAATGAAAAAAGAGGGACTTTCAGATCATGCAACCCCCCCCCCCCCAAAAAAAAAAAATAAAAAATAAAATACAAAAATAAGAAAACAAAGCAATTACCAAGCAAGACACAAGATAAATAATTACAAATACAATGTTACAATTGCACATTGATTCCACCACTTTTGTAAGGAGTGTATTACATACGTGTTCATGTATCGGAATGACCCCTTGAGTGTGATCTCCCTGGTGATGACACTGACCACGGGAAATGTCACATTGTCAGGACCATGACCAATCACAACCATTGTTCCTCCGGATTTGGTGGCCTACAACAACGTATTTTATACATTCATTCTCATATCCCAATCATCAGCCATTTCAAACTCGTAGAATAGCAAAGCCTGCTCCCGATTCTTCAAAGAGCAAATGTGAAATTTTCTGTCTATTTCTGGAGGCTTTCATTGATTAGAATTATATAGTAACAATGTCGTAACAAATGTGAAGAGTATTATAACATTTTTGGAAAATTTGAGAAGAAATACATATTTGTATATTTGATCTCCACATCTTACTTAACTTTGCTCCTGGTAAGAAATTAATGCTGTTATTATGAAAATGAAATAACATGGTCATTGCATGAATATATCTTGAATACAAAGTTGAAATACACACAGGAATTGATCCTATTGTTGTATAATTAATTTTGGGGAAGGTGGAGTGGAACATAGAAAAAAAGATGGGAGCTATATGTACAAGTATTGACTTTGAATTGTATTTTTTGTCTTATGTACAGAATTTTCAACATGAAATTTTAATTTTTTTAAAAATTTTGTTCCACAACAACAAAGAACAGAATTAAGGCTTGGTTATTATTTTTCAATTTGCATCTACATTAAGAAGTTGCACTCTGTGTCTACAATAAGTTGATGTTTTGATTACAGAGTGTATGTAAATAATTGCTGTTTAAACATACCAGAACTCCCAGATTTACAGAGGACTGTGCTCCACTGCATTCTATAGTGTGTTGTGGGGCTCCACCGATCAGACTGGCTACCTTGACAGCTGCCTCCTCTGGCTTATCATCCTTAGTAACCAGTAAGGTATGTGTGGCTCCACACTTTTTCGCAAATTCAAGTCGCTTGCTGTCAATGTCTGAAATTATTAAATAAAAAGATGAAAATGTGGTAGAACAGTTGACCCTATAAATTTTCCCTTTTCCAGCAAAGAGAAGAGTGAGGTTAACAAACAATATATAGTTTAGTTTAACTTGGTTACCTGTCATACAAACAGCAGCAGCACCCAAAGCCTTGGCACTCAGCATAGCACACAGTCCAATTGGGCCTGCAACATATGATGTCATAATGACAATTTAAAAGTCACATTACAATTATTGGAATTTCATCTTTACTCTTGACATTGTGAAATAAGATAAACATCAAACTAATGACAAAAATTTAAAAGAAATAAATGTTTTACAATGTTTCACCTTTAGCCATAACCTTGACCTTATTCCTGTGATTAACTTGACACCAGTTCAAACATTACTGTATATCATGCAACGTTTATCTTTATGACCTTGACCTTTTAATATGCAACCTTGACCTAATATGAAACAAATGCCACAAATCACAAGAAGGCATCTTAACATTACATAATACAAAGAGTTAATAGAATGTGGCTTTGACATCACAACTATGTGAAATTATATATCTAGGGCCCAAAGACTTCTATTAGTACTTTTCTTGGAGTTAGCAATAATAATCGGACTATGTGAGTACTTTTTATAAGAAAAAAAGAAAAAAACACTGCAATGTAATTTGTCACCTGAGCATAAAAGGATGGTGTTACTAAAATCTTTGGATCCTTCCAGGTCCTGTACATACCTGCCCCACAAACAAGAACACGACTTCCTAGGGTCACTCCAGCTCTACGACAACCATGTAGTCCCACTGAAAGAGGCTCCACACAGGCACCCTCTTCAAAACTGACATTATCTGGTATTCTGTAAAATGTTTGAAGGAGTCAACTTTCGTAAGATCAGGAAAAAATGCTGATACACAACTATACCAAAACAAATATATAGTTTATATTGACAACAAGCATATTAATGTAAATGCAAAATTATGATGCATGAATTTGTTTTAGGTTAAGTCATGATTCAAACAAATTTTAATTCAATGATGGTACAGTAACATTGTAAAATCATCTATTTTCATGGGGCTAAATTTTCGTACTTTATCAAAAAATTATTTCATGGATAAATATAGCTTTGTAAATCTACTTATACTTGTTTTTACAATTTGTTATGAATTCATGGATTAAGAAAACCTGAAAAATCAATGAAAATATATCCCCAACAAAAACAAGAGTTCCTCGGAACTGTATGTGTCGCTTGCATAAAGTGTCACGGTCACCCAGAACTGTATGTGTCGCCTGCATAAAGTGTCACGGTCACCAAGAAATTGAACTGGATGTGCAACGATCAACCATAAAGTTGTAATATCAAATTTCATTTTTAAACTTAAAGCATAAAGGGAAAACTACGCAAAGCAATATTCCTAAGAAATTTTCCAAGTTCAAAGGGGTATAACTCTGCCAAGAAGGGTCACAGACAGCCAGGAATCAAGCTTAATCTGTATCCTTGCAACAAGAAGCCAATTCCCAAATTTCGATTTGATAACTCAAAGCATAACCAAAAAAAGTCCAGAAAATTTTTGTACGGACGACGGCGCCGCTGTGTGATGACAGACAAAGTGATCCCTAAGTGTCTGCCAGCTCTGCAGGCGACAAAAAAATTATGATTTTACTATATTTGCAGTACAGTGATATTGAAAAACATCATGTTGTCTAGACACAATTTGTTCTGGTAGATGATTCTATATATTTCTATATTCAATCAGAGAATCAAACCGTTGTCACCATTGTGACAGGCCAGTGCAGTGTACCATATCTTGTAGCTTCAGAGTATTGACACCAGCAGCTAATTCTTACAGATCAACTCTTCCACAGCAAAACTCCTCTGCAATTTCATTCAGGTGAACAAAAGTGATTATTGGAAGTTAATACAGCTTGTTTTACACATGTAAGATAAATGGAGCTTATCGTTTTTGGTACATGCATTGTGTACTTACTTGAAGACAAAATCAGCAGCATGTGTATGGTATCTGGCAAGGGCACCATTGTCGGGTGGGGTAGCCAGGAAGAAAACATCTTTACACAGGTTGTAGCTACCAGACTTGCAGAACTCGCACTTACGACAGATGTCATGAGGCTCAATAGCAACACGATCTCCTGTAACATTCACAGATAACATGTAATTATTTCCATATAATTCTGTCTTCGCTTCAGAAGTGAGGACATATTAAGATAAATTTTAAAAATGATGCTTTCAACATACATAGTTGGTGCAATCAAAATTAAACACGATATTTTTCTATTTTTTTCAAAAGCCATGATGAATTTGCTTATTTTGCAGTCACACAGGACACATACACACAGCAATTAGCAAATCATACTTTAGCAAAGAACTTCGATGTCAAAAAGTGAAAAAATCATATTAACGCTAAAACATGAATGTTTAAAGTAAACTGCCCAGTAGGTGGTATTATATTTTATTTTTTTATCACTCAGTTTTATATCATCTAAGCAGCCTGTTTCGAGTGGGTTGGGTAGAGAGGCACATTCTCTCTTCCTTTAACTAATCAAAGAAAAGATTGGCACTTTAATTTAGGTAGTGACTTTCTTACTTCAAAAGCAAAACTGAATTCAAAAGAGTCTTACTGTGATCTAAAACACTTCCTGTTATAATCCAGAGTCCAAAGGACAGGACCAGACTTGATTTTTTCATGATTGGCAATGCAAATACCAAATACTAGTATATAGTGGACAAGAGGTTGGATTCTCATAGACTTCTACGTCAAGATCCATGGACCAAATTTGTAAGCATTATGAACTTTGTTGTGTCTTCAAAGTCAGTCAAATGTATGTAAAGAGAGGAAGGAGATTTCATACTTTATCATGATATGACCCAGTGACCCAATTCCAGAGGGCAGGGCTAGAGCATCCAGGCCAGTCACTACATATATTATAGCTCACTGACCAGATTTGATGGATCTTGACCATTCCTAAGTTATCACTTCTGGCACTCTGTTATATGTTTCCATGCTAAGTAATCTGTAAACGTTTGACTGACCAGATTTGATGGATCTCGACCAAGTTATCACTCCTGGCACTCTTTCCATGCTAAGTAATCTGTAAACGTTTGACTGACCAGATTTGATGGATCTCGACCAAGTTATCACTCCTGGCACTCTTTCCATGCTAAGTAATATGTAAATGTTTGAATCATTACAACTTTTTGGTTGTAACTTCTGATTAAATGGCTTCAGCACAAATTGGACCACAAAGATCTCTGGTCCATATACTATAAAATCCTACAAATTGGACCACAAAGATCTATGGTCCATATACTATAAAATCCTACAAATTGGACCACAAAGATCTATGGTCCAGATGTTATAAAATCCTACAAATTGGACCACAAAGATCTATGGTCCATATACTATAAAATCCTACAAATTGGACCACAAAGATCTCTGGTCCATATACTATAAAATCCTACAAATTGGACCACAAAGATCTATGGTCCATATACTATAAAATCCTACAAATTGGACCACAAAGATCTACGGTCCATATACTATAAAATCCTACATATTGGACCACAAAGATCTATGGTCCATATATTATAAAATCCTACAAATTGGACCACAAAGATCTACGGTCCATATACTATAAAATCCTACAAACTGGACCACAAAGATCTCTGGTCCATATACTATAAAATCCTACAAATTGGACCACAAAGATCTATGGTCCATATACTATAAAATCCTACAAATTGGACCACAAAGATCTACGGTCCATATACTATAAAATCCTACAAATTGGACCACAAAGATCTACGGTCCATATACCATAAAATCCTACAAATTGGACCACAAAGATCTATGGTCCAGATGTTATAAAATCCTACAAATTGGACCACAAAGATCTATGGTCCATATACAATAAAATCCTTCAAATTGGACCACAAAGATCTATGGTCCATATACTATAAAATCCTACAAATTGGACCACAAAGATCTACGGTCCATATACTATAAGATCCTACAAATTGGACCACAAAGATCTATAGTCCATATACTATAAAATCCTACAAATTGGACCACAAAGATCTATGGTCCATATACTATAATATATACTATATATACTATAACTATATTTTCATGTGACTAAGTTTTTATGGTTTTTCAAAAAAAAAATCCTTTTTTGTGGACTCTTAATTTTGGGGATAAGTATAACCTTGATAAATCTAACTATACTTATCTTAGAATTTCATGGACACATGAGTTTTGTGGATGAAGAGTGTCATTGAAATCAGCGAAAATAAATCCCTCATGACAATGAATGATTTTACAGTTGCTGTATGTGACAACTTTGTAATGAAAATATTCATCCAACTATTAGTTTATGTATCCATAGTCTGTGTGCTAGAAACACATGAAAGACACAATCATCACATAAACCATTTTAAATTCATTTCACTTCACTTACCTGGCTTCAGGTGTGTCACACCTTTGCCAACCTTAGTGACCACTCCGCTGCACTCATGTCCCAGAAGCATAGGATGTGTGACCACAAACTGACCAATACCGCCTGCTGTCCAGTATTTCACATCTGAACCACATATTCCAACTTTACGCATAGACAACTGTACCTCTGAAACAAAGGTGATAGATTCAATTGGGACCTGGCAGCAACACAAATTCTGAGGACATTAAGGGCCAAAGGGTTAAATCATTGATTCATTCAAATATTTCAACACATTTTACTGCAATTACCTCAAAAGTAGGCCAAGGTCATTCATTCGAACAAACTTTGCATCCCTTTATTCCAGAATACTACTGACCTTATATCATGACCTTTGGCTCTTGCTTTTTCATGTTTTTTTCAAAGATATACACATATTTGACACCAATAAACTTAAAAATGTGCAAATACCCATTATTTAATAAACTGGTAGCCCTTTATCCCAGTATGCTTCAGGTCTTATATCATTAAGATGGGCCTCTTGGTAACTGTGAAAAACCATTGTGACCTTGAAATTTTTTCAGCTTCATTTGAACAAATTTTGTAGCCCTTCACACCAAAATTCTACAGACCTAATATCATGGTGCTAGGACCATTTGATCATTGTGACCTTGGAAGTGGGTCAACCTCATTCATTTGAACAAACTTGTATAGTACTCCATCCCAGCACGCAACTGGCTCCTTGAAACAAAAGTTGATTCAAGGTCATGCATTTGAGATAGAGGCCTTGGTAAGGGTCAGTGTGAATTAATTTCCTGCATTTTGTGGAACATTAGCATGAATTTTTCGACACATGTGAAATACATCAACGGTAAAGACAATATATAGAATGTACATAGCTTTTTATATTCTACTTACCTCCTTCCTTTGGTTCTGGGATCGGACGATCTTCCTGTGTAGGCAAAAAAGTAATTAAGCATGTGAACAAATATTAGAAATATTTTGAGCTCTGATTACAATGTTCTGCTGCATTAAGGTCACTTATATAGTTTCAGTTATGGTTTGATAATGTCCCTTACTGATAACACTTGTATTAAAGACTTTTCTTCGTTGCAATCCAAATTTAACTTATCCAGCGTTATGGACAAACTGTTTATCCCGTCACAGATGCCTGGATTTCTTAATTATACATAAGCAAACAAGAAAAAAACAACACATAACCCTCCATTATTCTGTAATGGAGCTCAAGGTTTTAGTTGTTGTCTATGAAATATGACGGAATGAAAATAATTTTGATATTATTGATAAAAAATATGTCATGTCTTTGGTTCCATGTAGTATTATTACCAATGAAGTACATGTACGCAAAATGATTATTATTTCAAAAATCTCAAAGAAGACGACGTGAATAAAAAGTTATATTTTGTCTTTCTGATTGCGTACTATACGAGTATTCGTACATCTGTAGTAATGTCTCGCTAACTTCTTTGTGCTAAACATGTATCGGTGCCCACATAATTAATTATCTGAGATGTATACTGACCAGCCTAAGGTCCCCTTTCTTGTGCAGCACGGCTGACAGGTTGGTATCCGACATTTTTGCTGGTCAGTGGTCAATTGTTTAGATGTTGAGCCCGACACCAGTTGCTATACAACTGGGAAATCTCGTCGACAAGAATTTGTCTACGGAAGCACTGACGTCACAAATGTAAACAGACAATTTAACTTACTGCAAATTTCGTCTTCTTCGCGGTGTTCTGTTTTTGTAGTTCATCCTATTTTTATTCTCAACAGTATACAATGTATATGCACTACTTAATTAAAGGAGTTCTAACAATATTGATTTTTGGGTTTTTTTTTTTTTGTTTTTTTTTAGTTTCTTCCGACAATTGGCATCCCTGAAACATTAATTTTGGTAATGTTTTTAATGTTGAGATATTATCATTGGAAATTAAAATCGAATGTTTCCGGGTCGATCACGTACATCACTTTTGTCAAGGCAAGATTCTCTTTATCGAATATTAATGAGTTTGAGCTTTCATTTCATGACACTTTATAACATATATCATCAAATACAAATATCTCATACATCTTATAAAAATATTACATATTTATGATATATACGGCATATAGAAAGTTGTATGGGATGTACTGAAAAGTAACCCTGGCATTTCATATATAATGATTCAATAATATCGATATCCCTTTAAGTTACAAAGCTGAGTTGGTATGTCAGCGTCCCCACCTCCCCTCCATACAGTGCTGGCACTGTGTGAGTAGTGCTTTGTTTATCTTTCCCGTGACCCAGATTTTAAAGTGTGCCTTCTCCGCACCAAACTTGTTGATTAAAAGTAACTTATTCTATCATATGGTAATTCGTCGTACACACCGGGTACCAGGTTGTCTCTTGTCAATCATATAACCTCTGCGATGGCATTTTTAAAGTGAAAACAAGAGGCACATAGGGCCTCTTTTGCTAACATTTAAATATTGAAATAATGTTCAGTGCTAGCTAACAAACTACGTGATCTTTCTGGGGGAAAAAGGAGAAATCTAACACTATAGAATAACTCAAGTTGATTTGAACCTTTAAACGAATTATTTTATCATTTGTAAGCTTGGAGTTTTTTTCTCACTATATAAGACACTTACAGTAATTACAGGAGGTAGGACACTTTTTAATTGAATGATGGGTAATATTGTTGAATTAGTATTACTGATAATTCAATGCTAACCCTAACTTCCTGTGGGACCTATATATATAGGTACACCACACAGCAGATTTTTTGACTACTCAGTGTCTAACAGGTATGTCTGATGTCTTATGAAGGAGCTTAAGGAAACTCAAGCTCCTGTCTTGGATGGTGTTTTTAAGGTATGAAGTTCAAAGGTCAGAGACGTACGCTGATACCATAAGTAAAAAATATTTTTTCGTTTGCCAAGGATTTCGACCCGCCTACTCATAGCAATTTTGTTGTGCGGTTCCTATCACTAAAATTTCAAACAAATCTTCCATACTGAATGAACAATTTTGGTCAGTTTTGGTTTTCAATTCCTTACATCAAAGGTCAAGTTTACTACAATTTATGAATGAAAATTGATTCACATTGCTTGAGACTGCCTTTCTAATCTGGAGGTTAAAGTTCAAGAACACAGTTATTATATATTGGGTTCTATTGGGCAATTTATTCACCAAAAATGATTACCATCCAGATTTAAAGGTCAAAAGATAAATATAAAACTGTCACCATTTGGGAACTTAGAGATGACGCTTAACAAGTTCGAAAATCCGCTGAATACTTAATCGTTCATTAACCCCGTTGGGAGGATGCTCGGGTTGGTATCAACTTACTTCGGGGATGTAAATTTATGTTTCATCTTTGAAGTGGGTGCACGTAGGACAGACAGAATCGCATGCATGCGATTTTCCATAAAAAGAAACGTGTCTAACACTACCAAAAGTTAGCATCAGTTTGATGAAAAAAATCCCAACCTACAACGGTTGTGACGGTTTCACTTGGCGGGGCATTCATACGTCATCGTGAGATAAAAAAAAAATACGCAGATTATGTAGATATTTGTGCATTGCTACCTTTTGTAAAGCCATTTGGTAATTGTTTAAAAAAATTCGGTTTTCATTTATCTTTCGTGCCAACATCTTTCAAATGTTTCAAAATGGCTACTTTCCTGAACACTCGCAGCCGATTTCATATGAGTAGGTAATTAAAAATGCGCATTAAAACTGAAACCGGCATCTTCCCGTGAAACGATTGGCTCAGAGAAGGTGGACACAATGTTCCCTGCGGATGGCTCTGATGTTAATGAAACCGTCTGGAAATAGACTCAGTCATGATTTCCGTGTTTATAACCCTTCATGTAGGGCAGATGCATGATCTACATATATACAAGGTGTTCTCTCTCTCTCTCTCTCTCTCTCTCTCTCTCTCTCTCTCTCTCTCTCTCTCTCTCTCTGTGTGTGTGTGTGTGTAAACTTGTTTATGATTGTTTCATTGTTATATTTCATATCATTCTGCCAACTTGTAAATATAATGTATGTAATTTAATTTAACTTATAATTATGTGCAATAGAATATGTTAAAATCAAATTCGGCAATTTATTTCCAACGCCTATAGCTACAAGACTGTGTTCGGTATGTTAATCTGTTAATTATAAGTAACAGCATGGATTGTTTGAAAGTTTACTCCGCCATTCACCCAAGGAAACATTTACACGTATATCCTAGATACATGTAAACATAGGTCGCAAATATTTTTAAAGACATTGCTGGAGTTAATTCCTTGACTCCAACATTGCTTTCAAGTATTGGATGGAAATAAAGAATAATTTTCCCAGATGCAATTGCAAATTAAACAGCTTTTGTATAACTATGAGGCATGGTACATTCTAAAAAAATGACCTTGACCTACTTCAAAAGTCAGAAATGTCAAATATCTTCAGACGTTTAATACCTCCATAACAAAGAGATGTGATACAATGTATAGCTAGCAATGTGCCGAGATAAATAACCATGACACATGCCATAGTGCTTTAATTTGATTATGTTTATGCAGTAGCCTTTTACGATGTAGGCCTTTTATTTTGTTATTCTTGTTTTCAAATTGATGATCCAGAACAAATGTTTGGTACTAATAGTCAACCTTACAGATGTTTCTCCTATGTGACCTACAGGCCTAGGTAATAATATTGCATTCTGGGATAACATTCTTTTACATTTCCTTACAATTGACGTTGACTCACTTTCACAGAAAGTGACATGTTCAAAAACAAGAGATACCAAAGGGGTTTGTCTTTGTCTTTCATTGTTAAACAACAACATACAACGTGTGAGCCATTTTGTTTTTCTAATCAACCCCAAAATCAAACGGGAACCACCAAAGCCCGAGAGCCTACATATAAAATGGGACAAACATCGAGTACGTTTGAAGAAATAGCGACAAGAACATGTATTTGGTTACCAGTGTATTAAAATGATGTGTATCATGTCCATTTAAAAGAATGAAAACCATTCCGTGTCAAGAGCGAAGTGTAAAATATGTTTACTTCGTTTTCTTAATCTACTAGCAAATGACACCGGCTCAAGGTGATGTGTTAAAAACCATGACATTATGAGTCATAATTCTTCTACAGATGGTTAGGGTGGAGGGGATATGACAGTTTTTCAATATTATGACCTTGACCTTCTTCGCTGTTCGACATCACTTTAATTTAGGTAATCGCTTGTCCTATGTGATTATTTCTGACCTATTAGAGTTTCTTCCCTTCGTTTTACATATCGGTACCTATCATGGTTTAGTGATAAGTTTGACAGCCAAGGGAAGAAGGGGTGTGGGGGGTTGTGAGAGAATTTAAATATTGATAATCGGTAAATCTGTCGTTTCATTTCGGCCTAGGTCACAGGATTGAATTTCACATGTCTATATAGACAATATACATTTCCCTTATATTTTCAGTCAAGGTTAAATCTTTGCTATATGCTCGCAATCTGTAATGACTGCATATAAGGTGAAATTATCTCCCCCCCCCCTCTCCCATAATAAATCATTAGTTGATATAATATCAATCCTGAGTATCTGTAATGTTCTTATGCCAGACACTAGAGCCATCAAAATGTCTATACGACCTGTCGAGTTGTAGCCAGAGAAATATGGGTAAATGTTGAGTCACAATGGTTTGTTCATGACAAACAACAAAAACTTCAAAATTTCAAGACATATATCAATATTTATTTATCATAATTCCTGATTATTCTCTCACATATAGAATCAATCCAATAGAATGATTTCTTCAAATATCACAAACTTTCTTTGTAAATACAATTGCCATTTATATATTTGCAGCATATAATTTCAGTTTTTCTGAGCAAAAAAAGAAATTGCATTTTTTAATCTGTGATACCAAGTATGAAGATGATTTCAATAAGAATTTGTAAGCACTTTATTCACAACAATTTCTTTTTTTTAAATCAACAAGAAAAAAAATCAATAAATCAATAATCAATCTCAATTAACACACACATAAACATCATAATGTTATCATCACATAAACTGTCCTCGCAGCGTATATCATGTCATATCTGTTTGCAGAAAGATCAAATCATTTCACTTTGAAAATTAACAAAATATGTACATCTCTGTTATAAAATCTTGTGTACTTGGGGAAGCATCAAAATGGCTTTCATGATCAACATTTCAGGGACAACAAAATGCAGACAAAAAGAAAACGCTAAAACATGTATACATAGTCAGTATATAAGAAATATCTCCAGAAGACAAAACATTGAAAAATAAGGTTACTCTGGATTGATGCCAATAGCTTTTGAACTTTGACCTCTAGTTAATCTATATCTAACAAGGACAGGCCTACACAAAAACATGTTAGAATATGAGAACAAGGTCGAGTGTAGAGATATGTCCGCTCAGATAAGTTCTGTCATTGTAAAATTCTGCTTATCAAGCTCACTATACTCGTGTCCAGATAAAATACAGTAGACCAAAAGCAGTTATACCTTCACATATTACATGTGATCTGTAGCTTTAAAAAGGTCTCATTCTTATTACAATCTCAATAACAATGAAACAGCACAAAATCCTGAACTTGTAGATGTGAATCTGTTTTGCACTTGTCAGATAGGAATGTATCAATATTTCACAGATGAAATTCACCTTGTTTCCAATGCTTGAGAAGATTGCATTTAATTTTAATTTTTCTTCCTTTCAAATTTTTAAAAAAACCTTTTTATCCCAAGATTATGTTATCATAAGCACTGATTGTAAATTATCACATTGGTGAAGTCAAGTCCTCTGATAATGAAGGTCAAAATATATGACAGCATAATTATCTAGGTCACTATCAAGAACACTACTGGTTTTATCTCGCAGTTCTTTTCTGGTAATCCTGTCCGTCTAGAGCTGAGCAGACATTCCAGACTGAAATACAAAAGTATATAACCAGTAACTGTATTTTTGAGACAATGTATATTTAGTAAATCATATTATTTCCTATCTAACTAAATACTTATATGTATCTCTTATTTGACAGCTATTAAATTTTGAGAATTAGTTTCAATCCTGAAACTTTACAAAATAAATTGCAGGCAGAAGAAAGCTGTTTTACAGCTGCTTTCCTTTAAATGATATCGATGTCTGAGATCTACCCATCAGCTCCCTCAACTGGAAGCACTTTTACACATTCCATTCATGTGATTGAAATTCTCAGATTACAAAGATCTTTATACATTTTGTACTGCCAAACCAGGAAAATACACTCTTTCATTGCGGAGCATCTAAAGGAGTAATTCTCCAAATGAAAGCGCAACATAAAAAGGATGGGAATCCCAAGAATGAAGGATTCCCATAATGGAATTCAGAATCCAAAGATTAAAGGTTTTATATAATGGGGATGTGAATTCTAAGATTGAAGGTTAGGTTTCCCAAATGGGGATTGGAATCCCATAATGAGGATGGAATCCTAAGTAAAAAGGTTTCAATAACAGAGATGGCAGTCTAATGTATGAATGTTACTCGTTTTGGGGATTGGAATCTGAAGTATGCAGGCTTCTTATTATTGTAGAATTCCCAGAATAAAGCTTCCCAGTAATCGAGATTGGAATCCCAACACTGAAGGTTTCCCATACTGGGGATTGGGATTCTAGGTATGAAGGTTTCCCAAAATGGAGACTGGAATTCAAACATAGAAAGTGTCACATAATGGAGATTGTAATCACACGATAGACAGTTTCCCATAATGGGGATTGGTATTCCAAGATTGACAATTTTTCCTATAATGGAAAGTAGAATCACAAGATTGATGGTTTCCCATAATGGGTTTTAAAATTCCAAGTATGAAAATTTTCCCATAATGGGAATTGGAATCCCAACTACATTGTATATAGGTTTCCAATAATTGGAATAAATACCTGGGCCTTTAGTGTAAAATAAACTAGCTCTTTAGTACAAGGTAAAAGGTTTTACTGTTATTTTTTCAATTACCTGTTTCTTGTAAGAGTCCAGAAGTTTTTGGATTCCACCTCCAAAGTCAGGATGGACCTGTGTAAAGTTGTGTACTGTTCTCCTCTGGATGAAGTCTTGGGCATTTTTCAAGTGACCTGCAATATTCTCTACCAAACGACGACGTTCCTCTGGCTTCAACACCTTCAATATAAGAAATTGTATCGTAATGACATGAACAGATTTATCAACATCATTGCTGCATAAGGAAGAGATGCACTTTCACCTAACATCCCAAAGTATATATTTCAGCTATCATAATATGATCTTTATCAAAACGCTACAGTCACGAGCAATCTATAAATAAACCAGCATGTAGTTATGGCATACAACTTTCACAATTCATATTTAAGTCATAGTTTTCATATTTTCATAAATTCATAGTTTAATATATCTCAACATTCTTGTTTTATCCATGTTCACCAATCTGATTATAAATCAGGATTGTTCTGTTATACAGAGACCAGACAATTAAATCACCTTTTTAAAACCAGACTGTCCAAAGAATAACTGTTTGTATTTCACTATACAATTCCTAACATTGTCATCAAAATTAAAGGGCAATGCCTTTATACCTAAAGGGTCACACGACCTCATACTTATGACCTAATATAAGTATGCACAACTTCATTATCTTAACAGGTACATGCACGTCAAACTTGGCAATTTCGTATTTGAAGTTTTTTATCAGAAATATCCAAGACAATGTGAAAAATTGCAGATAAAGGGCAATAACTCTGTGTAGTTTCAGTCCAAATACATAATGAGTCAATAACCAACTTAGATTTATTATTCATCATTAGCAAAATTTACTCATGGCATATAATAGATAAGATAAACCAAGGTGATACGACATCAATACCATTGAGTGATTGATAAACTCGATAACAACATCACAACTGAAAGAATTTTCATACACTGGAAACAAAATGGTGGCTGACCTTGTTCCAGTAGACAGTGACTTGTGAGAAGTTGTCCTCATCAGCAGTTTCGTATCGCTGAACATCACCAGTGATAGAGAAAGGACTCTCCAAGAATTGTTTGTTGTCCAGTGGACCAGAGAAACTGTTGGGGAAGTAGTTTGGTGCATTACCTAGGAAGAAATTCATGAATACATTCAGCAACCTGACAATTTGAGGAAGTATATAATAAACATGATACTGGTGATACAATTCAAGTTGTGATCTAATTACCATAATGCTTGAAATTTATCGGTTAAAATTATGTATCTCCTATATCACTTCCAGTGGCCAAGCAGCATTGACGGCCAACTAACATAAACAAAATTGAATGTAAAGGTTAAAGGGCAAGTAGCTTTCAAGTGTCAAGAAAAAGTAATTGTGACATTGATGATAGTAAGCCAGTGTCCATACCTGCATACCATCAAAACAGTCATCCTATACTGATAATTCTTACATAGTCAATTCCAGTGGGAAATAAACGTTATGCTCATAAATGCAATTTCTTTATAAAAATAACAGTAAACTCCTCCCCACGATGTAGTACCCATTTTGGTAATTAAAACACCTGAAGATGCTTCCATCCCAGAAGAGTTTATGATTCTACCATATCTGGGTGTTCAGAAGATGATTGATTTTTTAAATTTAGGTCAATTTGACCACTTTTGGCCCCCACCCCTCTGCCCCTGGGGGTCAGCCAGGATCAATATGGGCACAACATCAAGCTGTCACCATTCACTCATAATTCAAACCAAGTTTGAACTATTTCCAATGGAATAAAACAAATTAGGCACAAAATCTATTTTTCCTACATGAAGTATAGTCAATTTTATCCTTCCACATGCAGAAATGTGAGACCCTGGGGCCATGAAATTCCCAATTTTGGTAAAGCACCTTAAGATGCTTCCATCAAATAAGAGCATTTGATTCTACCATTTTTTCATTAATTTGAGTCAATTTTACCGTTTTGGCCTCGTCCCTCAGGCCCTAGCGGGGTGGGGACAGTATAATGAACTATATCAGTTCATCTAAGGCCAGGGAAAGTTTCTGCAAAATATCATTGAAATCAGGTCAGGGGTTTTTGACAAGAAGTCAAGAATGTTAAATTGTTTACAGACGCATAATGCCGAATAATGGTTATCACAATAGCTCACTATGAGACTTTGTTTCAAAACAGCTATTCCAATATTCTGTCAAGACTGATAAATTAGACAAAATTTATCATCCACAGGTTTGTCACAAAAATCAAAAGAACTAAGACAAATCTATTTACCCTGAATATAGAGGTCAGTATGCTAGCCTCCTACTTAAAATTACTGACTTTGAAGTGTTCAGTATGTAACTTTCAGAGCCTATAGATATATACTAAAAGTCCACTTATTCTGACTACAAATATTCGTGTTATGTGTCATGAAATGAAATTTGAGATGTTTTGATGTCACAGCCTATACAAAGTGTCCAAACTGCCAAGGTTTGAGTGTAAAAAACTTGTTCTTATGCCATCATGCTATCACAATATCTCCTGTATATGTTGTGATCGCTGATACTACTATGGAGGATGTAAACAATGACCTTGGTTGTCGCCCACACACTGTGGCCCATCACGCTGGTAGTTCTTGGCCTTGGTGTTGAAGGGACAGTTGACGGCTAGTTGGAGGTAGTTACTACCCAGTCTGTGACGGTGGGTGTCCGAGTAAGAGAACAGACGTCCCTAAAACAAACATAACAACATATGGTTACTCTTGTAATATTTCAATATTGGATATACATTCTTTAACAAACAATTACAATGAAACACATAAGTCTATGCTTGCTAATCTCAAATAATTTTTCTGTGCTACAATCACATGTATATTTTCAAATACCTTATTAATATATCGCCATAAAATTGGCTTCGGGTTCAGGAAACTTTTAAACGATCACAATTGCCCCTTTTAAGCCCCACCTTTGGTTACACAAATTTCAACACCTTAACTTTTGTTTCCTTCCATTTCAAATTTCCCACAGAAGAAGTATTACTTATATTAACATCATACCTGTAACATTTTATCAGGACTAGCCTCGATACCAGGAATCATGTGAGCAGGTGAGAATGCAATCTGTTCAACCTCTGCAAAGTAGTTCTTGGGATTTCTGTTAAGTACCATCCGTCCGACTGGGATCAGAGGGAACTCTCCTTGTGGCCATATCTAAAACATCACAGACATTGAATATGATTGCTGTCAGTTCTAATAAACAACACAGTATATAGTGTCTGACCTCAACACCTCTTCATATCAGCACTCAATACTCCTAAAGAGTGGGAGCTATGATGGGAATATAGTCTTAAGGTCCAAGAAGAATGCTTACTTTTGTAAGATCAAATGGATTGTATCTGAATTTCTCTGCCTCATCAAAGGTCATGACCTGGATGAAGAGTGACCATGAGGGGAAGTTACCCTCTGAGATAGCATTGAAGAGATCCCGGATAGCATAGTCAGGGTCAGACTTGGACAGTTCTGCAGCTTGGTCAGCCATCAAGTTCTTGATGCCCTGGTCAGTCTGTCAAATTACAACAAAGAGAAGTAGCTTTAAGGATTTATATAGGACTAAGGCTATATGACATATGTATCCAGTTGGGTACTTTTAAGACCAATATAAGTAAATATGTATGTTAATTGCATCTGATTGTTCTTTTTTCTCTCAAAAATGCACTTTGCATTATCTAAGAAAATTTAAGTACATTTAAGTAATGATTGAAAAGTTGATGTAACACAAGAAAAAAGAATGATCTAACATCAAACTTGATCTCAGATTCTATTCAAAAAGAACTATATGATCAATAGGGACTTCTGAATAGCAACCCAAAATATTTGGTTTTCTTCATTGTTTGAAAGGTGATAGAAGAAATATTTTTTTAATAATGCATGATAACTAGGAATGTTTACCTTAAAGTGGAATTTACAGTACACAGGTGTGCCCTCTTTGTTGACCATCTTGAATGTGTGACTTCCGTAGCCATTCATTCGTCTGAAGCCGTCAGGTGTTCCTCGGTCAGAGAATAAGAAGGATACTTGGTGCGTGGTCTCTGGCCGCAGTGAGATGAAATCCCAGAACATGTCAGGGTCCTGGTCAAACAACAAATGATAACAAATAAGTAATTTCAGTTGGGAAAACAAAATATGCCATTCAGCTGCAAAAATCTCAAAAAAAATACTAAGCATTTATAAATTTTGATTAAGAAATTTTGTAGACAAATTGACCTCATTATGAGCTTAGTTACACTTCATACCCTGGTGGTAGGTTATATAAAGTTTCTGAAGCATCATCCTCTAAATTCTAAAACTAAATTTGAAATATTTCCTCTACAAGATAAACAAGCTATTCATTACTCAAAAGTGTTTCTTTAAAAATAGATCATGTTTGGCCCAGCCCCTCATTTATGTAGACCCAAACAACAGCATAAAAATGGTAATTTACCTTCAGATGAGTCTGCGGATTTCTCTTCTGTGTGTGAATAAAATTAGGGAACTGGAAAAGAAAAGTAGAACAGAATGAAATTAAAACTTCCATGTTTTATCTCAGTTACCTAAAAAAGAAAAACTAGATCACAGCTACAATTATTTCAGCAAACTACTGGACTACAAACAAATTGGATGCAATGACTTTTCTTTATAATATTTAAAGTGATTCAATATCATAAAAATTTTACAGGCTTTCAACCAAAACAGGCCAAATATCATGACGTAAGCCATGTGTTAGCTACCTAAATAATTAAAATGAAGACATTAAGAGTGTTTGATATTAACTATACTGTAAAAGTGATTAAAGGATATTCCTTCAAGCAAGGTACTGGCCAATTCCAAGATCATTACAATCAGCTCTGGTTTAAAACAGGTCTGACAGTCGACCTACCAACATTGGGTCACGGATGAAGAAGATGGGTGTATTGTTGCCAACCAGATCCCAGTTTCCATCTTCTGAATAAAATTTAACCGCAAATCCTCTGGGGTCACGCGCAGAGTCTGCAGACCCACTCTCTCCTCCTACAAACCAAGAAAGACGTCATGGTTTTATTTGAAATTTTTTGATCTTTTTCAAAAAAAAAAGCATTATCAATAGAAATACAAATTTAAAATAGCAAAATACTGGATACAATCATTTTGACATTTATCCAGCATTAAGCCCATGTCTGCTAATAAGCCCACACAAATACATGGCTACATTGGTATGCATCACTAACAGATGGTATAGCATTGTCCTGCAATTAGCCTGGCCCCTGCCTAAGAGTCAAAGGTTGTATTCATCCCTTAGCTTATAGCAGCAGTCCGCTATTAAATTGCTGTCTTATTAACTGGCAATATTTCTTTTTTCCCTTCATACACCAAGAACTCTCTTCCTTCAAAACCACCACTACCCACTATGATTTTGCCTTTATTTCAGGTATACCTACCAACTGTTGAAAAACGGATGCCCACAGGAGTCTTCTTCCCGACAAATTCAAATGGCTTGGCCTTACAGTACTTTGTGATGTCATGGGTCACTTCAAAGTATCCAAAGGCACCTGAACAACACAAAGCATGAACTCTACAGATACATTTACATATCATATACACACAGATTTATCATGACAACAAACAATATTATATCTCTCTTTCAGTATACACTGCTTTTGTCTCTTGTCTTTGGTAGGTTTTCTTTTTTTTGTATTTAATTTTCTACTTGGTAGATTTTGGGTAATATAGCATAGTACAGATGAACTGAATCAATACTGTTATGGCTGATTCTGTGAATTCTTTTCAGCTTGTATTTTTTTTTATTAGCAATTTACTCCTGATAATGTGAACTGACATCAGCACTCATCTCCTCTTTTATGCTTTTGATCAGAATACCATATCTTACGCTTAATCAAAATTTTATAACATGATTGTGTTTATTTTTTTCATGTCTAGCCATTGAATGTAATGGTCTTGGGAGGGGGTCTAAATTTGTTATATGTTATGATAGTAGGCATAGAGAAAAATAATAGCAAAGGTCATAATTGTTTAATAAACTGTTGATTAAAATTTTCTTTCGTAAATTACCTGTGTACAGGATAAACTGATAAAAGACATCATTACATTTAGTTCAATCTGCATTACAATGTACAATGCAAGACATTTGGATGCCTAAAGTATAGATAACAGTAAAAAATCTAGATAAGACATACACAATCTTGTCCTATTTTCTACTTTGCACTGTTGATTACGGTAAACATCCACAAATTTTGCAGTTTTTTTCAACATGTTGCTATTGCATAAATGCCCAAAGCTATGGAAAAGAAAACAAAAAAATTATAGAAACATTTTTTTTGAAAGTTTACTCATTCATTTTTATTATTGAAAATAAAACTGATGAAAATATTTGAAATAATTTCATATAATCTGAACAGTGTCAGTTTTGAATACTTAAAATAGAATGGCAGATTTACATAAATAAATCTAGATTGATCTCTGTTACATATTCTGTTATCAAATCAATTGTAAATGATTCCTTATTTAACATGTAATATCTACACATATGGGACAGTTATATAAACTTATGATTACAATTTGTGACCATCAAAATCTTATAAATAGATACAAGGCTATATAGCTGTGTTATCACCAACTTCTGTACAGGTAAACAGCTGATACATAATCAAGGTCAATGTCTCCCTGACGCTCTACCTAGTTTTATGTAACTCTATACCACATACACATATTCAGTCCCTAGGTATATATACATGGTCAGATTTCTCTACTGGTATTGTCCAAAATTCATCCAGGAGAAAGAATTCTCTCAAGTGTGACACAAAATGAAAATTATAAAGAGGAATGAGCTATCTTTTCCTGTCCATGGTCAATTCAGCCATATATGATTCTACACAATAGTTTCTTCTAAATTAACGAATAACAAAGTTTTAATGTAAATTCATCTCAGTGTTGAGACAGTAGGGACAAGACCAGCTAAGGGTACATTAACACTGAAGTAACAACATAGAAGTAAGAATTATTATATATTATAAAAATGTTTCAGTTTAAATAAAAGATATAACAAAATCATTCTTGTTGATTTTTTCATCAATTTTGATCAAATAAAACCTAAATGTTTATCGTTGCTTTTTTTCATAATGTTTTCTTCTTCAATAGTTTTTTTTTATCATTAAAAAAGTTGTGTATATCTGGCTCTGAAACATCTTAATAAACCTGTAGAAAAATAGCACTGTCTACTTCACCTGGTAATTGTGGTAACAACATAAAAAACATTTGTTTTAATATGTGTATAAGATCACTGCAGCCATATTTACAAAGTAAAGTCCTGTCTAATTGACAGAAGCCAAGTCAGCTACCTTGGATTTTAGAATCAACAAGAAAATTAAGGAGTCTAATGACATTATAAGGCATATTTATAACAAGTTTGGAGACAATCAATTCTGCAGTTAAAACTGTGTGGTCAAATCTTAAAGGATGACATAAGAAGATCAACAGAGTTTAGAGGAAGCTGTATCATGTCTACAAATATAACGGATTTATAGATATTAATATCTGCCAATCACTGGCCGTGACTGATAATTTACATAACTTATTGGAACATTTAAAGTTCGAGTCATCACACAAAAAAACATTTAATTTATTTGAAGTTGTGAGCAATATCTTACACAATGAAGTCAGTGTCCTATCATAAACTGTTTGTGTATTTGTGCAAGAGATGGAGGTGCACAAGTAGTCCTAATTTGTTTTGTTAATTATTGACTACAACAAGTGATTTGTGCTGTTCAAGCTGCTTCTAGTCAATAGCATTTTGTCTGAACAGTTTAGCTAGATCATCTTGTTCATTGCTTCAACAGAATTAATGTCTGTTGTGGTTAGAATATCTGTACAAAACAGTTTTTCTTAGACATCTGGCACAAGTTTTTATCTCAAATTTCACTTTGACAGTGTTGTTTTATATCTTGACATTATATATGACCCTGGTAAATATAGGCTGCAATATACCAATAAGGCAGTAACATCTTCTTTTTAGTTAGATTAGCTGAGCCAGGCTAGTAAACCACAAGTTTCAAGTTCAAACCTAGGGGAGGCATTGAAATAAATGACCTCTCAGATTACTACAGTTGGGACAAAGAAAATATTGACAAAAAACATCATTACTATAACTCATGGAAAGCTAAAGAATAAGTGTTTTCCTGAAAGAGGTATGTAAATACTAGCTTCTACTGGTGAAATATACCACTATAGAACTTCTCTCAAGCTTGATATGTCCACTGTAAGACTAGTTAAACTAGAGGTCCTGGGCTCGATGTAAATGAGTGTTATTTTAATGATAATGTTCTGAAGTGCTTCTATCATTATTTTTAATATTTGTGTTATCTAACTGATGACAATCAATAAATTGTATAGAAATCAAAGCATTTACATATTTTTTTTCTCATTTTAACCTTTCTATGTTTATTGATTATATTCGAGTGACTGATTCTCTATAACTTTCTGGTTACCAGGTATTTAATATTTAAGTTGCTAGAAACTCTGCTTGATTAAATCAAAATTTTTATTAAAACTTACTATCAGCTTAAATCAAATATACTGAATGATGAAGTCAAGGATGAGAATGAATAAGGGATAAGCACTAACCTCCTCCCTTGGCATGGACAACTCGTTCTGGGATTCGTTCCCTGTTGAAGTGGGCCATTTCATCCGTAAAGGTGAAATCCTGAATAAGGACAGGTCCTCTTGGCCCAGCGGTCAGGGTAGCTGTCTTAGTGCCCACTGGGGCACCTGTTCCTGTGGTCAGCACATCGGGCTTCTACAAAAGCCAAAGGCATCAAATTTATTTTGGTGAACAATCCAATTATGAAAACATTATAAAATCACTAATTATTGCTAACAGAGTACAAGTGAAGAGACAATCAATACTGCTGGTACATAGTGACAAACAAGGCCTTTGTCATTCAGCAATGAGGCTGAGCTTCTTTGGCACAATTTCTTGAGCCTGCATTACCAACAGCATTGATTCTGTGAGTTTTCTTCAATGTCTTGCTGTCAAATCATGCTCACACCAGCTCTGTATTTAAAGCAATCTGTATACAGAACACAGCATACTGGAATGTGTATTGTCTCACTTCAAACTCACTGAAAAGTCAATGTTAACTTCTGCCAATAACCTGACATTTTTTACAAGCAAAAATGGTTTCTAAGTTATCATATCAAAATAGACATATTTTCAATACTCCCAAACAGGACATTACCGATCCAGCGTCTCTGGCAATGGTAGGATGTTTTTAGCACTTCATCATGGTTATAAATTATCAACTCTGAACATTATAAAGCCTTACTAATTTGATAAGCATAATTTCTTAAACTTTGAACTGGTTTAACAATATTAATTCAAATATGTTTGGACTAACCAAAGGTTATCTTACAGTGATGAGCACCTTCATCAAGTCGTTGATCATGTCTTGTGTTACTGTAGTGTAGGCCAAGAGAAAATAAGATAGAAGATAGTACATGCGATTCGACACGACCAAACGAAAAAAAATAGTATATGTATTTGTATGTGTATAGATTCTAAGTCGTGCTATAATAACTTAGTAAGACTGCTGAAACTGAATTGTGAGAAAAAAATATATCACTTTAAAGCATGCATAATAAAGTCGACGTGACCGCTCTACTTTTTCTGCAGAACTGTGTCACACTCAAGTTCGCACGAAGCAGTACTGTACCGATTGGGCTTTCTTGAATTCTGCCAGTTGGTTTGTAGCTTTGTCTCTGCCTGCCATCTTTGCTATATTCTGTCAGCTCCAAACTGCGTATGTGCTTCTAAATCGTGTCGAAGTTCACAGAACTTCCAGCAGCTTACACCTTAAGTAACCCGTTGATTATATAAATCGGTTAGACCAAGGGTCGTTCCGAAACATTCCGAATGAAATAACACGAACCATTCTAAGGAAAAAGCCAGAGATATTCCAACAAATTGGAAGTCACCTGCAAAGGAGGCGAGAAAATACTCTAATCGATAATTTTAGCAGACGCCGTGTTGTCACGACCTTTTTAGACGCCTTTATCAAATGCTTTACTTCTTACAATTTATTTTGTAATCGCTGTTACTGGATGGATCTTTGTTAGTGTTCACTTGAGGGTCCACACAGGTTCCTAGTTGTGACCATTTGTTTTGTTATTTTAGACAGATCACGTAAAGACAACGGCCGACAGACACCCAAGCCCACGGCGACTGCCGAACAAATACAAGTAGAATATGACAAGGTGGTCAATTTTTTTTTACTTGATCGACGATATCCGCCAAGTAAATATTGGTCAATCCAAGTACCGTAACCTATGTCTTGAAATCTGCCAGTTGGTTTGTAGCTCTGTTTCTTCCTGTTATTTTAGCAAAGATGCCAATATTTATTATATCACGTTCTCAAATGAGAAGAAGGTATACAGCAGCGGAACCAAGGGGGAAACACGCTCGCTAAACTGATAGATTGTGTGGCTATTGTATCAATGAAATTCCGTGATGAAAAAAGTCACTCCAGCAATACGCATGATAAGCCAGATAATATTTGCATTCCTAAAGGTTCTGTACTTTGGTTCTCGTTTATCTACTAATGATTTGGTAAGCAGATTATTCCGCTGCTTATTTGTTATAATTCGCCATCTGTAATAAAATAATAAAGCAACTGTCTGCTTTTTTATATCACTTACAGTTACTATAAAACGCCACATGTACTTTGGAATGCATACAACATGTAGAGGATATTTCGTTACAAGTCTGTTGCTCAAATCGGAGCCTTATATCACTGATTTAAATGTATTTGTCGACAAACTTGTGGAAATTATTTCTCGATACGTGTAAATCGTCACTGAATGTCATCTACTGGAAAGGTTGTCTGTTTGGAAAACTAGAAAATGAAAACGGTTTTTGTTAAGAATGATTCAATCAATCTACAATCACACGGAATTCCAACATTTGAATGTATTAGATATCTATCCTTTCCATATCCTATCGTATTTATATATCATGAGCACACAGACATTGTAATGTTAAAGATATCCAACAACATTATAGTATATACATGTATCTTTTTTATGTATAATAATGCGTCTTCACCAGTCGGTTCAATACACTGATAAAATATATCAAACAGTGCCTAGTGACTTATTAGATATGTGTCATAGGAGGAGAGGGGAGGGGCGGGAGTTAGGGTTGGGGTGGGGATGTGTGTGTGTTTAGGGGGGGTGTTATTATACCAATCTGACAACAGTGCAGTATACTTTAAAATGATTTATTTAAATTATTAATCTACGATGAGATTGATAAATCCTAGGTATTTCGTTATGTACAAACAACAGGAGGAATGTATTTTATTTTCAAGTTTTTTTTATTTGAAAATGAATATAGGATAAAAGAAGAATTCGTAATAAAATGAATGATTTTTCAGTGATATTTTCTTGTCATTTTCAATGCAAATATGGAAATATCGAAATATTTTATCTCAAGAAGATTTGGCCAAACTTTGCGAATAAAAAGACTCACGGACGGACAGGGAAAGATGTGCTGACAGATTCTTTACAGACATACCAAATCTCGATCTTACACACATAGATGTAGTATCTCAATCTTACACACAGTAGATGTAGTATCTCAATCTTACACACAGTAGATGTAGTATCTCAATCTTACACACAGTAGATGTAGTATCTCAATCTTACACACACAGATATAGTATCTCAATCTTACACACAGTAGATGTGATATCTCAATCTTACACACAGTAGATGTGGTATCTCAATCTTACACACAGTAGATATAGTATCTCAATCTTACACACAGTAGATGTAGTATCTCAATCTTACACACAGTAGATGTAGTATCTCAATCTTACACACAGTAGATGTATCTCAATCTTACACACATAGATGTAGTATCTCAATCTTGCACACATAGATATAGTATCTCAATCTTACACACAGTAGATGTAGTATCTCAATCTTACACACAGTAGATGTAGTATCTCAATCTTACACACATAGATATAGTATCTCAATCTTACACACAGTAAATGTAGTATCTCAATCTTACACACAGTAGATATAGTATCTCAATCTTACACACAGTAGATATAGTACCTCAATCTTACACACAGTAGTATCTCAATCTTGCACACATGATAGTATCTCAATCTTACACACATAGATATAGTATCTCAATCTTACACACATAGATGTAGTATCTCAATCTTACACAAAGTACATGTAGTATCTCGATCTTACACAGAGTAGATGTGATATCTCGATCTTACACACAGTAGATGTAGTATCTCAATCTTACATACAGTAGATGTAGTATCTCAATCTTACACACAGTAGATGTAGTATCTCAATCTTACACACATAGATGTAGTATCTCAATCTTACACACATAGATGTAGTATCTCAATCTTACACACAGTAGATGTGATATCTCAATCTTACACACAGTAGATATAGTATCTCAATCTTACACACAGTAGATATAGTATCTCGATCTTACGCATAACTGATGTGACATCTGAATCTTACACACAGTATGGGGAATTAATCAAGCTGGAAACGCCTCCTTTGGCTAGTTTGGTGACAAACCTGACTTACCAATGGACGTTCGCGAAAATTTGATGTACAAACGCATGTAAACACACAGATAAATTATATTTCCCATATCCATGTGCCTTGTTAAACAAAATAACACAAAACAGTTTTGTTTTTTTATTCTGTCACCTCATAGAAAAATAATTTATTATTACTTTCAGTTATCACAATTTTTTCCTGATAAATTTAGATATTTTACATAGTTTGTACACAAACCTAGTATTCATAATTTTTTGTTATTTTCACTAGCATTAAGTATGTGCATATTTTCAATGGAGTATTTTAAACACTGCCCATGACCTCAGTGTATTTTTGTTCTGTTTTTTTTTTCAAACAACAATTGTGAAACTGGTGATATACAGCATTCACACGGAACAAATGAGATTTTTTACATCGTTTTGAAGGCTGTTTACTCCATGTTTATGACAAAAGTAAAGAAAATTAAGATCTGCTTGGGATGTATAATTCTGTTATAATTCACTGATTTGGGTTGTCATTCTCTTTGAACTTTGACCTCTAGGTAAGCTATATCTTACAAGTAGGTTATGGGCAGATTGACTCCAGCCAATGAAAAAATACAAATTCAAGTGAAAGAAGATAACACTTCCTGTAGTAGTATAAATTCTGTTGAGTTTCTGATTATCATGCTGTATGGTTATAACCTCTATTTCAATATACGAGTCAAAATAGAATCTGTCATAGTTTTATTATTTGATAAAAAATGACTCATGTTGTTTATCATTTTGTCAATTATTTTCATTTCTCATTCCTGAATTTTAAAAAATACAAATGCATCGACTTGTAAATAAGAGTACTGTGATATATCATGTACTGATTATGTATATCTGTTTATATATATTATGTGCGATTTTGTAATTAGTAAAACAATTCAAAAACATCTATACGTATTAGGTGTTAATGAATGGTTTCGTGTATAAAAATACCTGGTATTTTGTTGATGTTTTTAACATAAGATAATATTACTTGTACACTATTTCAATGGAACACTTTTCTGTCAATGTGTTTTTTTAAAACTTTATCTACAACAGAGTGGCTGTTTTTCTTCGTGAAATAAAAAAAATGAAGCAATGAAATTGATAACATGTCCAAATTAATATCCGGGTAACTAATGGTGAAGTGTCTTCACCGTTCAGCAACCGCGACATCACTAATGGTGAAGTGTCTTAACCGTTCAGCAACTACAACACCACTAAAGGTGAAGTGTCTTAACCGTTCAGCAACTACAACACCACTAATGATGAAGTGTCTTCACCGTTCAGCAACCGCGACACCACTAATGATGAAGTGTCTTAACTGTTCAGCAACTACAACACTACTAATGATGAAGTGTCTTCACCGTTCAGCAACCGCGACACCACTAATGATGAAGTGTCTTAACTGTTCAGCAACTACAATACCACTAATGATGAAGTGTCTTCACCGTTCAGCAAATGCAACACCACTAATGATGAAGTAATTTTTTAAGGATAATAAATACGACCAATCGCGGCCAACTTTAGAAAATGATTATACCATTGTGTAAAAGTTTTATGAAACAACTTTTAGTACAACGAAGATTTGGCGGTATAGTTTTACCTGTTGATGGTATTTTCACCTAATTTTCTGGAATGACCCTAATATAAGGGTTACTGATGATGAAGTGATCTACTTAATATAAGGGTTACTAATGATGAAGTGATCTACTTAATATAAGGGTTACTAATGAAGCGTCCTGTAGTTCATATCTGCGTTTACTGAAGAAAAAGCTCCGAGTGGATATCTGTTACTACTGATGAAGTGGTCTAGATATATCTGAGTCACTGATGACTAAGAAGCCTAGTTTTTAGGATTTTTTTTAAATCTCAGCGAAGCACATCACTGATGATGAACTGCCCAATGTCAACATCCGGGTCACTGATGAACTTGTATTCCCTAAACCAGTTCTTGTCAGGAAAAGCTGAACAGACTGAAATGCAGAAAAAATATTTTTGATTTATTCTTTTATCATTGCTGGCCTAATTCAGTTTATAACTACGACGTGTAGGCTAAAGCCTATATAGTAACTACAGCCCAGTCATTTCTCGTTCACTTTAATCGCCTTTTAAACAGAACTTTGCAGGCATTTCATAATCCAATTTACAATAAAGATTTTTACCTGGTATTTGATAATCACGAACGTTTTAAACTTCCTTTCCTTGGATGATCTTTATCAAATATTGCTGTTTTCAATAGCAGAAAAAGTGTTTGGTGTGAATCAATAAATATTGTCATCAAATCAAATATACATTGTACAACCAAAAGTTAAAGGAGGGATGAGCAATTTTGACCTTCGCTAAGCCAACGGCAACTAAACCGTTCTATTTGAAAATGTGCCGTGTCATCTTTGAGGTGTACAAAGTCTTTTGATTTCCCAAGGTAACTTATTCTATAATAAAGTATGTGGTTAGCATGTTGCTAGCTCCGAATTTGTCTGACATTTCACTGACTACATTTATATTCAATCTTCGGAGTCAATGGCTAAAACGTTGATAGAACGCCAGAATAATTCCGACTAACCCGGTCTCAAGAAGAATTTATAAAAGTCATAACAACACAGATTTAAGCTAAGACACAAGACAGCCAGACAATGCACCAAACAGCTGTTTCATCACTCTATAACTCGTCAATGATGTTCTAGTCTAAAGTGTTGATACCTAGGAGGCGAAAAATCAAAGTACGGAGAGGTCGAAAGAAATGTCCGGGAAAAAAACAAAAGAAAAACCAAAAAAATCCGGATTGGAAGGTGCATAATTGTCAACATTATCTACATTATATAAAATGACAAATTAAACAAGTAAAGAGTACAGGCTGATGGATTACCTATTTCTTGTAAGAGTTCAATAGTTTCTGAATACCCCCTCCAAAGTCAGGATGGACCTGCGTGAAGTTGTGTACTGTTCTCTTTTGAATAAATTCTTGGGCATCCTTCAAGTGGGTTGCAATGTTTTCGACCAAACGTTGACGCTCCGCTAGCGTCAGTACCTGTAAAACAAGAATGTTTATTTGATACCCAGCACTCTAGAAAATCCTCAATATGTTTTGTGAATGTTTCATAGAATTTAATCTAAAAATAGAAATGAAGTGCCTAAGAAATTTCCAAAATGGCTGTAGCATTTCAATAGACCGCGATTCCCGGACAAATTAAAGGACTGTAACTATGTATATTATGTGATCAAATTTCAGCAACACATCCCTAGAGATATTCGTATGCAAACATTACTTCGTTTCCAGTAAGAAAATTTCTTGCATTGTAGAATTTTTGTTTTTGACGTTCAGGAAATATTTAAAACTTGATTGAGATGTCTTAATCGCTTACCAAACAAAGTATCATTTTAGAAGAACTGACAGTGTGATAGATTTGGCCTTAGTCAACAATAATGAGTAAGTCATTACACTTACAGTGTAATAGATTTGGCCTTAGTCAACAATAATGAGTGAGTCATTACACTTACAGTGTAATAGATTTGGCCTTAGTCAACAATAATGAGTGAGTCATTACACTTACAGTGTAATAGATTTGGCCTTAGTCAACAATAATGAGTGAGTCATTACCATTACAGTGTAATAGATTTGGCCTTAGTCAACAATAATGAGTGAGTCATTACACTTACAGTGTAATAGATTTGGCCTTAGTCAACAATAATGAGTCAGTCATTACACTTACAGTGTAATAGATTTGGCCTTAGTCAACAATAATGAGTAAGTCATTACACTTACAGTGTAATAGATTTGGCCTTAGTCAACAATAATGAGTGAGTCATTACACTTACAGTGTAATAGATTTGGCCTTAGTCAACAATAATGAGTCAGTCATTACACTTACAGTGTAATAGATTTGGCCTTAGTCAACAATAATGAGTGAGTCATTACACTTACAGTGTAATAGATTTGGCCTTAGTCAACAATAATGAGTGAGTCATCACCATTACAGTGTAATAGATTTGGCCTTAGTCAACAATAATGAGTGAGTCATTACACTTACAGTGTAATAGATTTGGCCTTAGTCAACAATAATGAGTCAGTCATTACACTTACAGTGTAATAGATTTGGCCTTAGTCAACAATAATGAGTGAGTCATTACACTTACAGTGTAATAGATTTGGCCTTAGTCAACAATAATGAGTGAGTCATTACCATTACAGTGTAATAGATTTGGCCTTAGTCAACAATAATGAGTGAGTCATTACACTTACAGTGTAATAGATTTGGCCTTAGTCAACAATAATGAGTCAGTCATTACACTTACAGTGTAATAGATTTGGCCTTAGTCAACAATAATGAGTCAGTCATTACACTTACAGTGTAATAGATTTGGCCTTAGTCAACAATAATGAGTGAGTCATTACACTTACAGTGTAATAGATTTGGCCTTAGTCAACAATAATGAGTGAGTCATTACCATTACAGTGTAATAGATTTGGCCTTAGTCAACAATAATGAGTGAGTCATTACACTTACAGTGTAATAGATTTGGCCTTAGTCAACAATAATGAGTAAGTCATTACACTTACAGTGTAATAGATTTGGCCTTAGTCAACAATAATGAGTGAGTCATTACACTTACAGTGTAATAGATTTGGCCTTAGTCAACAATAATGAGTAAGTCATTACACTTACAGTGTAATAGATTTGGCCTTAGTCAACAATAATGAGTGAGTCATTACACTTACAGTGTAATAGATTTGGCCTTAGTCAACAATAATGAGTGAGTCATTACACTTACAGTGTAATAGATTTGGCCTTAGTCAACAATAATGAGTCAGTCATTACACTTACAGTGTAATAGATTTGGCCTTAGTCAACAATAATGAGTCAGTCATTACACTCACAGTGTAATAGATTTGGCCTTAGTCAACAATAATGAGTAAGTCATTACACTTACAGTGTAATAGATTTGGCCTTAGTCAACAATAATGAGTGAGTCATTACCAAACTGAAGCATTGCTTTTACATTTTATTAAAGACGGTGAGTTATTACCTTGTTCCAGAAGTCGGTAACTTGTGAGAAGTTGTCCTCGTCCTTAGTCTCATACCTTTGAACATCACCAGTGATTGTGAATGGACACTCATTTAACTTTACGTTGTCCTGTGGTCCGCTGAAACTATTCGGGAAATAATTTGGTGCATTCCCTGAAAAGAAATTCATAAATAATTATATACATGTATCTTAATTGACAAAATTCACTACGTTGACAATTTGATGTATTTCAATAAAAAATAATAATAAAATGACGATATCTTTAAAGGAATATCTAGGGAACATGCCGACACTCAAGATATTTCCAAGTCCAGGTGAAATAATTGAAAACGAAACCTTCAAATATCAAATGTGCTTTATAGCTAGTCATTTCTATTCTCGTAATTTTTGAAATAATTAACATTCAAAATATGCTATATGAAATATTTCATTTCTTTGTAATTTTGTTCAGAAACCAGGGTAAAATTGTTAATACAAAACTACAAACATTTATATGTGTAATACAATACTACAAACATTTATATGTGTAATACAATACTACAAACATATATATGTGTAATACAATACTACAAACATTTATATATTAATACAGTACTACAAACATATATATGTGTAATACAATACTACAAACATTTATATGTTAATACAATACTACAAACATATATATGTGTAATACAATACTACAAACATTTATATATTAATACAGTACTACAAACATATATATGTGTAATACAATACTACAAACATATATATGTGTAATACAATACTACAAACATTTATATATTAATACAGTACTACAAACATATATATGTTAATACAATACTACAAACATTTATATATTAATACAGTACTACAAACATATATATGAGGCAAAGATGGAACTACATCTTGTATATTTGAATGTTTGAAACCAAAATTCCAACATGTATAAGGTGTGAAAATGTTCGGATATTTATATCAAAATATCTGAAAAATATTAATTCTGCATCAATTATGAAGTAAATTTATCAATACGCTGGCTTGAATGATTCAACATACACTAGGAAGAAACTGGAGAATCTTTGAAAAATAAGTCGAGAATGGAAGGCAAAATATCATCTTCCAGCTTTCAGTTTGTGCCAATTTGATCATGGTTTAAACAAATTCAAAGTAAATATCCTGAATTTCAACTATAACACTGCCCAGTCATTAACATACCTTGGTTGTCGCCTACACACTGCGGCCCATCACGCTGGTAGTTCTTGGCCTTGGTGCTGAAGGGACAGTTGACGGCCAGTTGGAGATAGTTACTGCCCAGTCTGTGACGGTGGGTGTCGGAGTAAGAAAACAGACGACCCTGTAACAATACCCATTACTGTGATAGATATTTGTTTTTGCGTGTTGGGTTTATTGTCCTGTTTAACAGATAGGATCATTTTGAGTTAAAGTCTTCACGAAGTAGCTGGTAGCTTACTAAATGAGCATCATGCAGAAGGGCCATCGCATGGTATTCAGAGCAGTATGGGGAAAGTTTCTAGCCATAGTGCGCAACTCAATAATCTCAGTTTAGGTCAGAGATCAAACCACACACCTCTGACCCCAGGTTGCAATCGTGACCCCATCCATTAAATAATGGCCATCATTTGAAACTGATACATCTGATACATCCATATATAGACATCTGAAGTGACCACTACCATACTTTCAATTATTTTTAATTAGTTTCAGTTTTGCCAGTAGATAAGATACTGGAGCACCATGTACCAAGTCACAAGTATTTTGCAGGGTCTTTATATGCATTGTTCAACTTATAGTCATACCTGTAACATTTTGTCAGGGCTAGCTTCGATACCAGGAATCATGTGAGCAGGTGAGAATGCAATCTGTTCAACCTCTGCAAAGTAGTTCTTGGGATTTCTGTTAAGTACCATCCGTCCGACTGGGATCAGAGGGAACTCTCCTTGTGGCCATACCTAAATCATATCATAAAACATTCATATTTATCATGGACTGACAATACAACAATTTATTTTAAGTCGCCTGTTGATACACAAAAAAAATCCTTTTATTCTGCTGTCTTACGATCATTTTTAGATGATATTCTTTCTGTTACAGAAATGTCTGTGATCAAACATTTACTGGTAAACCACAACGCAGCCACTTATACACAAAGCAGGTGCATCAATGGCAGAATACGCTTGTGACAGGTAAAATGTGTCAAAATATCATAATCGCCAATAAGCCCATGTCATGTAATAAGCCCACCACTTCTTGTTCAGTAGCATTTCCTACGATGAGCCAATCTCCTGAATTTAAATGTGAGGTGATGTATTGACAACCTGTGCTTATTGCATATGTACGGGTTAATAAACTTACCTTAGTGAGGTCAAATGGGTTGTACGAGACCCTTTCCGCCTCCTCAAAGGTCATAACCTGGATGTAGAATGTCCATGAGGGGAAGTTACCATCTTCAATAGCATTGAAGAGATCCCGGATGGCATAGTCGGGGTCAGTCATGGACAATTCTGCGGCCTGGTTAGCCATCAGGTTCTTGATGCCCTGGTCAGTCTATCAAATTATATCAAGGGGAAGTAATTCTAAACATTTGTACATGATACTTTATTAATTCACTTCTAAAATGAAAATATATTTGTTTATTTTTGACAACGAATGAAGTTTAAATTTAAACAAAACAAACAATGGTTATTCATTCAGTACTATAACTGTATTTTCGTGCGTACAAATTTTTCGTTCCAACAGTCTATTAAATTAAAAATAAGTTGACTTTTTACCTTCAAGATAAATTTACAGTATACAGGAACACCGTCCCCGTTGATCATCTTGAAAGTGTGACTTCCGTAGCCATTCATTCGTCTGAAGCCGTCAGGTGTTCCTCGGTCAGAGAATAAGAAGGATACTTGGTGCGTGGTCTCTGGCCGCAGTGAGATGAAATCCCAGAACATGTCAGGGTCCTGGTCAAACAACAAATAAATATATAGGAACAGACAGGAAAGATAAATAATTTATGTGGGGTATATCAACAGGTATATTTACAGGAAGAAACCTCTCCACGAACAGTTTTAGTCAAATTCTGTATTTGAAATATGTTTTTTTCTGGAAAACAACCTGTTCCGTAGTTTGAAGTCGTCGGTTCTCGTTTGCTGTATGCATGTTATGTGACAATTTCAGTCACGTGTTTCTACATGATGAATGGTATCACTGATATATTTGACTTTGAAATAAAAATGAATTACTAAAAATACATTTTAGACTGAAGATACCATTGCTTTCACTTAGAATTGGCTTCACTCTCCGATAATTTCTACGGCAAAAAAAACAAACTCATCGTAGATTTTGTTTAATGGTTATTAGCTAAACCATTAACACTAAACAAGTCGATACTTGTGTTCTCAATTTCATGAAATTATTTGACCCATTTGATTTGCCAAGACATGAAGGTCCTGGTCAATTACCTTATTTCACTACCTTTGCTAAATCTATTTATGAAGACTTTTCAACACTAAAATTTTGACTACTCCATTTAAATGGAGCAGTAAAGATTTCGCTTATTTCTGTCATTTTTTTTATATAATATCCAAAGTTTGACAAAAAAATTAATGTTGCAGTGACCTAATTACAGAATATAATACACTTTCTACTTGAATCTATGGAACTAGTGGGGGGACTTACCTTCAGATGGGTCTGTGGATTTCTCTTTTGTGTGTGGATAAAACTAGGGAACTAGAAAAAGAAAAGGAGGTCATTGAAATTGTGTGAGGTCACATTAGAAAGATCCAATAGGGCAAGTGAAAATAAAAAAAAAACACGTTTGGGTGTGAGAGAGAAGACCTCAGCACTCAGGATTAGATTAATCCGAAGCTGATTTTTTTTCCTAATCTTACCACTTTTGGTGAAAAAAATATCGGTCCCATCTCATTATGTACCATACTGCCCAAAGGGTACCACTTGGGGTGAAAAAAATATATTGGTCCCATCTCATTATGTACCATACTACCCTAAGAGTACCACTTGGGGTGAAAAAAAGATATTGGTCCCATCTCATTATGTACCATACTACCCAAAGGGTACCACTTGGGGTGAAAAAAAAAAGATATCGGTTCCATCTCATTATGTACCATACTACCCAAAGGGTACCACTTGGGGTGAAAAAAAAGATATCGGTCCCATCTCATTATGTACCATACTACCCTAAGAGTACCACTTGGGGTGAAAAAAATATCGGTCCCATCTCATTATGTAGAATACTACCCAAAGGGTACCACTTTGGGTGAAAAAAAAAGATATCGGTCCCATCTCAGTATGTACCATACTGCCCAAAGAGCACATATGGACAGGGTGTCAACTATCTCGATGTGCTTAAACTTTTTTGTTTGCTGTTAAATCATCATGTTTATATTACATTCAATATGTGAATATGGCATTCACTTTTCTTTGCATCATTGGAGGATGGGGGCGATGAGTAGTAGGAATTTCGTGGACAAATCTGCAGCTGTTTTATCAAACAATTTACAGGCAGATAGAAATTCCAGTATATACCCATGGTTTATCTGTGTTGGTGTATCTAAAGTGAGATATAAGATTAAAACAATTACAAATGAATATTGTTCTACATGCTACCTACAAACATTGGATCTCTGATGAAGAAGATAGGTGTGTTGTTGCCGACCAAATCCCAGTTTCCATCTTCTGAATAAAACTTGATGGCGAATCCCCGGGGGTCACGAGCAGTGTCGGCAGATCCGCTCTCTCCTCCTACAAACCCGAAACAGAACATTGGTTTGATTCTTCATCACATCATTACTTCAGCATTTTGTTGTTTAGATTTTTACCCAAAACGCAAGTCAAAATCATTCATTCTAATACATGTAAAAGGACCTTATCCAAACACCATATCCCAAATATTAAGACTTTTTATCTTTGGTTTTTCATTTACACATCTGAGTATATGACTTCCTACCTTTGAAATAAACAAACTTGGTAGCCCTTCATCCCATGTTGGCTGCATTTCGTATATATATACATATATATATAAACACTAAAACTCTTGTTTACAAGATCAATTAGAATGATTAACAACACATTTGACACACACGACTTTAAAAGAAGATTAAAATTATTGATTTAAGTAAACTTTATAGCGATGTGATGTTGGTGGGTTTATATCAGAGAATAGGCTTGTTGCTGAATAAAAATGAAATGATAAGTTTGCTCTCTATTAATGCAGTTGAGTTATATAATACAAATAGACTGGATTGCCTGTCGTAGTTTTGCTACTTCCCGCGTGGCTTCGCTTCGACGTTTCAACGAGCGCCTTCTAGTGGAGAAAAAAATGTACTAAGGTAGGTAATCCAACCCATGATACATGTAAAACTCAATAATTGTTTATGATAGTTAACTATAGACGAGAGGTAGGAGATATATATATACTGGCACCTTTGGAAGGTCTGCTATACTGTTCCAGTCTTATCACCTCTACAGTAAATCTTTTTATATGATGACCCTCATTGACAATAAATCAATAAATCTATATGTAATATACATCTGGTTGATCACCACACTGTAAAAACTCCACGTAACATTTGTCGTTTACCGTTGCCCCTCTTGTCTCTATATGCAATAAAACTGCTACCTAGTATATGTTATCTATAGGTAAAGTACAACCATGGTTTACGTCCTACATTTGTTAATAAAGAGTTTAATGAAATTTCGGAACATTTTTTCTCCTTGGTAACATCAATAGAATAGAAGGTCTTACAACGACCAGTACAAGATTAGAGTGTGATGTTTCGAAGACTAAATGGTCACCTTTATAAGACAAATGAAGCCTACTTGCAATGACCTACGTAGTATTGTGGAAACCTAGACAAAAGTAAACAAAATGTTGTTAATTTCAGTTATAGTACTTGGTGACTGGACATATGAAAGAAAAGGCTTGAAAGGTTGAATTATGCGCATCCACAATGTATCTTTTTTCCTCTCAAAAGGAAAGAGATGAACTTGGTTGAATACAGCATTAACGAATGCCTATGATTAAAGATTCATCTTGTTAGTCGATTTTAATACTTAATTCCACTTATACATACCAACTGTTGAAAAACGGACGCCCACAGGAGTCTTCTTTCCCACCGACTCAAATGGCTTGGCCTTACAGTACTTTGTGATGTCGTGAGTCACCTCAAAGTATCCAAAGGCACCTGAATACATAAGATAAAGTCAATGTTAGAATGGTAGTTTCCTTATATTATTTCATGATATACGTGAATTATGGTTTTCTTGATACAAGAATTTTGGATTATCTCCCCTTTCATTCCATCACTATTTGACTTCTACAGGGGCTATAATGCTCTGTAGCAATTCTAATTATTGTATAGTAAAAGGTATACATGTAATACTGATAATAGCATTTTTATTTCTTTTATTTGATCAGTTTCTTGCCGTATATCATTGACATTATTATATAGAAGATCGTAAATGAAGTTTTCATTTCGTTTGAGCGTTTATGACATGTGTGTTGGATGTTTTTTTTTTATTTTTGCGCGCCCTGATGTGCATAAGTTAAAACTGCTACACGAATTCCATAAAATTTCATTTAAAAGGAAAACAAATTAAAGGTAACTTTATCACATAACTAAGAATAAAAAAAAAATGAAAACAAAATTAAACAGCCATTTTGTTGCACAATTTTCAATTCATTACGTAATGTCTTAATCCATGTTATCACAACCGATTTCTGATTGGAAAACGCTCCAGGTTATATAACATTAATGATATATATAAATATCTAAACATTAGATATCTAAGTTTTATTCGTAAAAGAAATACGAGTGATTTCTTGAACATCTATAATAACTTATGTTTTTAAAAAAGAACTATGTTTAATGACATAAAAACATCTTATTGTCATCTTGCAAACTTGGCATCTGTTGACATTTAGCCTTTTGGTGCTGTATACTTGTCTAGTATCTTGTGAGATATAGGGAAATGAGGTAACAGAATCAGTGATACATATTCACTATTTATCACCATCAATAAACCAGGTTACGCGGTTTGTGATTATTGTCTATCAATTCTGTCAGAGATTTACTTCTGGCTACTTTGAAAAATAAGGCTACGAGTGATTAAGTGATAACCTTTTGCTACAGGTGGTATTCGACGCAAAGTGTTAATACTTTTTCAAATAGGCACACCAGCTGTAACTGATGTATGACGAAATGAGGTCACGTGGGAAAGTACATGTGAATGTATTTTGTTATTGAAACAGGATAATTATAATCGAAATTCAAAGTTATAAATTTTGTTGACCCTTTCTTTTGAATTAAACAGTTGGGGACTACATTAGAAACTTCTGTATGAGAGAACGTTAAAAAATAAATAAACGTTTTTAAAGGTTTGCAAATGTTAATAAAATGTATATATTTGATGTTTGAAGATAAAATAAAATATTACTTAAAGTAATTTCAAAGTAATATTGAGTAAAACTTTCCAAAAATTCCTAGATAGCATAGAAAAATGGAAAGGGTCCATTTTATCTGATCCCGTGCCTGAAAGTGGTGCTCCTCAGCCTTAAGGGAAAGTTGCACGAAACCCTGAAAACATTATAATGTAGGTTTTTATTACCTGGGACTGAAATACTAGATAAGGGGCTGGTTGTTACAACTGACGCCCAATATTGTTAACTAATCTGGTAAAGAGGCATCAGAGATACACGTATGCTTAATTAACGTACTGTTTTATCTAGAGCAGAATCTTAACAGGGATAAATGGAAACATTTCCTAAATTCGCAAAAAAAAAAAAAAAAAAAAACGTTTTAGTTTCAAAAACGATTCTGTGTTTTGTGACCTGTCAAAACAGCCGGATAAGTTTGTTGCAAATAGAAGAAAATATTCAAGATTAGAGAAAAAAACCCTTCTGGACTGAGATTAAAACCCTTTTGGGGAATAACAGCGAGGTTAATTAAGAGACAATTTTGACAGATTTCAACGTGAGACCCCGGAACGCTATCAAGTTGATCAGTACGAATGTAATGGTCATCCTAGTGAGTCTATCAAACCAAATGCGATTAAAATATTTAAAAGGAGCAGTATTTTAAGGTCAAACGCCCTAACTTTCTTCACATAATACAAGATACAAGTAACACACTGGAAATTGCATTAAACTGCCCTAATTTGGCATTTCATGTGGGTTTTAAACACAAGATGCTCATATACCAATAAGGGTGTAAGTTTATAATAACTTATAAATCTAGATGAATTGTATAGAATGTTTCCTACGAAACCTTCGATTACAGTAAATGCCTTAGAATTTTGCTGTCCATATTTTCAACTTCTTAACATCGTTGTTTTCATAAGTTTCTTAAAACTCAAATTAGCAAAGGTTGAATCAGGAGATTTTTATGCTGCATTTTAAAAATCAACTTACATGCTTCAAAATCCAAGATATTGTCCGATCATAATCTCGAAAAAAAATCCTTTATCAAAAACTAAACAAATTTAGATCTGAAAAAGCATGTAAATTGATGTGTTTTGCTTTCTGTTAAATAATTCATAGTGAAGAGAGAGAGAAAAAGAAACCGTTGAAGATTTTGGATATTGGGTAGTCTGAAAACTTGTTACAATTAGGAACATCAAATGTTTTGCATAGCTACTACACTATCTATCACAGACAACAGCCGCCTCTGTCAGATACATCTATATTACGAAGATGTTTTTTGATAGATTAGAAAAGTACCTGTACGAAGGTCACCATAGATTGGATACCAGCTAGATACATATCAAAGTCTATGTTATATATCGTCCTACCTTTATATGCCTCTCAGTCAAGTCAAAATTCATATGTCGTTTCAATATGTACACAAAATTCGCGCAAGTATGACAGAGAAAGAAAACTCTATACGTCGCTAAAAAATGTTGCAATTTTTTTTTTAAGTTTACAGTCTACATTCTTGTTAAGGGTGTCGTCTTACCGTGATTATAAAATGGCATACATATTCCGGTTCGTTTTGATAAAACCAGCAAAAATAAGAAATTCTATCAATAGATTTTTCCACATATACAATAATTTAGTATGAAATGAACTAGGAGCTAAGATCACTAACCTCCCCCCTTGGCATGGACAACTCGTTCTGGGATTCGTTCCCTGTTGAAGTGGGCCATTTCATCCGTAAAGGTGAAATCCTGAATAAGGACAGGTCCTCTTGGCCCAGCGGTCAGGGTAGCTGTCTTAGTGCCCACTGGGGCACCTGTTCCTGTGGTCAGCACATCGGGCTTCTACAAAGGCATCAGATTTATTCTAGTCAAAATTTAAAACTGGACTGAAGTGAAGAGGAATATTTTCCATTCTTTTTTTAGTCGATTGTCTCATTTCATTTAGCTTAGACTTATTTGGATTCATATACACGCTATCAACACTACGGAAGTTCTTTGTATATATTGATTGTACATAGAAATATAAAAACAGACGCTTGATTTTAAAAAAAATGCATCTTTTTAAAATAAAACGTATCTGTTAAATTTACTATTAAATTTTAATCTACGATACCTTTTGAGATTTTTTGAATTCCTCCAGCTGGTTTGTAGCCTTGTCTCTATTTGCCATCCTTACTGTGGAATCCTTGTAGCTCCTTCACTGTCGCAAGTCAGTCACAACGATGAAACGTTTATTACACCTATCGCTTTATGACTAAGTTTTGTGCTATTTTTAGTGACCTACAAGTGTCGCGGTCGCACGGATTCTGTGTATCAGAAGTAACTTCTATCACGTGAGTCCTGTTATAATATTCTTTTCCTTTTAAAGTTGTTAAGAATTACACACAAACTGCGGCTGAAATGTTGATCTGAAATGTATTGTAAACTTACAGTCAGCTTTGAAAATGATATTATCATGGAATATGTTACGATACCCAAAAGCTTTTGAAGAAGCTGAAGAAATGTTATTGATGAATGGAAATCAGAAATAATATCTTTGCCGGTTTTGTACTGACAGAAAGCAAAATAGATATCGTAGAAAACGTGACGATAATTAATAATCAGGGACCGACATCTAATACTGATGATATTGATGTCGGGTTCTGTCGTTGTTGTGCACAAGTTCAGTAAAAAGAATGTCGAACTAGTTTCAATGTAAACAGAGAAGAATATTGAGCCTATCCACCAGACAAAAATCCCTATGCAATGTTCAGTTTATTATCATATATCCATGCCAAGTCCCTGTGACCATGTCCTTGCTACATTTCGATTATTTAGCCTAGTGGAAACTGTTTGCTTATAGAATGATGGGTCGGTGGTTCGAACCCCATTACAACTTTTTCCCAAGGGATTGACAACCAAGATTCTTAGCAGAGGGTAGATATTTCTCTGTCCTTTTTGCCCATTTTCCCAGAGGCATTGAATTAGACAAAGAAAATAATACTATGATTTGTCGTTAGTAAGTTACTCATTTGCTTATTAAGTCCGGGTAACTGACCTTGACCCGGTTCTCGCGTTAATGTTCGATACGTTGGATTATATCTCCTTCCCCGGAAAGATGCTGATTAGGACAGATATATAGACTGTTCTATAACGTACAATGCTTCTTCCGGAAGTACCCTTCGAGAAAATTCTAATAATAGCGCCTCGTCTTAAAAGTGCATTATGACGTCCTGAAACCTTTTCATCTGTGACGTCATAATATATTTTGTATCTATGCACATGCGGTTGACGCTTTACTGTCGCACGAAGAAGCATTTACTAACATTCAGTTTAGTGGGAAATGGGGTGCAATAACTCGAAGACGGAAGAAAATACACAAGGAAAATCGCTTTCTTTATGTTGGCAAAGAAAGAACAAGGTAAAAGAAGTCTTTTGTCAGTATAACAAACTAGTAATTGATATCTGCCCGAGACTTAGAGGATGGAATTTGAACTGAATTAGTCAATAAATTATCTCTGTGTCATTTATAAATGACTATACCCATTTTACAGTGCTATTTGCTGCTTCCAAATGTGAAACACTTTCACTAATTCTAATACATTCTGTAGGTCGCGCCTACCATCGATCCGACCCCAGAAAAAGCTGGCCCATCACAACACTTTGGTGTTTCCAACATGACACGGAAAACCGAACAAACTGTATTGATGCAGCTGAAGGAGGAAGGGATAGTCCCAAGAAAGGGGGACGGAGGCGTGGCGTTTGTATTGGACATTTGCGGTATTTCTGAATCTGACGATTTGACCTCTCTGGCTCTCCCTGGTGTTCCAGAATATAAAAGAAAATATCCCCAATACGCCTCGTACTCCTGGGAGGTGTGCCGAGCTGCAATCTACGGTCCTCCACGACGTCTTCCTCCAATAAACAGAGCATCTATTGACGCCAAACAGGAGCGGGCCAGACGTAACCGGGAGAAGAAGGCAGCGGAAAGAAAAGCAAAATGGGCCAAGAGCTACGCCAGGGTCCAGGCAACACTGGAAAAGACCTCTGATTCATAAAGACAGTAGCTCACACACTGATCAATACATGTTGATAATATTTTATGTTAATTTATGCCAATATATTACCATTTTCTTGTTTTATTCAAAAGATTGTATCTGCAAAATTTGCACCTAAACGATAATTCCGAAGACAGTTTCGGAAGTATCTCATAATGTAATACGGTAGAATTCAAGTTGCCAGTCATTAAAGTCGAACCGTAATAAAGCATCGAGCTATTGGGAACACGATATTGAATATGTAAATAGACTAAAAACTATTGTAGAGAAATAAAGTATGTGTTCTTATCAAATGTGGTTGATTTATTCACCCACAAGTCAATGACAAACATAGGCAACAAAGACGAAAGGCCCCTACAGCACACTTGAGTCGGACCGCGAGCATGGTGATGTGTGTTTCCGTTGATGGTAAAATCCAGACTGAGGACTGCCCTGCTCTGCTGTGCAAAATAGACCTACAATTGGTGCCAGGTGCTGGCCATGCTATTGTCCACCTGGCAATGTTATTGTCTTACTGTTGCTACTTCCTGCCTGTATGTAAACATTACTTGGCATGTGGCATTTCAATCTGAAACCCGAGGAAACAATTACTGATGATAGTAATACACCACTGTCATAGCATTACAACACATATATATTTGATGGAAGCGGGCAGTAGCTATGAAGAAATGGAGAAAAATCACATATCATAGCTGGAGGGTTTCTCCAAGCAATACTTAAAATATATTTCTTGTGACTCGGCAGAGTAGTTGTTACTTTTGCTGAAAAGTTCTACGATAACAACTTGGTCAAGAGAGGAAGCCAGTTTTTTTGTTTTGAAGACCTCAACGAAAATGATTTCAACCAAATATTCAATCATTCTCACGATTTCATCTTCAGTGTTTGAAATGTACTAATGTTTGTTTCGTTGGTCTCGACTTTTAATTTGTTGGTATGGTGTTGATCCATCTTCTTTCCCTTGTCCTCTTGCTTAGTACAGGTGTGCGTGACTTTAGTAGCAATGTTATCGGGAAAACAGTCACATGATCTTTTCATTAACGTCAGCATTAGCCAGGTTTCAATGACTGTTCCGGCTGTAAGTACAGGTGAATGCAGTACTTTTGTGATTATGACGTCAGGGATACATTTTTTCTGGGACATTAACATCAACATTTTAGGGTGACGGAGAGATCATGTCTATTTCGTTATCACAACTTGGCATCTTTTCTCACGACTGAATATATATTCGCCTCAACGTAGCATAACTGCAGTTTAATAGACTACTTATTGAAGTCATTTAAACGTGGTATGTCTTATTTTGTCGTTCGTCTTGCTTTTTTGTGCAGTCCACATTAATTCGGGGGAAAAAAATTGAAATCGATGACTAGTGAGATTCGTTAGTGCAAGTACCATCCACGCCAATTATACCTTAAGGATTCGTCGCATTTCAATTAAACTCGATATCAAAGAAATGTCAATATTACATAATTCAAAAAAAAATTGAATAAACACAGACTTATTTATATCCGCTTCAAATTCAATGAGTAAACTGGGAAGCAGACATTATGAGAAAACGATGTAGGCGTGTGAGTCATCATACACGGGTGCCGGTCGCATTAATTTTCCAACCTCTTGTCTACTTTCAAACAGATAAAGAAAAATGCCGGCACCTGTCCTTGTGTAATAAGCACGAGAAATATAATAGGTACTTTCTTTTCTGTATACAAAAGAAAGAAAACGATTATTTTTCATGCATACATGTCATCTACAGATTCCCTTTAATAACCCCGTAAATACAATTAAACTGTGAAGAGAATCCTATCAGTTTCATATGTTGACACGTTGTGTCATTCCGCAGCGAGACTTTCATGTCGGCTGACTTCTGCGATGATTAGGTAATTGATACTCATCTGCATAGGTAACAACCACTATGAAACCATACACTGTTTATGAATAAACATCAAATTTAAAATCTTTAAAGTAGGTAATTGGTACATTCAATTTTTGTGTGTGTGTATATATACAAAATACGATTTTTCATTCCACTCTCCTTCAACCCGGATTTAATTTGTAAAAATGTATTTTGTTGTGGAGCTAGAGAATTTTTATATTGCCTCATGCCGGATATTCCATCCAGTTGATTGTGAAATAAAATCAGCTGTAATGAAAATGAAATTCACCATTATAGCACACCTGAATAATGTCTCGTTTTAAGCCTGTATTAATTTACTGCTACATATATACTTTTTTATGTTCACTTGTACACGTATCGTATCTCTTAATATCATTAATCATTGTAAAAAGCATGTATTTGAATTAGAAATCACTTACTTAAAATGAAGTACCATCGATCTTTTACAGTGTATGGTTAGATTAACAAAATCAAAACTCATATGTAATCTAGCCGTATAATAGGCTGTCTAGACATCTTTTATAAATATATGTATATTTTTTTATTTCGTTCTGAATTGAACAGGTAATTTGATTCGCTCATAAATACGGAAATATACTATAGCCAACTTTGTCCAGATAAATACAGGTAACTACAGGTAATGTTTTTTTAAATGTAGGATGTGTGATGTTTTTCAGCAAGAATGTGTGGGTTTGATTGAGTTGTCTTCAAAGTGTTCATTGTATAAATTTATTAGTGGTAAATTTTGTCTTAAACAGTATTTAACAAAATCTATTGATTCACAAAATATCAAAGAAATTGCAAAAATTAGATTATCATCGCACAAATTGTATGTTGAAACCGGTAGTATTAGTAACAAAAGGAGAATAAATACCGTTTAAACATTAATCTAATTTATATGTGTAGAGTTAGATATCTGGACTTATTCTCTACACTTTGATCCTGTGTACATGGTCTGTGTGTACTTGTGTGCTATGTATTTCCTATGTTTGTTGTTGTGTTTGTGCTTGCACTGTAAATATATGCACTGTACTGATAAACCGTAAGGTTTAAAGTAAATAAACTGATGAACTGATTTTAAGATGTTGACTGAGTGGGAATCCAAGAACACACCATGAGACATAGATTGAAATTTAAGAAGAAACTGCCGACTATCGGGATTCCAAAGATTTCATTCACCGTCTATTACGATATTACATTAGTTCTACAATACAAACGTATATCTATATAGTGTATTACCATATCATTATCCATTAAATTTTACAGTTTCGTGTTTTATTTTACATACTAATATTTTTAATTGTTTTTCTAATATACGGGTGTATACTGCCAAGTTAAATAATATCCTAATATTGCATATCGATAATAATCCTTTCATCTTAACAGTATAATGATATTCATTTCCAACTCCACTGGAGCAGAGAGGGCAGATTCTATATTCACGCTGTAGTCTGCCCCATCGTCCTGTTTCAGTTAGTAAGGATAAATAACTAGTTCTGATCTTACAGATATACATTTCATCTCTATGATTCAGCTTCATCATACAGTTTTCAAACTCGAACGGTTTTTGACATATCACATAAGTCTGCCGTCGTGAGGAGTGTTCTATATCAGAATACCGCTGTTGTATAAATTGATCACGCAGAGTAGATTTAAAACTGTTTTTATTCTTGTTTGTTTTGATTTGTTATTAGTTTATTTATCTGCCAATTTCAACATATACCATTATACAATGTGTATTTGCTGTAGGAGAACACAAATTTGATATTTTTCTTACAAAATTTAAGATGGAATTTCTCCATTATATTAGTATTTTCAAACCCCCAAATTTCAGAGGAATACAATAGGATTGGTAAACTCAAAATATCAAACAACTTCAGTTGCAGGTCTGTTGGTAAGGTAATATTTCTCATTTTTTTTATAACGCATAGCTTTACAAAATAACTATTATAATTAAATGATAAACCCACAAATGTGTAACTATTGATAAGGTATGGTAGCAACTTAATGAATTTTCGTCGATTTTCACGCATGTGCTAAAATACAGCAGTTTCCCAATTGGAACACCTCGGCCGATTCCAGGTCATCTTAATTACCTCGGATGTATGACGGTATTTTCATTTTTGGGAACTACTTTCAAGATGGCCGCTCGCACCGGCATAATCCCTATCTCAAAGGTATCTTGTTTACTGAGGACACAGTAGATGGTAATAATGATATAGTAACACGTTTGTTTAAAACAATACCCTATCTATATCTATAATATAAAATACTAAGTACAATTATTGTAAATAAACAAGATTATAGTAAATACAAAAATAGATATATATTATTTTTATAAAATACTAAATAGAATTAATGTAAATGTACAACTTCTAAAATTAACCAACTATATTAGCCTACAATAACCACTGTATAAGTCTATAGTCAAAATGTTTGCCCACAAAGTATCTCCCACAGGTAAACAGACATTCTACAGGTAACCCGTAATTTAGAAACTGACTTTAATCCCTTAATATAACAGATAATTGGTGTTGGCAAACTGGGAACACCTCGTACAAAGATGGGATAGGCTTACTGTTATCAACTTCTCAGCTATACGGCGACTCTACACACACTGTATGCATCAGATTTCATACAGATAACAACTATTACACAGCTATATGCAAATCATGTTCTTTTTTAAAGTTTAAGCATTCCTGATATAATTTTTCCAAGTTGATTCAGTAATCCAAATAGCATTGTGTAATATGTAGGTCTCTAGTTTTATAGGGTTATGAAACATATTGTTTACTGGGATTCTCACAAACGTTGGCAAAGAAAATAGTTGAATTCATGATTTTGAACTACTGTTGATATCAGGTACATTAGAATGTTCCAAATAGCAGTCTCTATTTTAAAATGTCCTTTGATGGCATGTGGCACTGAAGAAAAGGAGACATAGCTGATGATATACCACTTTGATATCAAATGATGTCATATACCGCTCTAGTTATTTCTCCACAACTGAACCTGATTAGGCTCTGTAATAATTTTAGGTAAACTGAACAAATACAACTCTTCGAAGTCTCAAACTTATCTACATTACACAAATACAACTCTTCGAAGT